CTTGATAGAAATGTCGAGGTGATATGGTATGAATTTATGAAACCCGTTACAACTAGGTTTTTGCTGAGGCATTGCTTCTTGTACAAGTCAGCTACTAACTCAGAAAACCCTAACCCTAATTAAACTACCAACTCCGGTACGTAAGAAGGTCTGCAATTGTCAGCTCTAAAATATACTATTCGATTTAATATAAATTACTCTATATATTTAAATTAGTATATTCGTAGCTCCTTCAACACTGTCATCACGAGCTGCATGCCTGCGTACAAAAAACAATTGGAGCCATAAATTTTGAAAAATCAAAACATTTATAGTACTGAAGTACCCCACACCAGCACTACCCTCCACTCCAGGAACATCATGCAATATATACAATATACAATATACAATATATATTTTATGTCCTTGTTCTTATCTATATTTTGCAGGTGGGTCTTCACGGAAATCGGCCTAAATATCTTAAAATTTTGAATATTGTGGCTGCTTTTATGTTTATGCATGACACTCAAGACTCGGTCCAATACTGTCTCTTGTCACACTTTTTTGTAGACTGCATAAATGTCGAGATCTCAATTTAGGGTTTCTGATAACATTCCAAGAGTTCACTCCAAGAGTCTTTTTTTTTTCACGGGTTAATTAATGCAAGGTTAACATATACAAATACTACATAGGTAAGCTGAATTATGAAACAAAACAAAGAGTTGGTTTAATCTATATACTACGCAAATTTAGAAATTTGAAGTAATCTAATAGTATTTAATAAGGACTTTAGTGTGGTGAGCAAAAATACACTATTAACCTTTGAATTTGAACTTATTGTTTTCTTCATTTTTTGTGTCAAAAAAGAGATTAAGAGAAAAATTACACAATGTGCACCCTGATATATGCAAGTTTTTTCCTTTTTTTTTTTTTTTTTGGCATATGTAAATCTTTAGGGGCAGTGAAAAGTATATGTAATAATTTTCTATAAGCGGCAGAGCCACTAAGCGACCAGAATGGTCTCTGTGCTATTCTGCCATTTTTTCCTCTTGTTATTATAATATAGATGTTATTATTGCATATCAGTCTAGTACTTTTTAAATTTAAGTGTGTTCTCAATCCAAACTCTTCTCTATTCCAGGCCAGTCTCATTTTTCTCTTCATCCCTCTTATTACAATATAGTCTTCACTTCTCCTCCTTATTCTGTCAACTTTTCTTTGGTGTTAATAAACTTATATTTAAAAAAAAAAAATTCTTGTTTACTCTTTACCTGATATTTGGGTTTTGGGTTTTTGTAATGTTTATATTTCTCTCTATTGAATTTAGGGTCTTTTAAATTCTATACAAATTACTTCAATCTCTCATATTTTGAATTCAAATTACTTATATATGTCAAAAGCCCTCCCACACATAAAATTCTCACTCCGTCGTTGACCAAAACAAAGGTACTATAGCATACATAATTAGAGAGTGGTCTCGTGCGTTCCACCTCAATTGTTTGATTAGAAGAAAACATATATATAATCCTGCCGACAAATCTTGATCTCCATATCTATACAACCAGATGTCTTTCTAAGCGAGCAAATGATTTATCTACGAATATGATTACGAGGGGTGGATCTTAGCACAAACTCGTACTTAATGGTAAATTGGTAAATACAATCCTCTATCGGATTTGAATATAATATGGATAACTTATGATTGTGGGATTATGTGAGAACAAAGTCTCATATTAGTGAGGTATCAAATAATGCAAGGGTTTCTAATACTTTTCATATTGTCAATTGATTTTACAGTGGAACCTCAATTTTCATCATGGTATCAAAGCAAGTTATCCCATGTGAAGTTCAACGGCCACACGTGATCTATGTCACTTTATTTGTGCTGTTATCGCGCTATGCTTGAAAATTCGCCACACGTGAAGTTATCTGTTGAGAGTATTTATTCCACATTATAAGTAATTTGACTACTCTTCATAATTGGTTTTATGGTGAAACCTCAAATTTCTTGATGGTAACGGAGCATGTTGATTCAAGTGTGAAGTCCAACTAAAACAAGTGCTCCAAGTCCTCCAATTCATGTTGCCCACGTGTTTGCCTTGAAAATTCGCCACACGTGAGGGGTGTGTGAGAATGTAAGGACAAAGTTCCACATCGACGGAGGAACAAATCATGCAAGAATTTATAAAAAGTTGGCCTATTCTCCATATTGCCAATTACTTTTACGGCGGAACCTTAACTTTCTTCAATGACTTCATGGGTAAAGAGAGATTAGCGAAATTGTGACCAACCTATATAAATAGAGGATAATAAATTGTCAATCTAATTGTTAAAATGTAGTCGATTTAACAATTATAACCACGCTACACCTTGGTACAAATTTGAACCACTGGAAAATCGGAACTTAGTATCCATGGTTATGCTGTGAATACTGTGCTGGGGTTTGGGCACATAGAAAATTCATTAGAGAGAGAAGAGTAATTAGGAAGCAAATAGTGACGAATTATGACAAAGATCTGCAGAAATTAACTTTTCTAGAACTAGTACAATATTACGTCAAACATTTTTATAAATAACATGTGGAGTGGACTTACCGCACATCAGAGGAAAAAACCGAACAATTAAGACCAAAATCTGTTGGCAATAAGGCAACTACATCCCATATAATTTGGGATTAAGATTGAATTAAAAAATTTAATTAATCGCTATTAGTGGGGGGGCGGCTGTGGATGGATGGGCCAGATTTGGGCTTTTGTTATTTTCATATCTGTTTGGTCACCAACCAGTAGGACCCACCAATTCCTGCTCATGAGACTAGTTCTCTGCTTATTGTGCCTTTTAAAGCACGCAAAAAACCAACTTTATTTGCCGCTCCCCAAACAGTCCCTAATCAAAATATCCATTACCATTCCAACGTTGTAGCCGCCGGTAGCCAGCTTTATTCATGTATTGGAATGATACCAGTCCATTTGAGATCCCATCATGCATTAGTGTGACCCCAAGGCAATAGCCAATAGGCTATTATTTTGCCACTAGTGACTAGCCACCCATTCAATGTGGACCCTATGGCCCACACACTAGCCTACTTGGCTCATATTTCTCTTTGTTTTAGTCGTTCTACAAGTTGGGATATGGGGAATAATTTTCACACCCTTTTTTTCTGTGGACGTGAAGAAGAAGAAAATGATTGTGCGGAAAATCACTCTTCTAAAATGTTTATAAATGCAATGATGCAAATCTTAAACAACAAAGAATGAATTGATTAGGGCTGTTGATACTCAACTTGTTTTAACGTCTAAAGTGTTTGGTAAATGATGAGAACGCGACTTCTTTCAAAAGTTAGCAGTAGTTAACCTGTGTGGGGTCATAATTTTCCAGGGTCGGAGTAAAGAAGATTGAATACTCGTATCTCAGAAGTCCAGTCATAGGCTCAACAATCTCCGATGCGGAACTGACTAAACGGGCAAATGATGCCACCATCATCCTATTCTGGAATCAGTGAGCTAAGTCTAACGACTTCGCTAAGATTGATTATGCTTGTTCTGCAATAAATAAGTAGATTTTCTATAATCTTGGAGTTCTTACCATCTAAGGATTGGTGTGCCCGCAAATAATCTCGCTCTTAAATCCTAAAATGATGCAATATCTACTTCCTAGATAAGAATTCTACTATCCTAAAAGATTATCTCTTCGACCAGTATAAATATACTCTTTTAGAGTTCATCTATGGTAACATAATCTTTGCATACTCATTCTCTTACCCATTCTTAATATTACTTACTAACTTGATCGTCATATAACTTTAGACTGTCACATCCCAGTCCTTAGCTTACTCACAGTTGTATGTTCTTTTACAGGTAAACGAGATTGGACATCTCCACCACCCATAACGATGCGCATATTTAGTTCCAAGAACCTGAATTCGAGAATTATTACAGCCAAAATTGATACTACTTGATGTTTTTATTCTCCTACGAATTACTCACCAAACTTCTACTTTTACTCACTAAAATCAACAAAAACAAAGCAACTAGATTACTTGAAAAGAAAACTAAAAGAAAAAGCAATTAGATTTTGTCGTTTAATTTTGATATTTCTAATAATTTGATGTAGCCCATCAAGAATATCCGACAAAAGCCAAACTCTAAGAAAAAGACTAATATTTTCTCTGTCTCAATTCCGAAAGCAATTGACATGAAAAAAAAAAGTACGAAAAACACGTGTCTTGACTGTTGAGGCTTCCAAGTGTGCCACTAACAATAGTATTTTATTTAAGATTTCGGTTCAATTGAATATTATAGGACCAATCATAATATTTAATTCAGTAAAAGTTTTCGATATTTAATTATGAAAGTTTTAGGTTGGATTCATGTATGTATAAGCAAAATGTTTGATTCATGTAGATGTTAATAGTAATACGTATTTATAATGGACTACTGTTGTGGTATTACAATTTTGTTGTTAGTATTAATGGACTCATGTGAAAATGCTTTTAAAATTACTGAAAATGTATTATGTGAATTGATTTTGAGTTTCAAAAGTGCATTGGAAGAAGCACCAGATATGTATTTTTTTGCAAAAAACATTTAAAGTTTCTTAGAATGCACTTGAATTTTTACTAAGGACGATTTCTAAAAAAAATTTCACCTAAAAAATTTTCAATCATTTCAAATAAACTTCCAAACGAGCCCAATATCAAACAAATGAGTGAATGACTCTCTACAAATCACTATAACGCAATTAAAATTCAAAGCTTTGTAAATATAGGTTAATATATTTCTTTTCAAAATAAGTGAAATGTAATATTTAACATAGAGAAGAATATATTTTTCAACCACCAATGTCCAAGAAATTAAAAGCACCATTTCATTTATGATTTTTAATTTTATTCCTTTCCCCACTCCAATAGTCTCCAAACTTCTATTCTCAATTGACAAATATCAATAAAAATTTATAATAATCCGTCTTTAATTACAATTAAAAACAAATAATTTAAAATAAAATAAAACTACAAAATCGAGTTCTCACAAAACCGCCGTATATATTATTGATAATCGGCTATCCTCGTAGTCATTGTATATCACACTCAGTAGGGCATTTTCGGTATTCCATGCACTGCTTGTGCCACTCTACAAAACTCACTTCACTTGAATTGCAGCACAGTCCCAAGTGAAATTACAAAATAATCCTGCCCAACTGGAGTTGACACGTGTATCGTACTGGGTTCAACTTACGACGTCAGCTAAGAAATCGTTTACGTCAAACTCGCCGAACTCGTCACGCACAAAGTTGTTACTCGACAACATAATATCTGGAAAGCTTAACGGCAAGTCGATATCAAACACGAAGTCGTCAACGTCTCCGTAAATAAAACCATCAAACGGCGTTTGCTCCTCGTAACGGAGGACAGAGGTGGGCGACGAGAGAGCCTCGCTGGACGGTGGCAATACGCACCCGCATCCCTCCTCCGCAGCTGGGACCACCACATCGGCAACGACTTTCTCTTCCGTTGTAACGGCGTTAGAAAAGTTGGTGACGGCGTCTGGACCCTTGAGAAGGATGGCAGCTCTGTCGTAAACACTGGCGGCTTCCTCCGCTGTGTCGAAGGTTCCGAGCCAGACCCGTTTTCTACGATTCGGATCTCGGATCTCCGCAGCCCATCGACCCCAAGGCCGCCGGCGTACGCCTCTGAACTTTTTCTGGCGCGATGCATCCATTGCCGGCGACTTCGACCCGGTTCGCTTCACGGGTTTCGGGTCTTTCCTGACCCTCTTCGACTGACCCGAAGAAAACGACGACGAAGACGAAGGAGAGGAAGAGGAAGGCGAGGAGAGCTCGAGGCTGATCTGACTGACATGTCGTTTGACTCTGCGTACGCCGCTGTCTTCGTCGTCGCTGGAGGAGTCGGTGGCGTCGGCGTCCGTGAGTATGATCCGGACGAGCTTTGGCGGGACTGGGTTCGGGTTATCGGGTTCCTGGATCATGGGTTTTGTCACGGTGGTGATTTGCTCTGAAAATTTGACCGCAGAGTGTGCGGACGAGGTGGGTTGGAAGGTTGTCATGGATTTAGAGGCGGAGGAAATGAAATTGGAGATGCGGGTTTGGTCGGAAGCAGCAACATCAAGAATCGACGGCGAAAGCATGTAGAAAAGTTAGTACTACTGAGCTGAAGTGAGTGAGGTTTTGAATTTGTAGAAGGTTGAGACAGAGAGACAGAGAGAGGGGGTAAAAGTGAGAAGTTTTTTGGAGTGGAAGGAAGAAGAAAGAGCAAAAGAGAAGAGGGAGGAACGGCAAAGGTGAGCTGTATGGAGGCTTTTGGCAGAGAGTGAGCTACTGATAAAACCCCTTTGCAGGTTTGGGAGAGAAGGAAAACGGAGAAAAATGGGAAGGGTAAAGTATATTTATAGTGCATGGAAGTCACGGATGGGATACACATAAGTGGAAATGGTTTGGTTTCCAAATTTAGTTGTTATTCTCAGCGGAATTGGATACTCTCCGAGGCAAATCCTCGGGAATCTTTTGATCCACTAAAATTGGTTTTTGAATTTTGATTCAAAATGTACAATTATTATAACTTTTAGGAGTTCCCTTTTTATAACCATTAGATTAAAATCTAACGGTTCATGTTATTGGATCAGGAGGATCCCAAAGATTTACCTCGGAAAATATCCAATTCCCTTCTCAGCATTATTCTTAAGAAAACATACAACGCCTACATAAACTTTAGTGAAAATTAATTTATCTACCACTTATTTTCTGTTTAGTGTCGTCCGACTTTATTTTTAATTAAAAGTTTTTACTCATACTTTTCAAAATACGTGTTCTCTTTTGTTTTGTTTTTACATGTATAGGAAGAAGAATAATCTTTTTAATGTCAATAACAACTCTCAAAATAAATAGTGGTGCACAGAGAATGAATGTAAAGTGTGAATACCAATTCTATTTTTCTACAAGTGAAAAGTTGTACTCAGAACTTCGAGTGCATACGTGAAGACACTTAATTAATTAAGCTACAAACTATATTCAAAATCAATAAAACTAAGTCGTATACAAAAATGTACTGCTTTCTTTCACCGAAGTTCAAATTACCCGCTGCGACACCTGTTTGTTATGTTTTATATTTCTGGTGTTTTCTTTTGTTTAATTTAATTTATATTTACTTTGACTCAGGGAATGGGTGTAAATTATTCTCGTGAGAGTGAGGGGGATTATGTATGTGAGCGGGTCATGGGTCCATGGGTCATGGTCTGGAGTGTTAAGCGGGAAAACAAACCTGCTTCCAGCTGGCTCTGTTGACGTGTCAGTTGCCCTCTTCCTCAGTTCCTCTTAGGCCATTTCCAACCTCTCGTTTTCATTCCACAAACAAAAACAACCCCCCACTACTCACGCTCACAAATTGCCTAACTTTTCCTCCAATTAGTCCTTCCCTCTTTGATTTTTTCCTTCTCCAATTTAATATTGAAATTCTACAGCAAAGTAGAGTTTCCTCAGCCAACACATCTGTGTATATATAGTGTCGGTAGATGCATAACTTTTCTCTAAAAAAATCCTGAACAACAAACTGTTTTTATAAGAAAAACTAATGAAAATGGCTTGCAAACTTTGAGTTTTAACGATAAGGACAAAATAAATGATAAAGTGAATTGTATCATGATTGACTTTTTAGTGTAAAAATGTGGTTTTTCGTTAAAGTGAACAATACTGAGAGCTTTTCGTTAAAGTTCATTTTTTTATATTGTGTACAGTGGCAAATACAAGATTCGAATCTTGGGTCTTCCCATATTAAAGGTTCAAGTTTTTTAGATAGAATCAGAGCAAATAAATAAATAAAAATTCAGTTTATTCACTTAGGTACTTCGTCGAACATTTGATGAGTAATATCGAGAGAATTTGTTGATCAGTGTTGTCCACGCAATCTGTCGAGATAATGCTTAACAAGTATTTACATCAAACACTTGGTTGATAGAAAGGGATCCGTGCAAAACATTCGGAGGGTTCTCAAAACACCTTGTATGTCTATTTTCTGAACTCAGGTGGTGTCTATATACAATAATGTTAAGTGTAAATAGTTTACACGTGCATCGTAAATGATAGTTATGCTCTAGTAATGTGTTGTCATATGAGACCTATATGTGTCTTACTAAATGAGAGGATGTACTTGTATTCTGCTTAAGATAGCACAGTAAGTTTTGCTAAATGAGAGAAAGTAACTTGTATTGCGTCTGATGTACACATAACGAGAGTGATGAATACAAAGAGATACGATTGGAGACACAATGCTAATTCACGTTTTACATGTTTGAAACCGACCACGCGGTTTCTCTAGTTAGCATGTAGCTCTTTTTCTCTGCCTTTTACTGTGTTTGGCAAACAGTTAAAAACATGAGTCTCCTTTAAAATTTGATCAAACAATTAAAAACATTAGACAACTCTTTTTCTCTAGTTAGCATGCAGCTCTTTTCCAAGCTCTTGAAATTTGATCAAACAGTTAAAAATATGAGTCTCCTTTAAAAGTTTTAATAACTTTAACCGATGAATCAAATTTTAAATATCCGAATTGATAAATTTGGTGGATTTGATGGAATGGATTAAAGGAATATCCCTTTCCGTATGGTATGTTGGTGGTGCGTCTCCAAAAGCATGCTGCTCCTTAGACTCTTTTTTCCACCTAGGAATCGGGAAGCAGTGGCTTTAACTTTTTACTGTCCACAGCCTCTGCAGCGTATATGAAACTGTTGAGTTTGTGTGCTAAAAATTGAGACTCAAACGGTGTCTTTTTTCTTCTTCAACGCATGGGTGATGGACTGATAGGTGCATGCCAGGCCATATATATCATGATCATCGTATACAAATATCAGCTTATGGACCCAATTTTAATTTTCTTTGACCCCATCAAACCTAATCCCTTTACCGAAAAAAAGCCTTATTCATTCTCACTTATTATTCGCGGGTTGAAAATATTCAGTAGGACAGTCGGTTCTGTTTGATCCTACTTTGTTTTACACTTATAATACTTTTCTGTTTTTCTTCATTCAGCCGCACACTGATACTAGTCGTAACATTTAATTGCTTGTCATTGGACGGTCACACAAGTCTAATCACGTGACTCCATTACTTCAGATTCTCTTTATTTTATTGTACGATGTCAAATTATGATTTTACTTAAAAATAAGCGGCTCGTTATATACAAGAGGTCGAGCTGCGTTCACAAAAAGAAGACATCATTGGATTATTTTAATCAAGAGTTGGATTGAGTCAAAATAACATAGGTAGACCGTAGAGCAAGGGAATTTGTCAAAACCTATTAATAATTATATATGTAATCCTACTTTTCTCTTCAACCTATCACACCTTGTGGCGGCATTACATACATAGAGATAGGTTCTAAATTAAATTAAATTAAATTAAAACCACTTAAAAACGTCGAAAAGTTGATAGGGTTGGTTTATGCTTCGGGAGGAAGCAAAGGCAACGATAGACCCCGAATCCATCAGCCAGCACGTGAGAAAAGTGAGCAATCATGCATGATTAAGGTTGGGACAAAGAGACTGGTGATGGAGGTTCGTTGCTTGTCAGCCAAGCGATAAGTTAATCAAAGATATCTTAATTTGGCCCCTCAAAGTGCACACTTAAATTTAATGGGGAACTAAAATCGGGTTAATTTCCGGCAGTTTTCGATGACGTTTCTTTTAAATCATGCATGACCTAACTCCTCCTTGTATTATTAGTTTAAGAATCTAGGACTGTCCATGTTACCTAGGTATCGAGAATCTATGACTCACATATTAAGAGGTGGATACACGTAACGTCAAACGAAGGTTATTGTCCTTACTCGCACTTAAGTTTAACTATCATGGGAGCAAAATTTTTGACAATTCTTCAGAAATGGCAATGGGCGAATTACGGGAGCTAAGGATGGGGTGGGGTTTTCCCGGCCGGGGGGGGGGGGGGGGGTGGGTTTTGCTTGTGTGGTGGTGAAAGAAAGGGGTGTGTGCTTCGGCTACCTCTTTACTCCAACCGACCTGTAACTTTTTTCATGCACCTAAGATATCGTGTTTTAAATCTCTCGCTCAGCATCGGATGTATTGAAGTTTATCTAGAAAACTTTTCACCTAATAAAAGTAAATCTAGAAGATTGATATTGGAACTTGAAAAGAGAAGAACCCATGATGCCACGTGGCTTCTAGACATGAAAATTCAAACGGAGCACATCATTCGGTGCCAAACCTTGCACCACCACAACCACAAGTGCCCATCGCTGTGACTCGTTCGCATCCAATTCACAAGTTCTGCGCTTTATAGCTACCAATGATCGCGACCCCATGTAAGTTGGACAGATTTTTCCGATCATAAAAAACAAAACAAAAGAAATATGAAGACAATATTCCATATCGCAGATATATACGACGTTCCCTTCATCATAAAAGAGCTTAAGAAGCATCACAATATACGCACGAAAGGAATAGTTCTAGTTGCTCTAAACTCGGGAAAGGGACTCGAACTTGGGAGCAAGAAAGCAGGATATTTTATGGCCACTTGGCCTAACCCATGTCCAGTAACACATACAAATGGATTCAGTGCAACACATCGTTTCATGTTTGGAAGTGATTCTAAGACGGACATAAGTGCCACTCTTCTGAAAGCACGAGGGGCGGTAGTTCTACGGAGAAGCGCCTCTCATGTGCTTCTTCCTTCGGTCCTTCCAAGGATCACTTCCAAACGGGTTCTTTGACCTGAACACAAAAATGGCTTTCATTTGGATGGTGTTTAACTAGGCACTCTAAAGCAATCGTGCACTTAAAAAGCATTATTTCTTCAACAAACAAACCATTCACTTAAATATCATAGCAACGATACATTACACTTGTTTTGTCCTTCCATCTCGAATGCCTTCAAATGAATATTCACAAATGCGAACTTGTTCCTTGATCAACTTTAAGTCTCACAAATAGATAACTTTTCAATATTTCCAATGTTCACTTAAAAGGGGATGGAGTTCATGCATTTGCAAGCCTTTAACAAATGCCGGAACCTTTGGTTTTACCCCATCGCGTACTTCTGAGTCCAACTGCGAGCAGTGGCTTCATATTTTGCCCTGTCCGTCTTGTACATGTGTGCAATTTCGGGGACAAGCGGGTCGTCGGGGTTGGGGTCCGTCAGCAAAGAGCATATGGACAGCAGCACCTGAAACACAAGTTCATTTGATAGACATTACAACCCATATCAAAAGAAGTTACGGAACCGGATTTAGTGCCTTTATCACATTAAAAGGAATCAACTTTAAATCCATCCCAAAAAATGACGACATCTCATCCTATGTTGAGCATACCATGTTACTTGCTCTGTAAAATGATTAAATCTCATCCTTTTTAGGCACAGCCACATGCTTGAGCTGTATCACTCATTCCATCTCGAGTGATACAACAGGACATGGAGTGAAAAGTAGGATCACGAATGATGAGTACGTCTCACAGCACCAGTTGCAAGTCACATGATGCAACAGGGCTTGGAATGAGATGTAGGATCATTAGGATGCAGCCACAGGACATCTCCTTTTAATCTGATAAGGGGTCATAAGCCACAGCTCTTGTAGTCCCACACACAAGACGAACTCCGACAAGAAGAAAATAATTACACAAACCTTGGAAATGGTTAGTGCCGGGCTCCATTGTTCTTTGAGAATATCAAGACATATGCTTCCATTGCTATTAATGTTTGGGTGGAATACCTTGGTCCTAAATGCAACCTGAAATGGAACTTGAGTTAGACTCTACATTCTACACTATCAAGAGACGAATTCTGAAACAAACACAAGTAGACCAAAAGCATTAGACTACGCACGCAACTTGAGTTGGCCTCTAAAATTCTACCAGAGATAACTAAGAAGCCAAAAACATAAAACACCAGCTATAGATAAGATGATTTTACAATAACAAGCTTTTGTCGTACAATTTTAAAAGCATTCTCAGATAAACATGATTCATGAAAAACTGAGGGAACAGAGAAACACCTTGCCACTTTATTGAATTCAGAAACACATATCCCTGAATATCCGGAATATCAATTGTGAATAAAAATAACATTTTGACATTAAAATCAAATAAAAAGAAGAATTACTTTAAACAAAGATTCAAAACAAAAGGCCACAGCGGATATACAGGATATTTTGGCTAACTGAATGTTGATGGCAGACGAACCTAAAGCCCCTAAAGGAGTAAACACTTTGTAGACAGTTTCTAACTTTGTATTATATAACACTCCCACTAACAGACATAAAATCGAAATGCGATATCAGTAACCAACCCTACTTCAAAATGCAATCTCTCTCTCGCACACACACATCCCTCCCAACCCCCTCCAAAACAAAATACGGGAGAAGAAAAAAGCTTAAATATAATTATAATGCGGCCTGGTACATCATGAATAACAACTACTTAAAAATGAACCGTGTCCAATAAATGCACCTGCAACTTATGGTTAAAATACAATTCGACATATGATACACATGAAAATCCCTCACATAAACTGCAGAGAACATTTTAATGGATCACCTGCATGTATGAGTAGATAACTAAAGACTATGTGCAGGTATCCATATCACCCATTATACGACTCACAAAAGCTCATGTTTCAATAATGATACTGTACGGAGGAACATGACCACAACAACATATAGAAACATGAGGACCCGGTTTTTCTATTTGTACCTTTGGAGGCTTGAATGGATAATCTGGAGGGAAATGAATTGAAACTAGAAAAACACCACCCGTGTATGGGCTATCACCAGGTCCCATAATTGTCGCCTGCCAATGGAACATGTCCTCGGCCACAGGACCTATAATCCATGAAAGAGAAACCCGCAAGAAGAATGTATGCCAAGTTCAGTAAAGTGATCAAAATATGAATACACCCGAGAAACATAAGATGCATGAGCCAGCATACTAGACCTATACAAAACCCGCCACAATGCGAGAATATCCTACCATCACTTTTTTACATCAGCTAAACCATTAAAGGAGGATGGTTTCGCTCCCAAATGGACCATCCACAAATTTGCTACATCTTTATTTCCCAATCGATAAAGCAAAGGGTTAAAATTTCAGTTTTTTTTCTTTTCTGTCCAATTGATGAAAAGGGGGGCCAATATTTTGATAAAAATGGGAGCTGGAAACAGTTGAAATCATCGAAAAAAAACCCCGCTAATTCGCTGCAATTGGGACAACCATCTACAATTCTAAGACAATTTTATATATGGGATCCAAATTTAACAAAAAGACAAGGGATTTGTTCAAGGAAAAGGAGCAAATACCAGCACTGCATGAGGTAGGGGGGTCCTTCTGCAAATCCTTGAGCTCCTTCAAGATACGTTTAGATGCCATGACAACACCTACAAACACACACAATCACACAAAACACAACCTGAAAAACCCAAAAAAATAAAAACCTAATCAAAACCAGATCGCGAGCCAAAACAAACCCTAATTTCCCACAAAATCACAGACAAAAGCGGATACCTTTATTTCATATAAATTAAAAGCAAAAACAAAAATCTCAGAGTAGTTGAGAATTGGATGAGATGGGGAAGAATACCAGGAGATTGCGCGATTGGGATTTGACAGAATCCGAGTTTGAAAGAAAATGAGAAGGTCAAAAATTGGGGAAATCTATTTTTGTATCACATATATAGAAAAAGATAAGAAAGAAAAAAGACCTTTCTAGAATTTTCTATCTTTATATTCCAAGTTGGCGTGGGAGGGGATCCATGTCCTCCTCCGTGTTACAACATCTTCATTTGCAACATCCTTCGTACCCTCCACTTAAAGCTAATTACAAAAGGAGATATTTTTCTTCACCGATTGATGTTGATGCTCATCACCGCATTATTACTGTTTTATGAGTTTAAATTTTAAGATTTTTATAATAAATGAATACAAATATTAAAATTTAAACTTCATCCAATAATTATAAGCTGGTTGACGAGCATTATCACCATTTGAAAGTGATGAGCAAAAATTTACTCATTGCAAAATACATCCCTCACATTTTATTTTGTTTCAGATCAGGCACAACCTTTCGAATTTTTCACATTATTGCCTAAAATATTGAAGCGTAGGTATGTTCAAGTGAACCCAAGATTGCTTGTTTCAATTGAATTTGTCACTTTATGTGTAGGCTTCTCCGAACTCTTTGCTTTATTCAATTGGGTTTTTGGCTTTGTGGTTCCTCTCTTTGTTCTCGTGTCTTTCACTTTACCTTGTTCGATGCAATTTATTTTGATTGCTATGTAATTGGGAATTCGGATTTAATTACAAATAATTGGGATTTTGTAAGATTCAAGTAGGCTTATAATTGCGTTGGGTATCGATTTGTGTGTTTGCTGAGACGGGTTTGCAGATTGAACGGAACGGAACGACAATATCGTGTGTGATTGTGTTTCAAACGGCTTTTATCGATTAGTCAACATATAATTCTTCTGCGTATTTAGGCCATAACTCATAAGGTGATGAGGAAAGAAATCAAAACAAAAGCAAAATACAGACATTCATCTGCAGATTGCACCCCCTTACACAAAATGTAATACATTTGATCACCTTATAAGACTAGTATTTAAAACCTTAAACATGTTTAATGGTTCTAAACAAGTTTCTCAACACTAATGAAAGATCCAGCACCACAAAAAGAAGGAAAAGCTTTTAAGATTAGACCTGATAGGCTAATACATAACAAAACAATCAAACCTTACATATCCAATCGACGTATGATATATGATGGCTCAAACCATTCTTCCCTCATCACTATTGGTAGCCGTTTTTCCTGCACCACTTTGAGTCTCTCTGGTCTCGTCTAAAGTAATCCCACGATCATGTCAGAGAGTTGAGGGAAAACGCGGGATCTAAACTAGTATCCGTAACATAGAGAACGCGGATGGAGATCATCGAGGATTTTGTTATATAGGGATAATCTTATAATCACATTTAGCCTTGTTTCCGAAATCGATTTCCCTTTGCTTGGCATCGCAGTTTGAAATGATGGGAATGTCGTTAAACGGAATTCCTCCAATGGGGAAGCTAACGCTTCCGGTCATGGCTAAATTCAGTGTCATGTCCCTATTTTTCATGTCGATCTTGAGTTGGTCTGCGTCGTCTTTGTCAATCTTGGATTTATTAACCCTAACAGTTCCATTCAAGGACTTGGTGTTCTTGTGGCCCTGAGTAAACTGAGAAAACTGGGTGATACCTAGCGGGATGTGCGCAGACGTAACCTTGATCTTGAAGGCGCCATACTTGAGCTCAGTTTTGTCGTTCTTGTTAAAGAACTCCACAAGAAAATCTACCTTTCCCTTCAAGACGATGTTATTGTGGTTTTTAGTAAAGTTGAGGCTGGTGGCGTTGAATCTTCGGATGTAGATTGTTGGGAGATACGAATGGAAGATGGCCACGCAAATGAAACCAATAATGAGAGCGAGAATCACAATGGCGAAGAAGACCAGGCAGCACCATGCGCAGCAAGCGTAGCAGCCTGGACGAATACGCTTGGGGCGCTCATGGTCAAGGTCAGGAACCGGATAGGGCTGTTCGCGGACCTTGCTGGGAGCTGAGGCAGTTTCAGAAAAGGCAACATGCCGTGCACTGCTGGCCTTTGATTGGTTGCGGCCAGGAGGTGGTGGCAAGGATGAACCGTCTGCCATTGTTGGAACTCTAGCTAGCACCTCCTTGCCAGATCACGGAGGATAGCAATCGACGATAAAGGTGATGAGTTTTTGAACGATCTTTCATGTGTTTAGAGAAACATAGTACATTTCTTGGCTGGAAACTGAGGACCGCAATCTATATACGGAAAATCGGAGTTGGCATGCAAAGGAAATTGGAATCGCCAGACTAGGAGAGAAACTGACCTACAACGGAAATGCAACCCCTAAATACATATATATACCCTCCTACTTTCAAGGGCCTATAACGTGCATCTCCGTAAGAGTAGCTTTAGACCAGGTGACCAACATTTCTAACCACATTCGCTGTCTCATAATGTGATGATGTGTACTTTCAACGTCAATTTTATAGTGATTAAAATGTGATTATAGGAATAGGAAATAATAATGGAAACGATTTCCGCACGCCCAATGCTTATTTTTGTCACTTGATTCTCTATTTGATTTATTCAATCCAAATGTTAGAAATAAACTTGAATGTGCAGAAATCATTTCCTTAAAACAAAAATCAGACAGAACTATTGAATTATCAAAGATCGTCGATTAATTCATTATGTTAAAATTCAATATTACAACAAATCAAGAAAAGAAAATACCCCACCTAAACTACTTAGAAAAATCTCACAATTGGACTGATCATAAATTGCCACTCTACAAAGCCATGCATGTAATTGAATAATGCTTGGGAAAACCTTAAGAGGCATGTACAAAAAATGTACAGTTCTATCTTGAATTTCTCAGATCCTAATAAAACAAGTTTGAGCGGTCAAGGAGTCTGCACAGTTGAGTGCTTTGATTTATTCTCTTCGGAAGATGGCCGGTTCTCTGAGTCTGATTGCCGGATTTCTTCAATCATTCTAACAACTTCTTCCATGCTCGGTCTCATATCCGGAACCTTGGCCACGCACGCCATTGCAATTTGCAACATTTGAACCATTTCTTCTTCAATGTTTTGGTACCTCATCAGTTCAACGTCAAACACCTCTGCGGTCCACTCCTCCCTGACCACGGACTGGACCCACCGAGGAAGATCAACCATATCATCACGCCCCGGTGACTGGAGGGGAGCTTTTCCAGTCAGCATCTCAAGGAGGACGACACCAAAGCTGTACACATCTGATTTATGAGAGTGCCTGCGGGTTTCAATCACCTCTGGAGCGCGATAGCCTGCACTCCGAGCAGTGGCAGAAACATTCATGAGAGGAGTCAGGCCAACATCAGAGATGCACCCATTGAGGTCTTGGCTGAGAAGGACATTTGTGGACTTGATATTTCCATGAGTGAATTTTGGACCACCCACAGAATGGATATGAGCAATTCCCCTCGCGGTGCCAAGGGAAATCTTTACCCTCGAGTCCCAGTCTAATGCAGTTCTTCCACCTCCTCGGTTTCCTGCCATAAGATTCAATAAAAATTGAGTGTGGTGCACAGGACAGTGACTTCAACATACAGCTGAATTTTCTCAAAAGGTCATCTAAATAGCCTGTCCTGAATAGATCCATTACAGACTTTTGAAAGAAGAACTAAAAGTGATTGCCAATACAGAGAAGAAAAATTGAAGGTAGCAAGCTGCTTTGTACACTTCAGTAAACTGAAAGCAGTTGCTGAACTCGGAAATATGTAGTATCTTTCGTATTGGTTATGGGGATAGAAAGTAGAACGGTAACCTGATCTTTTATTACGCATAACAGATGAGCATGTTTTACCATCAAGCAAAAAGGAAACAGAAATAGTTAGGAAAAGTAATAGGTGACTTTCACTGTCAGTAACACTGGCTGAAGAATGGGGTATCACAATGCCTCCTCCTATGAGGACTAGAAAACCATTGGTCCATTAGGCATACGGAGGTCAAACCAAAATTCACATACTCGTGGGATGCATGCAGATGAAATGCATCCGAGTTGCAAAGCACGTAATTAGAACTCTGAAATCCCAACATAACACCATCATTATCGAATATGCTGCTCGACTACGTTGATGAAAACTCCTTAATTTAAAATTGATGTTTCTCTACAAGTATTCTACAGAAACTATATACTCTTCACGGTAATTACCTGCATTTTCTCTTAGATATGCACACAAGTTCTCACTTACAAATGGTGTGTTTATTTTTATGAAAGAGATATAAAAGAAAGAAATGGAGTAGTGACATGCATACCATGTAAAAGCGCAGATAAGCTCCCATTTGAGATATAATCATAAACTAGAAGCTTCTCGTCCTTTGAGTAATAATAAGCACGGAGTGGAACAACATTTGCGTGCTGTCCAACTCTTCCCACAATCTCCATCTGCTGTTCAAAATCCCTCTTCCCAACGACCACTTCCTTCAACCTTTTAACTACCACTGTTGTTGCCTCCTCTAAGACCGCCTTGTATGCAGTACCATAACTTCCCTTTCCTAACACTTCAGCTGAAGCCCTCAACAAATCATCCAGATCAAAATTGTAAGAACAACCTTCAAAGAAAACTAGTTTGTTCTTCTCGGGTTCTTGCACCCCACTCCCAAACTCCTCCTTGGGCTTCTCACTCCTTCCGCCGGTAGAAGACTTCCCTTTCAATACACTAGTTCCTCCGTTGTCTTTCTTCTTTAAACAGCAGAGAACTACAATTAGGCCTAACAGCAACAGCAGAACAGACCCTCCAGCTGCAATAGCAATGACGTATCCCAACCTGAGCTTTTTCTTGGAGCTCTTTTTATGAGGAGCTACTGGTGGTGGTCGATTGGAAGTAGGAGGTGGCGGAGGAAGGACGAGGGAGCAAGGCTTAAGATGCCCTCCACATAAAAGTGAATTTCCCACAAAGGATGACTTGGGGAACCTTTGAAGGGATGATGGTATAGAGCCATTAAGACGGTTGTAACTTAAATTCAGACGCTTGAGCTTAGGTAGGTCGAGATGAGGTATAGGTCCGGAAAGGGTGTTGTTCTGGAGGCTCAATCCTGTGAGTTGTGTCAAATTACGCATTGTTTCTGGAATGTTGCCTGTGAAGGAATTAAATGATAAATCCAATACATTGAGTTGAGGTGAAAAGGAGGTAGGAATGTCACCAGATAAGTTGTTACGTTGCAGGTATAAGCGCTGGAGTGCAGGAAGGGAGGTGACATCAGAAGGAAGGACACCGCGGAGGAGATTAGACCGAAGGCTAAGAATCCGGAGGGCATCTAGCCTACCAAGGGTGTTTGGTGGGACAGAGCCCAACAGTCCAACTCCAGGAAGTCGGAGGGAAATAACCCGGGTGCCATTTGGAGTGCAAGTGATGCCAACCCAAGATGTGCAGACAGGGGTAGCAGGGTTCCAACTAAGCTTTCGACGATGGGGAACAGCGTCAGCGAAGTCAATAAGTGCTTGCCTATCGGAAGTCAGGTCAGAGAAAACCAGGGGAAGAAGAATGGCAATGCCAAAAAGGAAGTGAATAACTAAAAAAGGACAGGACTTCATGGGGAGCTGTTAAGACCAAAGTCTACGAAAGTGACCAGAGAAAAACCAAAATGCAACCTCTGCAGGGCTTACAGTCTCCTGGTTCAGCAGGAAAACGAAAAAATGAAGATTAGGTAGACAATAATACAAAGCATTTACATTAAGTAATTTGACCAAATTAAAACCTAATCCAACGGTCACAAGAAAAGTGGGTTTAGTCCAACGCAACCACATTGACTAAATTCAACATTTTAATTATAGTAAAATGAAAGAAACTGAGAAAATCATCGATGGGTTGAGCAGAAGTTAAGTGGAAAACCTAGCAGTAAGGCATTCATGCAAGGAGATAACACAAGAAAAGCACTTTTCACACTGGCAGGCATAGCAAGTTCAGATCTATAAGCACTTTTTTTTTTACCTGCATTTTGCAGCAGAGAGTGCAGTGAGAGCTGAGGAGCTGCCTGAGCTGAATAGCATAGGGTAAAGCTCCTTCCTTGAAGTAAAAAGCTTCAGATCCAATCCAGGCATTACAGGTTTCTTCTGAGATAGCCACTCACTCAGCAGAAATATGGGTGCAAAAAAAGCACAAAAGTCCGAGACTTTTGAGAATTTGGTGGGATTTTAAGCAGGAAAAAGTGCTTCCAATTTTCTTACCAGACAATTGAGCAGAAGGGAAAGTTCAAAGCTTGGTTTTTGAGATTGATAAAAGGAAAATTTAGTGTTTGAATTGAAAAAGTGGAAGGGGAGAAAGGAGAAGGGAAGGGGAAAGAAGATTAAGGAATGAGTAAATTAGAGGGAAAAAAGAAAGGGGAGATTGTGAGCACTGCACTGCCCTTTGTGTGTGTGTGAGCTGTGTGCCCATTTCAAGACCAGATGCCAAATCTTAAGTGAAATATCATATAATTAAATATAATTAAATTTGAAGGTAGAAATAAGTTTCAACTGATATGTCAATTCTATGTGGATTGACATATGAGAAAATGTGATGTCTAATAATTTTTAATTATTTATTATGTGAGTCTCATTAATGTTTTAATTATAGATCTTGAAAATTTATTTTAATTGATATCTTTTTAAAATAGGTCTTCCAAATATCATTTGTAACAAAAATAACATATCGTTTGGAAAAAAATAAAATTTAACATTGTCAACCATCAAATTAACATTGACATTTATTTTTTGACATCTCCTTTAAAGATGGTCCTTTAGTCTACTTAGAGAGACAAAGCCTAGCTCAAAAGAAAAAAAGGATATCCTCCATATCCTGGGGATCCCAGGGATCTTTTTCCACTCAAAAGTACCACTGCTTTTTTTTTTTAGGCTTAACACGTTATTTTATTTTTATTTTTTTTGTTGTTGTAAAACAACAATTTAAACTTTTGTAATTTACAAATATATATATATATATATATATATATATATAATTTAAACTCAAGTACAAGAGAATTAAAGCATCTTTTTTTTTAAATTACTTTAATTTGTGAAAAGAGATATTTAAACACAGCTATAAAAGAATGACTATTGTGTTTTAAACATTTAGTTAGTTGATTTAACCTACATCTCTACATGAGAAATGTTAAGGAGACTCTCGAAAAAAATTGGATTCTTTATAGACTCTCTGTCACATCATATTTTTAGCACAATGTTTTATAATATTAGTATAAAAATTAACGTTAAGCTGTAAGATGATGAGGGTAACCCACTTTAAAAGTCTCATTGGCATTGCTCTTAAATAGTATCATGGTATATAGTAAAATTTTGAACCGATTTGCTTTTCAATTCAAAGAATTAAGACGTTACTCGCAGTCTTCCTAGCCGTTACCATTATACTGCTCTTGATTGTTTTCTCCTTCACTCTTTTGAGAAATTGTTGAGGTAATACACGTCAGTTTTTGTTTGTACGTCCAGAAATCTTCTTCACGCTACTCATATCGACTCGGCAGGGGAACTTTTTGGGTCAATTAGGTAGGGGAACTTGAGTAGATGCAATTGCATGGATGCTCTGGCTAACAATCATTTAATTGTACCAATATGACTTATTGTGGCCGAAAAAGTAGCTATTGTTTCATTTCAACGAAAAATGTTTACCTGTGTTTTTGAAACGTTACGTTGTGTAATACTTTGATTATTATAATATAGATGAGCGATATGGTTAATATTTCCAACTTCAAGTTTATATATAAATAATAAATAATTACATGTGTCATAATTATAGTGACCTGATAACTCTAGACGGTGCTTTGAGTACAAAGAAAAACCTCTCCATTTCAACATTCAATTTTCAAATTCCCGTATTGGTAGGCTAAACCAGCAGCGACAGTAGCTCCGTCAGCTTCCTTTGGTTCATCATTGCCCTGTGGGAACGGGCGCTTTTTTGGTCAATGAGGTTTCATGCTGCAGAGGACTGCAAGAGGGTTTTCAAAATTTTGAACCCGCACAAACACATACATGTGAAAAGTTATAATGTCAAGCTTCATCAATAATACCATTTCCCATTGCATATAGTCAGATCTCTGATAGAGAATGTGGGTATAAATAAGCAATAGTGACTCTAAATAGGTCACAAAAACTGCTAGCTTTCTATGAATTTCATATGTAATGTATGTATCTTTATGTTTGCTCTCAAAGGTTATTAAGTATTCTCGAACAACTACAAAGTTGGTATGCACAAGAGAGAAACAAAAGCAAAACCCAGGTTTCAAGAACCGGCCTCACGACTTGTGCAATAGTTAAATCGAGACAAATATCTGTCTTAAAAATTAACCATGTTTGAGTTGATTGAAAATCAAACTTGAGCAGCTGCTATTAAAACACTCCCAAGTTTTCCACCCATCTAACCCATTGGGGTTATGTGTTAAAGTTATGATGATGATGATATTATGACTTAAATTAAGACAAAGAAGTTACCAATTTAATTGAAGGTTGAAGCCAATGAGACATGGGATCTTTGATGGAAGAGTTGTGGATTGGAGGGAGGGAAACCTTGATTCAACCACTACCCCCACCTTTTCCATTTTATTGCCAACCACCTTAACCTACCATTATTACATTTTAGGTACTCCATCATCTGCATGCTCATCAACGCCCCATGCCAAGTGCAAAAATTCCAAAAAAAAATTCTTAGCTCATCACATGAAAGAAGATACTTTACCTTCTCACCAATTAAGTAAGACTAGAACTAAAAACTTATGAAAATTTAGAGGAAGGGTTCAGTCATACAACCGGAGGCCGAAATATATTTCTCTTTTTGGTATCTCTCTCGTGACGAGAAAGATAGAGAAACAGAGATATATCTCTAGTTACAAACAAGATCGGTCATGGTGAAATTGTACATGCATGGTTTAAAACATCCAAAACAAGCTAACTCTGCAACAACTAGATAATGCCAAAAGAAATTCATGCACGAATAAGAAGTGGTAACCCTTCTCACGATCATGATGTCTCAGTAGCAGCACTTTTCAAAGGTTTCATGATTAAACATACATAATATTATATACCTCGTGAGTTGGAGAGGGACTTATATACCTTTAATGAGATGTATCATTTTTGTGTCGATCTCACTCCTTAAGTGACTTAACACGTAAGAGCTGAAATAACGCATTATGGGTGAAGTACGCACAAAATGTATACCCTATAGGTAAACATTTCTGCCTAGTTTGGGTGTGAAAGAAGAATTTTCTAGATCAGTCTCCTAAAATATTGTTAACCTAATTGTTTTGTATTTATTATGTTTGTGAAAGTTGGTTTTACATGGAATATTCAAAGGTGTATTATAATGTACTAAAAACACAATAGAATAGACAATAGCACTTGAATTTTAGTTTAATTGTTTTGGTCATAAAATTAAACTTTGTTTTTTAAGTTTCCACTTGTATTATTTAGTCCCTCATTCTCCCAGCTTGGCAGACAATCCAATTTAATCATGATCTAGCAGCTAATCATGTACAATTAATGTCAGCCTTATGGTATATGTGTTGAAGCCTTCAACTAAGGAAAATGTTTGATCTTTATATGTTCAATTGTTACGAAAGAATATTAAGCAATTGGTATCATTCTGACTTCTAACTTCTCGTGTTTGCTAATACACAAATAATAAAAAAAAAATCCTAGGTGGGGTACATCCATCAAATTCAATTCAGGTTTGAGATCAACAATACATAAACAACAAGGTATCATCCTGATTCATGATTTCTCCTAATAAATTTGCCTTTTAACTTATGACATGTTGACTAACTATAAGAAATTGATAACATTTCAATTGTTGAATTTTCAAACGTTTACTAACATATAAAGAACAAAAAATTAAGTATTAGTTCAATTTTCAAATCCCCTATACCTAAACAATAATTTACCATTTTAATTCATGACTTTCTCGATTCAAGTAAGTAAAGTGTTCACAATGGAGCATGCAATGTGTGAAGAGGCAGAGAGGGAGAGGAGAGAGTTGAATGCATGCAATAAAATGTACAAGCTCAGTCCCAGAAGTCCCATGACTGAGAGTGAAAGATTGCCTACTGATGAGTGAGCTGCGCCAAATGCCAGCATGCGGCCCCAAACATTTGACACAGAATATCCACCTTTACAAGGCAAGTACCCAACTAAAACATTTCAAAAATACAAAGAAAAAGTTTGGAAATTTCTTCACTATTACGTATCATTGAAAGAAATTAAAAATAGAAGATTTAAACAATTGTAAAAAGTAAGTTAAAATACCTTTAGTATTGAATGATATGTAGCATTGAAGTCACACCCAAAAGTTTGAGCCAAAATAATATATATGTGAAGAGCAACTTCCATAGCATTATGTTCACTATTACCGTGATATCTCATGCGAATTGTACAACATTATACATAAACATACACACAATTTTATATCATTGATATAAAAAATCACGATAATAATGTACTCGACTTTCCTCCTATATATGTGGTAGGTTGACCTCATTGAAGATGTGCAAGGAACCATGAAATCTAAGAAGAATGATGTATTAAAGACTGAAGTTTGTAATGACAATTTGGTCTAATTTCTTTGTAAACTCTCTACTTTGCAAGAGCTAACACATGGAGGGGTCCTTTTAGTTAAATAAAAATCAAGGCTCTTTGTTTGCACTTCACACCATCTTTCTAGTAATCAAGGACATGATCCATAAATTATGTAGTGTAGGACCTTTTTGCCTTGTTTATGTTTGAAAGGAGGAGGAATAAACAACATTGAGTCATCATTTTCAAAAGAAAGAAAAAAGTTGCATATAATCCTTTGACTCTATATACAATCATGAATAACGAGAAAAACTTGTATACAATCGAAATGCTACTTCAACAGCAATATCTACAGCAGGATTACTATCGAACGCAGACTGTCATTTGTCTATTATCCTAGCTGAAACCCTAATCACCATCAAGAGGTATTGTAGATGGAGGACCGGCACTGAATGAAATTTCGCTCCTCCGGGAGATCTCCAATGAAGTCAAAGACTAAATCTGCATTGTGGAAGTCTTCTTCAGCTGTGTACCTGAAACCGGAGTTTGAAGAGATGAAGTGAACATGTTTATCAAATTTGAAGTATAATCTGAGATATCAGGAAGGTGGCATATATGGAAGCACTCTTCTTTCGTTCATATAGGAAAGTAAGTTACCCACTTTTGGTTATGATACACTTCATTCCATCAACTGTCTGCTGCAAGGCCTATGCTGACGTCATCGGCCACAACACAACTGCAGACAAATGAAAGACATTGTTTTTTATCCTAGAAAGTTGGGGTAGAGAATGCACATGTGTTTGTAGAAGTAACTTGTTGCAGCTTGAATTTTCTGCTTAAAATAACAGAGGCTACTTCCTTCATATCCGCAATGCACAATTTATTATAAACACGATTAATTCTCGATGATAAAAATGTTAATCCTTTATAACGGCATAAGAAAGTGGCTCAAGGGAGACAGTATTACCTTCACAGCCCGAAGAATCTGTAGAATACTGTGGTGTTGAGACAATGGTAACAGGACGAGTGACCCAAAGTATCCAATATGGACCTACACCGACATCATTATCATCATCGCATAATGACTAATAAGTACATGGTGAATATGAAATGGAGAAAACCTTAAAATGGGAAGAAAAAAAATGTGTGCTTAGATTGTTCAATGTAAAATAAAAGGAGGAAAGAACACCTTATATACTGGAGCTGATTTTACAGACGTTCACATCAATGCAGGGTACAAAGGACGCTAGGAAGCCCAAGCTTCTAAAGATCCACACAACACAAAAAATCAACTGAATTCAAATCTCTGTGCAAACACATAAGGATGCATTTCGATTTGGCGACGAGTATCAAACAAAAAATATTGATCCAGTTGTAATTGACAAGATAAAAGATTACCAATTTGTATCCAAATTAAGGTTTGATGATAAGGAAACACGATTGAAGTTGAAGAATGATATTGATCCATGCATGAGTTTTGATTGGATTCCAATTCTGCCTGTACAAAGATAACACACCAAAACAACTTAATAAAAATATAAACAACAAATTTCAACTTTGCAACTGATAGTAAAAAGCTTGGACCTGAAGATTCATTTACCTAATTTCTGCAATAGTATGTGTACATTCTGTTCATCAAGTTCACAGAGACAAAAGCCAACTGAATCCAAATCCCTCTGCATACAATTTAAATATCTGTTCAAAAGATACAAGTGATCATAAAAATAACAAAGATTCAAAGAGAAAGCAATTACAGCAATTTTACATAATATATGAACATGGTTTTACCAGCTAACAAGTCTTGGAATAACATTTGCTCCACTTTCCTCATTATCCAAGAATCAAATGACTAAGGGAAGTGCTACAATGTTCATCGGGATAAAAAGTCATTAATCCATGATTTTAATTTGGGACACACCAACAATAATATCTCTCAATACTTGCAATTCAACTAACTTTCTCACAGAATCCCAAAAAGTCTCAAGATCTTGAATGTTCTGCAAGGAAAGACACAAAAATCAACAATAATATTGCTCTAAATAATTTGGGTACTCAACAGTTCATCAAGTTACTCGAGCAATATCAACTACAGACACAAAATCAATAGTATTCAAATCACTCTGCATACAATTCAGATATTACAAGTAGCCCCAAAACTATCAGTCCAAAATCTTCATAAGAGAGCAATTACAGCAGTTCTATTTATTATACCAACATCGTTATCCTGAAAACAAGTCTTGAGATAATATAGAGTTATAGACAAATTTCCTCATTGTGCAGGAATCAATGGAATAAGCAAACTGTAAGAGGTTGAAGCAACAAATGTGGTAAATCTACCACTACCATTGTGATCAGGATAAAAAGTCATTAGCATGCAATGGATGAAAGGATGAAACAATATCTTAAACAACAAACACCACATTTCTGGAAAGAAAAAAAAACAATATCTTATGCATCAGTACCTGGACTCTGTTTGCACCTACTGCACTACATCATTCCAGTTGCGTAGTTTCAATCCGAGTATTGTCACAGACCTCAACTGATCATTTAAAAGAAAAGGGAGAAGGATAAACAAATTATGTTATACTAGTTTAAATTTGAGTGTAGTACTAGTGGAGACACGAAATAAAAGAAGAAACGTTAGCTCTATAATTTGATTTCAATAATTTAAAACTTACTTGTGAAATATGGAATGTGAGAAATCTTAGGCCAATCTGTGCCGCTGTCCCTGGTGCATCTTTCCTCTAAAAGGGGATGACATCGAAAAATAACGGAGAGAATGGAGGCTGTCTAAACTTGGAAGACTCTCTAAATTCGCGATGTCTCTTATTGTCAGCATCTCAAGAGAGAGTGGGAATTGCAGGCTTGAAAATTATTGAGTAATTGAAGATTCTTTTACCTAATTTTTGCAATAATGGGGTATTTGACATTTCATCAAGTTAGTCAAGGGATATGAAATAGAGATAAATAAATCAACCAAATTCAAATCACTGTTTATACGATTCGAAAATCTGTCCATAAATCACATGTAACCATAAAAATATCAGTCCAAAATCTTCATAAGGATAACAATAACAAACAGAAGGTAATTGCAGTAGTTCTAAATATTATATGAACATGGTTTTACACGATGACAATTATTGGCATTACTCATCTAACACTAGTTGGGTGCTGGCAGTGTGTGATTAAACAAGATTCAATATCGTGATGGGTGATCAAGCTAGTGGTTCAGTACTCACACAGGTGAACTAAAGAAAGTTAAAATATTGATTGATGTTGCAGGAATTAAGAAAGATAACATGTAAAGGAGAATGCCCAAGGCCTATAAAAAGAGGTATATTATTGAGAAATTAAGGTAGAGCGAGAGAATTAATATCGTGTGCATCAGTACCTGGAGTCAGTTTACAGCTATCGAGCATCATGAAAAACGCCACAGCATACCAAAAGAAATATAGATGGCACTGGGAAACACACAACATATATAGTAAATAACAAGTCAACAGTAGAAGGTGTTGATGAATTAGAACTAGAAGAGAAGAGGAGGTGTGGCTTTGAAAATCTTACACGACTTAATTTCAATGCGCGAGTTTGAGCCATAAAATTGGAATACAAGTAATCTCGGAGAAGTGTGGCCTTGCACACCATGAAATTTGGTTTTCCCAATACACATTTGTTGTAGTATCGCAAGGCGTTGCATAGCTTCAATCCAACTCTTGTCTCAGAATACTGATCATTTAAAAGAAGAGGGAGAAGGATAAACAAATTATGTTATACTAGTTTAAATTTGAGTGTAGTACTAGTGGTGGAGACACGAAATAAAAGAAGAAACGTTAGCTCTATAATTTGATTTCAATAATTTAAAACTTACTTGTGATATTTGGAATGTGAGAAATCTTAGGCCAATCTGTGCCGCTGTCCCTCCTGCATCTTTCCTCTAGAAGGGGATGACATTTATTAATCCACAGGGTTTGTAATTTGGTGAGGCGTTGCATAGCTTGGACACTTGGTAAATTCATCAGATTCTTGCAATCTTGAAAGTAAAGTTGTGTAAGGGATGTAAGGCTACCCAACCATTCTGGCAAAGTCTCCACTCCCTCAAATGAAGATATGAACAAAATTGTTAGAGAAGTGAGGTGTTGAATTTGTTGAGGCAGAGACTTGAGCTTAGGCCAACCCTTCAAGTATAAGCTTGTAAGATGCATTAATGATCCAACTTCAAAATCAGGGAAGGAATCGAGCTTCTCCCAGAACCCACCGATAGTCAATGTCTCCAAGCCAGTGGGCCACTGTAGCCCCGTTGGCAGATATTTTAGGTTTCGCCAATTTACAATCCACAAACTACGGAGAGAATGGAGGTGGTCTAAACTTGGAAGAATGTGTAAATTAGGCATATCATGTATTGACAGGGTCTCAAGAGAGAGTGGGAATTGTAGGCTGCTCACCCAACTTTCGAATCTTTCACAATTTCCAATCAACAAAGTACGGAGAGAATGGAGGTGGTCTAAACTTGGAAGAATGTGTAAATTAGGCATATCATGTATTTCCAGCGTCTCAAGAGAGAGTGGGAATTGTAGGCTGCTCACCCAACTTTCTAATCTTTCACATAAACTAATATGTAGTCGTCGAAGGGAGGTCATGGTGCGCAAGTCTGAAGTAGATTGTAGGCTAATGCACTCCTCCTCCTTCTCAGCTCTGCTACTTTTGACACCAAACGATGATAGCTTTGGGCAACCCCCTATCTCCAATTCCTGAAGAGAGGGACACAGTTGTGGAAGAGCAGGTAAGCTTGCTAATTCACTGCAATCCCTGATTGTCAATTTCTGAAGAGAGGCGGTGAGGGACACATTGCCTTTCATTTCAATTGATGTCAGATTATTGCATTTCCGTATTCTCAATTCCACGAGAGAGGTCCCTACACTCAATGGGCCTGATAGTCCATTGCAATTCTCTATACTCACTTCCACGAGAGAGGCCCATAAACTCAATGGGCCTGATAATCCATCGCATTCCCATATTCTCAACTTCTCAAGACAAGGAAAAACCACAACTTTTTTTCTTGACATTGTTGGTGCTTGCTTCCATTCATTTAGATCACCACACTTAGAAATATATAATACTTTTAGCGCTGGAAATAAAGTAATTATCTCCTCACTTGTCGTGGCTACATTGTGGACAAGATCATAACCATAGAACTCAGCTCCAACACATTTCAAGTTAGCCATTCCTCTAATAATAAGCTCCGTAAGATTGGGTAGATGACCGAGCGGTGGGACTACTTCACATTTGTTGCATTCACTTAACTTAATCTTCTTCAAGTTGTTGAGCAACCCACTCATCATCCACGTTGGAAACTTATCGCCCATGAAGTTTTCAATACTTAAGCTTTCCAACTCAAGATGTGGTCGGAGGCCTTCTAGGACATCTTCCTCCACGTTGTTGTCAGTTGTTGACCTATCTGCAGTCCAATTGAAGCTCAAATGGTGTACTTTCGTCTTATCCTCTAACTTAGCTTTCTTTGCTTCTTCTCCATTCTTTACGTGCTCCAAATTACAAACAATTAATTCACCCTTCAATTGTTTCAAGCCAGCCAACTCTTCAATTCGACGACCAATCTCATTACCCACCGAAAAGTAAGGTAATGTTCGAAGGCAAGTCAACTGTCCTATCCCTTGTGGGAATTTGATATCCTCATCAAAATAAATATGTCTCAGGTTGATCAAGTTTTGCAGTTCTTTCGGAAACTCTTCAAGGGCACAATTCACTGCTCTTAATGTCTGAAGGTTATAGAGCTTGCCTATAGATTTGGGGAGTGCTTTGAATCTTGTCCAAGAAATGTCAAGATACCTCAAGTGTTTCAACCTTCCAACTGAAACTGGAAATTCTTCAATATTAGCGTCACTTAAATTCAAGACACGTAAAGCTTTGAACCGTGGAAAAATGTTAGCAGGAACTTCACCGTTGTCCGAAAACAGCGACCGCAATTTCCTAGCACTTCTTGTTGCGATATTTTCCAGTGTAGAAGTAGAAACCCGAGCAACATGTCGAAACTCAAGTGTATTATCTCTGCCACATAAGTCTCCCATCAAGCTTTCAGATTTGGACACAAGTTCTGCCAAATCGTGCACAAGATCATGCATCTTGCATTCGGTAACAATGCCATTGTCACCCATCGTAGCATCTTGAAACAAGGAGCTCTGCAATAGAATATCAAAATACTCATTGCCTGTGTCCTCCATATCTTTACTTTCGTCATGCGAAGCTCGGAGTAGTCCTTGAGCCATCCAAAGTTGAATCAAGTTGTCTCTTTCAATTTCAAAGTCTTTCTCGAACATTGAGCAATATGCAAAACATTGCTTCAATGATGGTGATTCTAAATTGTCAAAACTCAACCTCAGGACTGGCATAATTCCATCTTCTCCTTTCGGTAAGTTGTTCCATATTCTACTGTTTTTAAACAACGACCATTCTTCAATGCTTTTTTTAGTGCGCAAAATGCCTCCCAAAACCTGTTAATTGGATTAGAGAGTTTCTATCACATAATTATCTACGGGGTACAGTAGTTCAACTGAAGTTGATGGAAAAGAAAAAGAAAAACAAGGAATAGTTTCATTTAATTTCAAGAAAAACTGGGAGTAGTTTAGATCTAAAATTGACTTTAAACTTTAAACTATTAGATTGGAGATGCCCTAACAAAATACCAATTTAAGTCATAACAAAATAATTCATCCAATAACAATGCAAATGCTTTAAACCGCTTCAACTAATTTAACTGATTTTTACTAGACTTGTTCCTTTTTCTAAAGTTTTTGTCCCTCTTGGAAGACCAATGTAAATTGAATCTTCAAATTCGAACACAATTCATCATTTTGCAAATAATATAACTAAAATTCAAGGGGCTTAGACCTGTTTGTTTACTACCAAACAAATGAATTTGAACGACAACCATGAAAATGAACGGTTCCATATTATACTGTTTTTCAAACGACAATCATTCTTCAATACTTTTTTTGGTGTACAAAATGTCTCCTAAAACATGCTAATTGGATTAGTGAGTTTCAAAGGTGTCCTAAAACAATGTAGAAAATCGGGACTTGTATAAAATTTGGAAGTTTTGGCTTCCTTAATTATGAATCCCCTTGCCTAAAAGGACAAAATCTAAGCCATGTGCAAAATTATATATTAGCTTCCATTATTTTTGGTGTTTGACGAATTTCCCAAAGTACCCATTAAGTAGTTAAAACTTAAAAACACGTTTTATTCTTGATTTGTTGGGATAATGAATTAATTTTATAGGATATTTGGCCAATGGTCAATAAAAACTTTACTAATTAGCCATATATCAATGGATAATTTTATTTTTGGACATAATTAATGAAATATTTATAATAATTATGCATAGGTCAATAGAGTATGCCACGTAAGTTTAAACTAGTTATAAAATAACTATTATACCCTTCTCTCTTCACTTTATTCCATTCCTTATCTCTTTCACTCTCCTTATTTACTTCATTTTCTCCCAATTTTCTATCCTGTCTCTATCTCCCCTTTTTTCTCCTCCCCTTCTCATGTTTATCTCTCCTATCCATGCCTCTCTATCTTTCTTTCTCTTCCATCAAACCTGAACAAATAGTTCGATTAATCTCAGTGCTGTGAAACTTCCCCATTACCAAACACAATCACAATGGCGAGAGAAAAAAATGAAATTCCAAAAAAAGTGCAACAATCGGCAGCAAAAACAAAACGCAAGCAAAAAAAAAAAAGAGATGTAATAGATATCCAGCAAATCTTCAAAGGCTTTGGACATGGAGATTGTCTTAAGGGTATTGTCCATCAAAATCCTCTTGAATTAAAGGTGCGTTTGCAAAGAGTTTTGCAGTTTGCAATTCAAAATCAAGAAACAGACACCTCGTGTGTTTAAATTTAAATATAAAAGGTTGCACAAGTGCGAAGCATAGGAAATGAAAAAAAACAACCAGAAAACACACCCTGCAACATAGTGTCTAAATCACAACGTAAAAAGAAAAGAAGAAAAAAAAAAGAATCAGGAAACAAACACTGCATTATAGTGTCTGAATAAAAATATAAAAAACAGGAAACGAACATTGCATTGTAGTGTTTGAGTCTAAATGTAAAAATAATATAAAAAACAGAGCAGGAAACGAACGTAGTGTCTAAATCCAAATGTAAAAATTAGGAGTTGCATGAGGTGTGAAAAATAAGAGGTGTGTGTGATAAAAAAAAAAAAACAAAAACAAAAAAAAACAAAACAAAACCAGAAACTAACACTGTAACGCAATGCCTGAATCCAATAAAACCAAAATCAGAAAATAGACACTTCGTTGCAGTGTCTAAATCCGTATTGACTTATTCCAAAATATGAAAATATGAGAAAATGATTGTCATTTAAAATGGATGCCAGTTACAATAGCATATTTTGTAATTTTTGTTTATCTTAAATGTATTTAAGTATCACAATACATGATTGATGTATTTATAATTAACAAAAATATGATTGATATATTGTTAATATTGTAATTTTTTATTGATTTTATACCAAATCACCCAAATTTTATCTAGTTTCTGCCTCGTTCAAATCAATAAGTTGCTATTGTTGGTTTTGGTAAAAAAAAAAGGTTAGAGACACCACATTTTGTATACTATATAACATATAAGTGATGTGTATGTGCTATGTCAATTAATAATTTTAGTGAAATTTTCACACCATCTAAAAGGTCATTCTACGTAATTGTGCTTTAAAAATTCAAATTCAATTCAACCATTTTTCAAATAATATAAAATAAGTGCAAATCTCATGTTATATATAATAGTACGCACCTTTGCCACCAATGGAACACCACCGCAATTTTCAGCAATCTCCCTTCCAATTGTATCAAACTCAGGATCACTGTTATTGGTGAAAGCTCTATTTTTCATGATGGACCAACATTCATCCACAGAAAGTTTTCCCAATTCATGTCGCGGAAGTAGCTTTTCTGAGATTGATGCGACTTTATCTTTGCGAGTGGTGACAATAATTTTGGATCCTTTAGCAGAACTAAGCTTTGACAAACATTCCATGAAACTCTCCCATAGTTTGGAATCTTCGTTCCAAACGTCATCAAGTACGAGTAAGTATTTTTTATCTTTCAACTCTTCATCAAGTGACAAAAGCAGAGTATGCTGATTATCTTTAGAAGGAGCTTTTCCCCGATTAAGCTGTTCTGACATTTGATGTAGGATGAAATTGACGTCAAAAGCGTCGGATACACAAATCCAAATTTTTTTTTCAAAAAACTTGTGTATCGAATCCTCATTGTAAACTGACTTGGCCAATGTTGTTTTTCCGAGGCCTCCCATACCCACAATCGCCATGACCGCAAGATTTTCTTCATTGTATTTGGAGTCGGTCAAGGTTGTGACTATTTTTGACACATCAGCTTTCCTTCCAACGGGTATTTCATCTTTGCCAAAGAATGCGTTGGTTTGTCTATCCCATCTAATCCCCTGAGAGGTTGCATCTGTATTCCTGGAAACTAGTCCAAGAGGAGATGCTTTCCTCTCGAGATCCACCAAGGATGCATTGATCTTCTGAATTTTATGCGCCATTTGAAGACGAAATGCAAGTGGATTGGAGACTGAAAAGAAGTTCAGAACCTTTCTCTTCATATGGTTTTGGATTTCGACTTTACGCCGATCAACTTCGTACTTGAATTCATCCAAGACATCCTCAGCATCTTCAGCTACGCCTTTGAGTTTCTTCACCCAGTCCTCTATTGCCGGAGCTGTCAGAGAATGAAAACAAGTTAAAATACCTTGTCATTGTAGCATGTGTGCGAGAGATTATAAGAGAATTCAAAAATATATACTACCTTGTGGTTTGTGGGCAGCATCATTCAATAAAAGTTCAATGCTGGTGAATGAGTCTCCAAGCTTTCGAAGTTCAGCTTTGAAACCCCATGCAAGACTGAATTCTTTCTTAGCAAGTGAAAGCACCTTTTCCAGTATTCCCTCCGCAGCAAAAGTAAGCACAGCTTCAGCTGCCATTCCTACAATTCCCCTACTCCGCTCAGCTCAGCTAATCACAGTGCTTATCTTCTCTCTTCAATACAAATTACAATTACAATTCAAGAGCAATGGAAAATGATATGATAGACAACAGACGCCGGTAGGTTTAACTTTGTATAACGTGAAAAAGTGGTGCATCGTCCAAACAATTGATGATAGATAATAATTGAATGAGATATTATTCCTATCAGAAACAAATAATTGAGGATGGAATTACTTTAGACGTGGCTCCTCCTTGTTCACTTGTTCGGTTGTGCGAAAAATTTAACGTCAAAAAGAGGGTGCTGCATGCAATAATTGAGGGGTACATTCTTGGATCTTCTCCTGAGCTAATTGAGAGGGTCATCCTCATCAATTATCCTGGACCGTTAGATTTTTATCCAACGGTTATAAATCAGGATTTCTTTTAAAGTTATAATGATTGTAGCCGTTGGATAAAATTCAACGGCTCAAGATGATTGATGAGGAGGATCCTCTTCATTAGCTCAGGAGAGGATCCAAATCCATTCCTAAAAAGGATTCTCTCTGGATTCATTACCTGAGAATTTAGAGATTTTCATCTTTCAACTGTTTATTGTGTATCGTGCAATCAATTTTTATATTCCAATTCTGCTGAATTAGTAAACAGCTTTATAGAATTCTATTCCGATTCTAGAATATTTAAGTAAACAGCTTCAACAGGAATCCAATTTTGACTTCTCCTCATTCTAACTCCTCTTCAATTCAATTCCTCATATTTTCATTACTGTTACATAAATCCGTTATAAATTTAATCCCTAGTACTCCTTTTTCAATCTATACCCCCATTTTTTAAATTTAAATTCTCACCCTTTCTTTCTCTGTAGGACAGTTGGATCGCACAACACTTTTTTTCTTGTTCAAATCAATAATGGAGGGGTAGTTTCCTGTAATAAAAACTCATTGAGGACAAGCTTACTTTAGAGGTGGCTCCACCTCCTTCAGTGACTCGATTGTGTTGGATAAGTATTTTTTGTTTTTTTTTTTTAAATACGAGTCGGTAAGCCACCTAACATAATAAAGGTATAGTAGTATGCATTTTTTAGCCTTTTTTTGTTATCAGTTTGAATTCTGATACACTAAAAACTTCTCGTCCTGATTCAGTTTGCCTTCATTTTCAGCAGTTTCTACATCCTTGCTTGATAAATTGGCAATTGTGAATTTAAAAAAGAAAAAAAAAATATATATATATATTTATATATTTGTGAAGAGTAATCGTGCTGGCAATGGTAAAATAGGTGAAGTTGACAAAGACAATTACTATTCAAAATAAATGATAACTGTCATTTGGCTGCCCTTGCCCGATGGGTGGAAATGCTTTTAATATAGATAATATCCTATGTATCCAATGAAAAAAACTTACACATGCTACTACATTATTAAATGAGATATCACGTGTGCGAGAATCCCATTTCATTCCACGTAAGTTTACTCTCCTATAATCAAAGGTAAATTTAAAACCATACTGCAATACTTTGGCTTAAGGCTTGAAGACTAAAAATGTCTGGTTAACACATCCCCACTGTCATTGAGTTGAGAGAAACTTTCCTGTAATTAAGATGTCATTATGTCGATATCCCAAATAAATCGAGCACTACCATGCGGACTAGTAATAAACACATCGCAATGCTTAATTGGGTAGGGATAATACCACAACATCTGTGCCGAAAATATGAATAGCAAAAGTGCTGCAAACTGTGCCATCTCTACAAACAGTAAGAATGGAACGTAAATTTCAGTATGCTTTGTTACAGTTTTCCCTAAACAATTCTCCAACTAAAAATCACCCACATTATCCGAAAGACACAGAAAATAAAACAATTCCATGGCTCGATATCATACATCATCACCGCAATAATTCGGAATGTCGTAAAAGGCATCCCTACATTGAGCTGCAATTGTTCAAAGGAACCAATACCTCCCGATGCGGCTTGCGTGGTGATTGTGACCAAATTAAACATAACAGAACATTTTTTAATCAACCAGAGCAACAGAACTACTATGTGAGCTTCCAGCACCGATCATTTGTAGAATTCAAAGTCAGTGTCGGGCTTCTTCACGTTGGTTTGGTAACCCTTCTCAAAGTCCTTTGGGAGTATGACATACCGGTTCTTCCGGACTGCATGCATTCCTGCTTCTTGACATATAGCAGAAATCTGTACAAACCGAACCATTTACAACAGTTACTAAAGACTCAATTTTTATAAGGAAAGACTAAAGATCTGAGACCACCATAAAGCATCAATATCTTTACGCTCGGACACAGAATACTGCAGGTGAAGTCAAATAAGAGAACTCATATTCAAATTTATACCCATTCGTATTGAGGTCTTTGTTATCAACCATTAAAAGGCTAAATCCAACCCCATTTGACGATGGTAAAGTCTCCAATGCTAGCAACATATACAGATCCGTCCCATATAAAACATGTATATTCTTAAGAATCTTAACATCATAATTCTTCTAAACAACTATCTGTCTAACACCTTGACTGTTAAAAAGAGCATGTATATTTCTATCGCCATAATTGTTGTAACCAAGAGCTTTAAGCAAATATTAGTATTTCAAGATAATAGCACAATCCCAACAGCATAACAGTAACAGGATTTAACGTTGGTAGAAGAATTAAAACTATAAGCATATTCTCTCCCAAAAGAAATTAATGTCTCACCTCAGCAGCACTGATTTTGTCTGGCCGAGAGACATAATCTTCCAAGTCTACCTCATCACTCAAGTTCATTTTAGCAGTGCAAACCTGCAAGACAAGCGGGTACATTAACATTATATTGTTTGCTATAGCTTGCAAAAAATCCACATGAGTAAGACATCACAATTGCAGGAGAAAATATAGAAGAAAACACGAGTAAGACATCACCATTGCAAGAGAAAATATAGACAAAAAGGTAAATAGAAATCTGATGCCAAGTTTCATAACTATGGTAAGATGTAAGGTTGACATAGGATTAAATGGGATAATCTCATGTAGACATTGGGTGCAGGTGTGTTTTGAGCTGCCCAACTCCTGTTCAGTCCAAAATTAAGATATAAAGGGAAGTAACTGGTCAACTGATATGGATGGCACAGCACGGACACCGCAGAAGCTACAAATCTTATGCTAATGAGAAAAAGGAATACCTCACAGCTTACAAACAACATTCTACGAGTAATAATTCTTTTGTTGAAAGATACTTAAATATGTTATTTTACCTGGAAAACAAGTCTTTTCTGCCTCCTATCGGGCAAAGGAAACTCAATCTTTCGATCAAGCCTTCCAGGACGTAGAAGTGCAGGATCCAAGGTGTCTGCTCGGTTAGTAGCCATAATAACCTTAACATTCACTGTCTGGTCAAACCCATCCATCTGCAAAAGATATCAAGCCCAAATCAACTTTGAGAAGAGAAAGCAGAAAAAGAATGTTCCAGGGTTAAACTTTCGTTTGTCATTTGTTCAAATATTTTCTCCAACCCCATAGCAATGCGTTGAACATCCAAGTTCTGGTTGATTTAAAGTTTTAGTTCATTCGGATTACTTGTTCTTTCAAATCAAAACCTCCAGACCTACCTGATTAAGGAGCTCCATGAGGATTCGCTGAACTTCTCTGTCAGCTCCAGTTTGAGCATCAAACCTTGCAGTAGCAATAGCATCCACCTCATCAATAAAGATGATGGCAGGAGCATTCTCCTTGGCAAGACGGAAAACATCACGAACCATTCGTGGACCCTTGACAAATAAATAAATAAGTGCTCACAATGTTTCTCATTTAGTGAATAAACATAAATCCACAGATAGTGAGGCAACAAGAGAATATCATAGTGCCCTCACAACGCTTGACCACAATATTTGCTATTCCAACAATCAAAAGGATATGTGGAACGTAAGAAACAAGATAACACACAAAAACTAGATAAGTGATCTTATATAAAAGCTTACCTCTCCCAAATACTTCTGAACAAATTCTGAACCAACAACTCTGATGAAGGCAGCAGTAGTATGATTAGCAACAGCCTTTGCTAACATGGTTTTACCAGTTCCAGGTGGACCATAGAGTAATACACCACGTGGGGGATCTATTCCAATCTGTTTGTATAACTCGTGATGAGTAAGTGGCAGTTCTACTGCTTCCCGAATTTCTTGCTTCTGAATGTCACATCCTCCAATATCCTGATACACCATAAAAATAAAAAGGACAAAGGATTATCATTATTATATTATGATAATGCCAACATGTCTATGGAGTATTTAGCTAAGAGGAAGGAAGATGCAAACACATAGCAAATTGCTTTTATTACATGGAAACAACTTAGATTGGTTAAGTTCAGTTCTTAAAAAAGGGAACTGAACTGAAACATAGTACTAGTCTACTACTTAATCATATTAAGTTATGAATTTCATTTAATTTTTTTTCAAAATTCTTTTAAACAAGGGCTCTTCAATCTCTTATATTAAAGTTGTGCTTAGAAAAATTCCAATATTGATTCCATTATTGGATGCTTGATGGTGAATTTAAGAAAATATTAGTAACAGGCAATGTACTCAACAATTCGACATTTTAAAACAAGAGTTAATTCTCATAACAAACTAAAACAACATTCGGGCAATGTACCAACCAGTTCTTTCAAGTAAGGTATAAATTAGAGAAAGATTAATGAGTTTCGTAGTTTAAACAACAATCACCGAATAATAAAAGGCAGTCCATCTCATGCTTGAAAAGACTCTATCAAGCCTAAAGCTTGACAATTTTATGCATAGACAAATGATTAGTTTCCAATCTTAGACTCATAGAACTTGAGCAACGGATAAACTTTTGGGCTCCACTCACATCCTCCTAACATAAAGACACTTGAGCATAGAGAATCAACTCTCGACGCAGTCAAATGACACCGATATATGGTTAGTTTTTCAACTCTCAGACGCAGTCAGATGACACCAATATAGGGTGAGGTTTTCAGAACAGCTAACTTTATAGCCACAGTTCTCCTCAAAAGTGGCACCTGAATATCGTTAAATTCCACAAACCCAAAACCCTTGTAGTAATCTATTTACACCAATTAAGCATTTAATGCAAAAAATTCATAGAAGATAGTAAAAAACATGAAAAAACCCTAAATTCAGTCATAACCCTAATCACATCGATTGGGCATAACTTACAGAGTACGTGACGTCGGGCTTCTCAGACTGGCTGAGGAGGGAAATACTCGAGTCGGCCTCCGGAGGCAGAACATCGACGAGGGCATTGGAGTGGCGGTGCAAGGCGACGGAAGCGGAAGGCTTTAGGAGCTCCCGATTGATGGTGCTGAGAATCCTAACGTAGTAATTGGACCCAGTGGTGGAGCCCACGATCCCGTTATTCTGATCGACCATCTCCATGAACTGCCCGATGACGAGCGGCACCGATTGGATCCTCTTGACCTCCTCCTGGGCGCGGAGGAGCTCGCGCTTCAAATTCTTCAGCTCATCCTTGACGTACTCCTCCTGGATGTCGATGAACTCGAGCTGCCTCTGGTAGGTCTTGAGGCGGCTGTAGAGATCGTCCTCGTCGGAGGCCTGGCTCTGCTCGGTGTAGCCCTGGAGGTCGGATCTTATGGAGGGGATCGATGCCGGTGGCTCCGGCAAGGGCTTAGGATCCAACACCATGGCTGACCCTGCCATTGTTGCGCTCTCGGAGGGTTTAGGTTTGGTGCTTCGCTATGGAGAGGAGAAGCGACGAGAGAGAGAGAGAGAGGAGAGACGAGAGACGAGAGAGAGGAGAGACGGGAGAGAGAGAGTGTGCCTAACGAAAACACAGTTTCGACTCTGAATTCTTTCTATAGCATAGCTGATAGTGTAGAGGACGACGTCGTTTAACTGTGTTGAAGAACGCCGTTAGCTTGGGCTCTTAAACGAGCCCAAACAGGTTTTGGATTACCCTATAATCTGGCCCAAAATGGCTAAAACCGCATATGATCATCTTATATTTTAGTGAAAGTATTTTTAAATTCGAAAAGCTTTTTATTAAAAACGCTTTTAATTATTTTAGGGAATTGTTATTAGCACTCCAAAAATCTCATTCTACACTTCAAACTTTCTATATTAGAAAAGAAAAAAGCACTTGCGAGGAATGTAGAATGAGATTTTTGAAGTGCCAATAACACTTCTCTTATTTTAAATGCATCTAAACATAACCTATGTTTTACTATTAAGGTGGTCTTCGATTAGGCCTAAATTCACAATGGAAGATGATTAACAAGGTGGGGGGTTAGTGGTGATCACATTTTTTAGGTTCTTCAGAATCTTGGGAAGTGCCCGTGCACATCGCCATTCCTAGTTGTAGAACCTCCATCCAAAGATTCACCCTCCATGTAACACTTTGCTTGAAAAGCAGCCAGATGAGCATAACAGGAGAAAACTTGATGTTAGAATTTGTTGTAATGTTAGACTTTTGTTTTATATCTTTCATTTTGGTCGTTAAATGATGATGCACGTATGAAAGGCGGACACATACTCTCACTGTTTTCCTCTTTCTTTTTCTTTTTTAACAATAGGATGGGGAGAGAGTTTTGAAACCATGAGTAGTGAGTGTTTTTACAAGGGCTCAACCATTGAGGCAATACACTATGCCAAGTACCCTATACTCGTTGATTTTAAAACAGAGCCAACCCTGACCCAAGGCGAGCCAACGACCGCCCCAGGCATCAAAAAATGGAGGGCACACAAAATATTTGGTATTCATTCATAATATAATTATACTAAAGAAGTGGCACTAGTTGCACTGATTTTCGTTAACACCCTTGAATAAGGCGTCTTGGGTTCAAATTGTACAATCTATGTTTTTTTTTTTCCCTAATTTACAATTTCCAGTTTGGTTATAAGTTTTATACAAAAAGACTTAAAGAGCTCAAATTGAGGACAATCATCTATCAACTTGTAAACTGAATTTTTTGGGTGCCCTTCTCCCATTACAAAGTAAACTGATTTTCTCGTCTTTTTGAAGTATTGTATTAGAAGTGTTCTCTAATTGTAACGTTATTAAAGGCTATTTTTTACGTTTTATAAGAACAAAACAATCAAACAAATAAATTTTTTTTGAAGTTATGTTAGAGCACTTATTTTGGCTTCCGAGACTTAAAAAACTCAAGACATGCCCTTTTTAAAATTCATATGTTGCCAATCATATTATATATTCTACATATGAACATTTGTAGCTGCACAATTGGACCAAATAGTCCAAAGTTAAGACATATAAATCTCAACAAAACAACAAATTAAAAAGATTAAGGAAAAAAAAAACAAGAATTAACATCAGCACAAAAAGCAAAGACTTAGATTAACTAAAAGAGTGAGTCCAAACCAACAAGATCACTATTTTTTTATAGTCAGGGAAACTCTTATTGTACGCAGCCTTATCTTGTTTTACAAAGAGGCAATTTCCACGACTTGAACCTGTGACCTTTCCGTTATAAAAAAAGCAACATTTCCATTGCGCCAAAACTCCCTCGAAGACTTAATTAATTAAGAAATAGAAAACCTTCTCCTTCTAGGCTTGGTTAGATCCACACCCTCATCCATGATATTCGATGTGTCCTTCGACCCTTGCTTGAAGGGATTCAACTTCCCCAATTTCTTCGACACAGACGAGAAAAATGTGGCCTTTTTGGGCCCGCCACCTCCTTTACCAGATGACGTCGTTGCAATCCCTACAGAACCAGTCTTCTTCAGGTCCGTAATGTACATCTTCATCTTCAACAACTCCGTTCTCAACTCCTCGTTCTCCCTCGCCAACGACACGTCGTGTTGCACCTGACTCCTCGTCGTTACTGCGTCTTGCACGTCATTTTCGTCCACCCCGCTCCTCAGCTTTAGCTGGTCGTAATACAACGCGTGCAGTACGATTTGAACTGGGAGTCGTTTGTTTTGCGAAGCGTGGACTCTCGCTTCGTATGACAACTTCAATGCGTCCATTACGCTGCACACCTTCTCCCTCTCTATCTCATCAAGGTTCGGATGAGCCTGCATATTAGTAATTAATCACGATTAACACATAATTTACGATTAATTAACAATAAAGTGCAATTTTATCTACAAACTTTGGACGCAAAGTTAATGTTATTAATCAACTAAATTACAAAATGTTTACTGAAAGATATATTTGAAACAAAAATTCTACTAGGATCACATAATTATATCATAATTTGCATCATATTTCTAATAGAGATGGATCCACATGCGTTGGCGAGTCATATCTCTATTAAAGAGATTATATAAATGATGGTACAAATATGCGATCAGTGTAGCATTACTTTATTTGAAATTGTGATAACTAAAGTAAATCAAATTCAGATTTTGAATTCAAGACAACATACCCTGAGTGGTTTTGATATAAGTTTTGTTAGCGAGATTGAAAGATTGTCTTACGAGTTTTTCTAATACAAAACTTGAGCCTTGGAAATTGTAACTCTAAGGAGCTGTTTGATAACCTATTTCGATGAAAAAATTGAACTCTTGTTTGGTCTACTTTCCAATTTTATTCCAAAACGTGAAAGCGCAAGTCAAATTTTGAAAATTTACTAAGTTTGCATCTATTAAATTTCTAGTTTGAAAATCAAATTCAAGGATTATTTAAATTTACGAGTTCAAGCAAATTCTCAACTATGATCCAAAATCAATTAAAGAAATTCGAGTTAATAACATGATGGTCTAGTGGTCTTTTTACTCGAAAATAAATATTTTAGATTTCGATTCCTGTCAATAGAAATGTAATGTGCGACTTAATCTAAAATAATGGTGCATGTGTAAAAATAATTAATCAATTCGTAATTAGTAAATTACCTACCTTCAAGTAAATATCAATGGCACGATAGAGATCGTCGTCGACTTTACGCGCGCCTTTGGGGATGAGGTTGGCAATGCCGTTGAACTTCGAGATACTGAGCTCAACACACGTGGCGATCTCACCAAGATACGCGTCGACAGTCTTCGCGACTCTGATCATCTCCGCCGAGCAAACCTCCCTGAAATCAGCGGCGTTGAAGACCGCGACGCTCTTCTCCTTCTCCACGAACTCGGAGATAATCCTCCTCACGCTCTCGAGATCGAAGAGCCTCTCGCCGTCGTAGGTGAACGACAGCACCAGGAGGTCGTCGACGGTCACGTGCTCCAGGACCGACGAGATCCGCCTCTCGAGCTCGGTCTTGCAAGTGCTCGACGCCTTGACGAAGGTCGCGGATCTGAGAAGGCAGCAGAGGAAGTTGATCGGCATAGCAGCTTTCTCAGTTGGTAAGATCGCGACGATCGATTCCAGAAGCTCCCGTTGTTGGAGTCTCAGTTCGGAGTCGTCCGAAGCGGCCAATTTCGCGGCGGGTCCAGAGCGGTCTCGGACGATATCTCGGAGCCATTTCTCAGCGTAAGTTATGATAGCGCTGGAAACGGTCAATGATTTCCCGCCGCGCAGCTTCATCGCGGAGACAACTCTGCCGAAGAACTCAATGTCCAAAATCGACAATTCCTCTGTCCACCAATTCGTCGGCGATCGACTCGGAAATTTTGCTTCGATTGAGACCTGTAATCAACAATTAATCACATAATTACGATCAAAAGAATATCGTTAGACCATAATACTGCATAATTAGAAGTTAATTACAGTTAAGTACCTTGGAAGTGGCGACATCGACGCATTTCTGTACGATTTTGAGGTCCTCCGCCATGGGAAGGAGGTCTTCGCAGGACTTGAGCACGACAATGGCGCCGGAGAGGCTCATGAGAGCGACTTGAGATAAGAAATCTTCAGTGCGGCCGATGAGGTTGTTGTCGCAGTACTTATTGGTCATTTCCAAATACTCCGCTGCGCAGCGGAGGGCGGCGACGTTGTGGACTGTGATCTCGAAGTTGACGCCGTAGCAGAACTTGGCCGCCTTCTCGAAAGTCTCCGGGCCTCCGGGAACGTCGGAGAGATCGATTCTCGTTAGGTCCGGTTGTTTTGACTCCATTATCAGTTTCCTTATGCGGTTGCTTTTCGCCACAAGCATGAACTGCAAATAGAATAATTAAGTTGGTAATTTCGTGTAGTTAATTTGTTAATCACGTTAGTTAAGCATGCATGCACTCGAAATTGAAACGAAATCGCGACATAAGCACAATATCAACACATGAAACGATGGTTTCAAGCTCGAAATCTCGAACATAAGCACGATATCAACACGTAAAATATATACATTCGAACAGAATACGAACTCAATAGAACATAAGTACGTTAAAAAACATGTAAATTCGAACGAGATTGGAACTCGATCTAGTGAATTTAATACCTTGTGTAGAGAGAAATTGGCTTCACCAACTTGAACCACAACATCTGACGGGATATCTTGAGAGAAAATCCTACAAACACACATAAAGATGAGCAGAAGCTTGTTAATTAGGTTTTAAACAAAGAAATTAGTCGGCGTGCATGCTGTATGGATGGATATATGTCCGGCCGGCGATGATTCGATCTGAGTGACCGGACCACCGCCGTGCCGAATCCGGTTTCCTGGCAACATGCAAGAGAGGGTTTGATAGTTGTAGTACCATTGGCCAGTGCGCTCCATGGCAAGGGAGAGCCTGTTGCTGCCATTGAGAGGGGAAGCCATGTGAGGTGGGAGGAGCTTGGAGCTGCTGTGCAGAGAGAGAAGAGAGAGATTATAAGGTCTCTGAATAAATGGGTCACAATGGCGGGTTACATAAAGAGCTTTTATTTACCATGTTTTCTTGGATACTAGCTAGAAATTATTGAATCATGCATATAAGTCTTATCTAGGATGAATGTACATTGGGACCAAGGTGGTCCTAGAACTATTTGGAGTTCAGAAAATATATATACGAAGGTTTTGGGAGGACTCTTTGAATATTTGGTATGAGTTTTTTTTGTGCCCACGAAGTGTTTGATGTAATGTTTGCTAGACATATCTCGACAGGTTACGTCGATAGTCTAGACAAATTCTCTTAATATCATTCATCAGATTGTTTCGGCATATGTTGATATCGTTGACATATTCATGACTTGATTTTTGACCAACAACGACAAGTTTACCAAGTGTTCGACGAAATACCTCAGTGAATAAATTGAAATTTTTTTACACGCTTCACTTTCCATTTCTGTCCAAAAAAAACTTAAACTTTTAACAATAAAACTCTCAAGGTTCGAATCATAAATCTGCCATTTATCTTATACTTATCTTTAGTTATACAACGACTAGCTTGACAAGTATTCCATTTTAAGCTATAGTTTTCTTTTTCTACGTTGCTTGTCCTAATTCTAATTGTCACTACTTGACAGAATAGAGCTGAGCATAAGCATATCACGTATTATTTGGTCATTTCCCGTGAAAAGTTGTTGGTTTTCCCTATTTCGTAGCCTTTTAATCATTTAATCTCTTTGGCTTTGGAATGGATTTTGGATTTCAATTTGCTCTTAGCTTATACATCTATATTTCGATGTGGGATATGCTTAACACACCTCTCACATATGACGTTTTTACGTGGATAAATCATATTGGGTGACATGTGAGATCATGTGGAGCTGTAGAGTTTACCTCATAGATGATCTGTTGTGATATCGCATTGGAGTGGATATCGAACGCAAAACTAGTTCTCAAGAGGTGGAAAATTTCAAAGATTTTAAGTTATTTTGCTGGACATTTATCCTTCGGTATTAGATATTTCGAACCCTTTGCGATATGCTTTATCATCGCACATTAATTGTGAGTTTGCAAAGAATGTCTCACATTAGACCGTTAAAAAACTTTGCAAGCACGTATAAGAAAATTGAGTTATTCAACAATTGCTAATTGATCAGTTTGGAGTAGAACTTTTAGCTTTCTTTATAGCTGGCTTGACCACATGTGACGCTCAACGTCCTTCGTATATATTCTAAGTTGATCACACATGACATTTAAAAACCACACGTACTCCACATCATCAAGTTTAAACTGTTCATCTATGCTAGCTAGGTAAGACTCAAAATTGCAAGTACGCTTAACATCCTCGAATATTTAGGAATAATGTAGTGCATAAAATAAGCATTCGATGTCGTTTTAGAGGAATTATGGTGGATGGGACGTGTTACTGAATCTTGGGACCGAACTTAAGGCTAGTTTAGTATTGATGTGCTTTGAAAAAAATCTGCTTCTGCTGTGCTGTGAGAATAAGCAGCTGTGAAATAAAGCAGTAGAAACAGTAGAGTGTTTGGTAAATTTTTTTGTAAAAGTGTTTTTGAAAAAAAAAAAAAAAAAAGCAGTATTATAGTGTTTGATAAACTTTTATGTAAAATAGATGTGAAAAAAACTAGTTTTTCAAAGCTGGGTTTTATAGCTTTGTGTTTTTGGCTTTTTTTCACCCAAAACTGTGAAAAAAAGCTGAAGCTGAATGTTTACCAAACATAAAAAAAACTTTTTTTAATAACCACTTTTTTCAAAATCACTTCAATACCAAACTAGGGCTTAATGGTCCGGTCTCAATGCATATCTCCGCCACGCAAAACACAAGTGACTAGGACTCGCACCAACGTCGACTTCACTAAACAACTGGCCTTATTAGGGCCACGTCATCATGCGGTCTAATTTGTACACTCCGGCGGCCTACACGTCGGGCGGCTGACATGTTGGCTGTGAACAGGACATGCAGGATAACGAGGTGGGCTCCCACAGGAGCTACTTTGAATCCAAACAGCCAATGATGTGTGCACGCGTCGCATTTCCACCCTTTTTGAAAGATACATATGTCTACCTGCATTATTTGCTGAAATTTTTGGACATTTCATCCAGCATTGGTGGCCCTGAGTTTGTTTACCAAGTTATGTTACACGTATGTCGATAGAGATCAACAATTTTTTAGCAAATATGTGTCAATAACTCTTGAGCGAACATGTCAACATATGTCGAGTGAGTTTATCAACAAATGCTCATGGAAACGTATGCAAATGCATAATACTAACAACTACCTTGTTCAGTGACCATAATGTCAATTCTCGAGCAGTTGACATGTAGCTCAACAAAACAATTGTGAGCTACGAGCGAAATAAGTTGTAAATCCAAATGCATTCAAAAATTTGCATGTAACTTGTTTAAATTTACTTATTACGAGTGGTTTGCGTCTAATTTACAACTACATGCATGCATATGACATTAAATTGAGAGCTACAATTGAGCTTTACAAGGCGAAAGCTGCCTGGGTTAATGGTGAACAAATGCATATGGAAGGGAGTTCAAATCTGAAGTGATTACTCGAAGTTGATGGCTTTTGCATGTGGGGGCAACATCTGTCGTGGGATTTGCTAATTAGTTGCAACTTCTTGTGGGAAAGCAGAGAGGTTGGTCCCCTTCTCCGTTGGCGATGAATGTTGATGTGTAACAAATTTGTGGACTGAAATCAAACCTACTTTTCTAGTTTTGTTTGAGAAAACAAAATGGCATGAGTCGTGAAGTGTATTTTTTAGAAAGGTAGGTCCTTGTTGTTTCATGCTTGATCCTTAAACGAAAATTAGCCAGCTTCCCAACGTTAGGCGGATAATTGTTAAAAGTTTTTAGAGAGGCGGTTCACATGTGTGTTATCAAATGTGATCTTTCTAACATTTTTCTTCTATTAAAAGTTTTTTTTTTTCTTCAGTAAAAGTGCTTATAAGCTTAAGTACTTCATATAAAACAGTCTCAAGCAGACATCCAATCGATAAAAAAGACTAGTCTTACTCATCATGCATAAGAATTGGCGCAGTCCATTCAAAATATTGGATTAGCCCATTGGTCCCAAGGCCCAATACATGGGAGTTTCTTCTTTCTTTTTCTTCTTTTTTTGGGTCGTCAAGCTTATGGAATGAGACTGGTGAATGGTACGAGTTCCAATTAGACGGCCACGCATCCTTTCAAATTAATAATTTGATAGCTACATGATCACATGATTTTGAAATTTCTGTATGATGCAAGCTAAAATGTAAAAATAAAAAACAAAAGTATAAGATGTTTAAAACAGATATATATCTGCTCTTTTTTTTTTTTTGAACTCTAAGAGCGGATTTAAGGAATTTGTTCACATCCGACTCAATAGCACATCACATCCGATTCGATGGCATTTGTCCGCTTTCAACCCTTTGCAAGTGGCTCCTTTGGTTGCTATCCCCCGCCATTGAAGGATTGGATATTTGGTTAAATTAACTAGATTTAAAGAGTTTTTGTCTACTTAAAAGGTTTTCTTTGTTCTTGACTATTTCAATCTTTCTCTTTGGTCAAGCGAGCAAACTACCTTTCATAACATTACTTTCCAAACAAAAGGTAGTGTGGAAATATTTGGTTGCCTCTTTGGCTCGTTTTGCAGCGAATAACTTGTGCAAGAGTCAAAATGTGATGAGGTAGGCAGATGTTCATATTCCTTCTTTAAAGGTGGGAGGGTTCCATTTAACTCTATCTCCTTGTAATTATGCATGATTAAAAGCTTGAAGGTCCACATGCATTAATTAAGGTTTACCTAATTTAACGAAATTGGATGATTCTTTGCAACTTTTTATCACACTGAAGAAAATTGAACCCTAATTTAGTGTCGGAGCGAAACTCTGCCACCTATGAAGGTCGATGCTAAGAATTTTTTTTTATAAAAAATTCCACATAACTTTGTAGAGTTTGCCGACACTTCAATGAAGTCGCTAAAATGGCGGCGGCGGCGGTAGTGGTGATGGGAGAGGAGAAAGAGGGGGGGGGGGGTGGGGAATGATGCTGCTGCTTCATGCACACGTGCCTTTGCAGCTTCGTCCATGCCTACATGTATCATAATTCAAACATATCACTTCACTTTCCTTTGCCGCTTGAGCAAATTTTAAGAATTTACTATGTATTTTTGGTGGAACAAGGCTTTGCTTCCCAAGAAGGCCAATACGAAGAATTTTAAAAAAATTGCCTACAACTTGTAGATTTTACATAAGGGGAGGGAAAGGACACAACTGCGACTTCGATCACGTCTACAATATATTATCATAATCTTAACATATTACTTTTCTTGCTCGTTGTTCTTGTAAATTCCAATAAAATATATCTTTCAATTTAAAACACGTTAATGTAATTATTCAAAATGTTGATGATGATATTGGGCCAGAATTTGATATTTGCACCAAATCCAACTTTGATGGTAAAATGATGTGTCTAAAGTCTAAACTCATCCACTACTCCAACTTACTTTACCCTAAAATCCTATCTAAATTTGACTTCATGTTCCATGCCCTCGCTTTCACCACTGCCGTTTGGGTATTTTTTTTTCTTTAAATAATATTTTGGAAATATTGTTGCGTGTGATTGAATTGCAGACAACCAGCAGGATTTTTTTTTTCCACTGATTAGTGTGAAGAGCACATTTTTTATTTATTTATTCATGAAAATATTTTTAAGGTTCGGACTAAATAGACAACACAGATGTCGTGCAAGAACGTGCTGGTTGACGGAATTATATATGCGTTCTCACTTGCTACATGTGAGTAGGTTAACATCTTTATCTATTTGATATTGGTGGATCCAACGTCTATTAATGACGTGGTATAAAAAATATAATATTACTCCATAGTGATTATTCCTGCAATAGTTATGATGATTATTCTTGCAATATTAATAATTAATGGCTTTGTGTTTTACAAATATCTTTTACTTATCAGCTAATCAAGTCAGTAAGAGCAATCATCTATTAGTAATACGGTATAATGATATTCATTTTTATTTGTGAGGTGAAAAGTTTAAGGTTCAAATAACTCGAATTACGAGTTTCATACAATTGATTCGTGATAAATTATATTAAAGCTTTATCGAAAATTACATATCAGCTAATCAAGTTGGTGAGAGCATTAATCGTTTAGTATTACAGTTTAATGATAATTTATTATTATTATTATTTTGTAAATAAAATGTCTTAAGTTTGAACTTTTTGAACTAATTAATTTGCGATAGTGTTGACTACAAAAATTACAGAACCTACGTGGCGCGCAGGCCGAATAACTAATGAGCTAACTAATGTCCTTCGGTTGAATGCAGGGCGTGCCAACTCGTCGGCCGAGCTAGGCCGAGGAGTAGAATTTTATGTGGTCGCGTTGAGCGCGCTGTTGACTTCTGTATCTTGCGATTGCGACCGAGGAAGGAACGCTCTCGGTCTCTGGATTCTATAGCCTGAAGACAAGGCTACTAATTCTATGGAGTTCACAACTCGTCGAAGCCTGATTCGGCCACTGTGATTATATTCGTAAGAGTATAAGCACGCCGAATTGAGACCAAACTATACGGGCACAGGTATTCGAATGTGATGTATGTCTTGATGGTAAACGTAGTTCGGCCGTCGGAATGCCGAACCCTGAAACTTATTTGTGAATATCCAATCATAAACTCACTCGGCCTCCAATGCGCCGAGCAAGGCAATTCGTAACACCCAACTATGCCGAAATGACTTAGTAAGATGACCTCTACCAACAAAGGTTCGAAAACCTTCCTCGGCCGAGACTTAGATAGATAATCGGTCGACCTCTACGCAGTGCTGTTTATCCAAACTGAAGGTGTGTCTCGGTCGGCTGATTCTGCGGCAGCAGTGCTGTTTATCCAAACTGAAGGTGCTCACCGGTTGCTTCCACAGTGCTGTTTATCCAAACTGAAGGTGTGTCGGCGGGAAAAGAAAAGGAAAAAATCTCAAGGTGTTTGAGAGAATTTGCGCAGGGCAATTGTATGCTGATGTTGAAGGGTCTTTTCTATTGCGTAATTTCTTGTATTTATAGCACCTCGTTCCTTGATTCCCATTCTGATTTGGATTGGGAGTCCTTGTCCCATCTTACCTTTAACTCAAACAATCCCAGTCCTATTGGGATTCTGAATTCTCCTACTTTTGAGGTTCTATCCCTTGCCGGTCGAGAATCCTGGTTGCATCAGGATTTCCTCGACCTTTCCTCGTTTATCTGGACTACTTAAGATCGGATCTGGCCGACCCTGCCAGCTGGTCCGAGTCTCATTACTTGGCCCATAGCATGTGTTATTACCTTGGGCCGAGCACGTCTTGCTGCTCGGCCCAATCATAATATTTTGGGCCCAAACAGATAGATAATTAGTAAACGCTTCAACGAAAACTTTGATCTCTTCGTAACTCCAATTGATGTTCGTTTTAATCTCTTCTTATTCCGGTTTGAAGTTGGTAAACATGCTCTAGATACATTGTTAAAGTTTTCACCATCCAAAATTGAATTCATGTTGTGAGAAACAATATCGAGCGCCGACGTAGAACGGTCACAAAAAAGTCTGTTCCCGGCGCTCATTAGGTAGTTACCGTTTTCTCAGACGTTAGTTTCTTGTCACCCCCCACCCCACCACCACCATCTGGCTGTATAAAATTTCAAACTCCCATCAACACCCTAACTCCCTTTTCATTATTTCATTTTTGTATACAAAATATTTCACCAAATTGTTATTTTTTTTCAATAAAAAATAGCAAAAGAAAACGATGGGTTGTATCATCGTCATCACCAACTTCGATCATCTATCCAGCATTAGTTATGGAGACCTGGTCAGAAAAATACCAAACCAACTCCCAGGTGCCATTTATGTATTATTTTCATGCTATTATTTGAATCTTCTCGTAGTTGGTAGTATATTCAAATCAAATTCAACCCAAAACCAAAAGGTTCTCTCTTTTTGCATCACTTCTTTATAAATTTCAAAGCTATCAATATCTACATTTTTCTATGCTTCTGTGAGTTTCTGGCAATTGGGTTTTCTTTATTTCGTCTCCAAGCTGTCTGCCGTATGAGTTTTCACTTTAGATTCTTATATGCTTTGTTTTGAAGTGGTTGGAGCTTATTGGTTTTAGTGTTAAATTGCTTGAGGACTTGAGGATTCAGTTCAGTTGTTAGGCACACTATTTCAGCTTATTGGGTTGCTTTCTAATTCAATTTGCAATCTTTTTTGTGCTTGGTGTTTGATATCAGGGGGACTATTCCAGTTCTGCATAAAATTCTGCCATTGTGTTGTAAAGGGTAGGTTGGAATTGTAGAGATTCTTGCGATCTCGGGATGTATCCATCAACAGTTTGGACATATGCATGGGTTTTCGGCATGTTCTTGTGCTGGTCTTCGCTACGAGCTGGAGCACAAGATCTTGGTATCACCCATCCTGCAGAAGGTGATTTTGTTTATGTTTATGAAGCTCGGCTTTTTTTCTAGTATAGGGAATGCTTGAGTACAGTTATTATGATGTGAAATCGATTTAGAAGTTCTTCAGGAATTTGTAACTTCATTTGACAAATAAGTGACCTGTTTCATGTTTACTGTCTTCTAGGGATTGATGTTTATGTCCACTTCCAGCAGATTCATGCACTCCAATAATAACATTTGTGATTTTTGGACTCATTTCTGATGTATAGCATGATTATGAAATTGCCTTGTTTTTTGATTTGGATATCCTCATACTTGGTCTTTTTAGAAAAATTTAGTTTGGCTGTGTTAATCAGTATGGATTATCATTTGTGTTGGATTGCAGTGACGGCGCTGCGGGCCATCAAGAGAAGTTTGGTTGATCCCAACAAGAATCTGAGCAACTGGAATCGAGGAGACCCATGTACAGCAAACTGGACAGGAGTGCTTTGCTACAACACAATATTAGATGATGGCTATCATCATGTTCAAGAATTGTATATTTTAATCTTTCTGATTCTCATTTATACTTTGCATGATTGGTGACTAAACGGAGTATCCCCTTTCACCTTTGCCTGTTCTTGTTTCATTCTTTCCTCCATTCATGGAAAGATTTCATTTTCATTTCTCTGGTTCTGAGCGGTTTCAATGAAAAAAACTCCCTGCTTGTAGGTGATTCAATTATGAACTTCGTAGAAATATCTAAACGAAATAAGAAAATCTGCCAAGTCGACCCTGTTCCTAAGATCAATCAGTAGTTATCTAGGGTTTACAGAATCAAGTAATGCTGAATGTCTTGTGTGACATGAAAATTATATTTTGTTACCGTCAAAAACATGTTGAACTTTTAAACTTCAAGTAGACTTTGGCTATGATGACAAGTTTTCCTTCTTTAATGCAGGCAACTACTAAATATGAATCTGTCAGGAAGTTTATCGCCAGAGCTTGGCCGCTTATCTTATATGAAAATATTGTACGGCACCACATACCTTGAAAGAAGCTTTAAATTCTTGGACAATCTCTTCTCAGTGTTCTGGGAAATTTGTTATTCTCCTTAATATGATGGTGAATGATTTTCTCTTCTGATGCATATTCCTCCATCTATTCTTCTGATAGGGATTTTATGTGGAACAACATGAGTGGAAGTATACCGAAGGAGATTGGCAACATAACAACCTTGGAACTTTTGTAAGTTAAGCTGTTTTGACTTTTTGGCAAAATTTGGTTAGACTGAATCGCCGAACGTACGTTTTCATCATATGGTAATGTTTTATGTTGACAGCATTAGAAAGCAAGAACACATATGTAGGTTTTATTGTTTATGAGATACTCCCAATATTTGAATCAATTATTCAAAGTATACCTCAATTTATGATAACTTATCGTTGCTAAATTTCGTAACTTTCATTATACATCAAATATTCTGCGTTTACAGGCTCCTCAATGGAAACAAATTATCAGGTCCCTTGCCCGAAGAGCTCGGTTATTTTCCAAAATTGGACAGAATACAAATCGACCAGAACCAAATATCAGGACCATTACCAAAATCATTTGCAAATTTGAACAAGACAAAGCATTTGTAAGGGTTTTTCAAATGCTGCTTTAGTTTAAAAAGTGTAATATTATCTTGTGTTTGTTATAGTTCTGTCTTTCTTATGTTTCACATCTTTTCCGTTTTGGGCAGTCACATGAACAACAATTCAATTAGCGGGCAAATTCCACCTGAGCTTTCCAAATTACCAAGTCTTGTCCACTTGTAAGTAGTACGCTGGAAACATTCAGAATCTTCAACTTGGTTCATTAGTTTCATTTTGCCCTCTTCATTTCTGTCTGTATGGCCATCTTGAGTTGAATAAATGTATCGGACTTTTTGCAGTCTTCTTGACAACAACAACTTATCTGGGTATCTTCCGCCAGAGTTCTCAGAGTTGCCAAACTTATTAATACTGTATGTTTTCTTACTTTTCGGGACATAATTTGTGCCTTAATTATGTTTTCATCCTTTCCCTTCTTGAATTTTCGTACTGTTGGGAACAATTCTCTAGACTTTCCTTTTTCTATGACATAATTTGAGGGATGCAATCCTGTATCAAGTTTCTTAGCCCTATAATCTTTTTTGTTTTGCAGTCAAGTTGACAACAACAACTTTAATGGGACTACAATTCCAGATACGTATAGCAACATGTCCAAACTGTTGAAGTTGTAAGTGCTTCTTCTGATTCTCTGTCTTTTAGTAGGTTTAAAGGTAAAAGTGTGTGATCTAAGGACTAGAATCTCTGTTTATTCATACATCGGATTTAAAGCCCCAACTACGGAGATGTAAATCCAAAAGATTTGTGATTAATCATAGCAACGAATAGAGGGAATTATAGTTTTTGTTGGGAAAAACATATTTCCAACCACTGTGCGGGGAGCATCTCCTGTTTCTATCTGATGTTATATCACATTAGGTGATGGTGCTGGTTTGGAATGACAATCGAGAAGTAGCTCTTAACATTTAACACGATGAATCATGTCAAGATTGAATGTCTTTGTGTTTTTGTTGTTTCTTTCAGGAGTTTGAGGAACTGCAACTTACAAGGGCCTATTCCTGATTTGAGTAGGATTCCAAACCTCGGTTATGTGTAAGTTCATTCAAGAAGTGTCACTTCATACCCTATTATTTTTAGTGATTTTCTGGCTTTTCTAAATTCTTGGAATATAATGTACATTATGTTTCAACAGTATCTTAAGTAATTCGTTATTTATTCATACCAATTTTCAGAGATCTAAGCTCAAATCAGCTAAATGGATCCTTGCCTCTGGGTAAACTCTCTGATCAAATCACGACGATGTAAGACGCTATTTACCTTGCAAATGATATGCCCATATGTATTATATTTAACGTTTAGCAGGATTTTCTTGTTAAATGTTCTCTAAAAAGCAGTGTTACGCTTTAGAGATCATATAATTAATTGTAAAAGGATTACATGGATTTTTAATATTCAAAGTATGAACTTTGTGTGCAGCAATTTATCTAACAACACTCTGGCCGGAAGAATTCCTGGCAACTTTTCAAATCTTCGTAATCTTCAGAGATTGTGAGCCACTTCAAACTGCTCTTTTGATGTTTTGGATTATTTAGTGATATTGTTGATCAATCTTTGTTTAGCTCAAATTCGAGCTTCCGTCTATCTTACTTTGTAAATAGGAAGAGTTTGAAGTTATTTTCTTTAAGATGTTATCAAATGTTTTAGCATTGCCAATAATAAAAACTATGTTATGAAGTAAAGTGAGAAAATTTGTTTCTCATGGCAGGTCTATAGCAAACAATTCATTGAGTGGCTCCGTTCCAGCAGCGCTTTGGCAAAACAGGAAACTCAACGCGACAGAAAGACTAATCTTGTAAGAACTGGAGTGAGAAAATTGTTACTTCTGTTGGTGAAGAGAGAGTGGCCCAGTGGGTTGTTTGTGTGTGTGAATTTACACTTTCTGGTGTTAGGATGCCGCTGTTTATAAATTTGGTTAACAAGTGTAATGTGGCTTCTGATATTGCAGGGAGTTGCAGAACAATGACCTTACAAGTGTAAACGGCAGTACAGAAGTTCCGCAAAATGTCACAGTCGGGTTTGCTTCTGGACTTTGTTCTATGTTAACATATCTCTAAGTGCAGGTTAACAATATAACAAATATTTAGCACTATAATGAAGAACTTCATTAATCTTTCTCTTCTGGTAACTGTTGTTCAGGCTTCGGGGAAATCCGCTTTGCTCAAATGCCAGCCTTGATAAATTCTGTGGGACCGAAAGTGGTGACGAAAATGACAGTCAGATTTCGATTAACTCCACTGCCAACTGTTTGAGTCAAGCATGCCCACCCCCTTTCGAATATCTTCCTGTAGCTTGTTTTTGTGCTGTTCCTCTACTTGTTGAGTATCGGTTGAAAAGTCCCGGATTCACAGATTTTCGCCCATACAAAAGTACATTTGAGCGGTATCTTACTTCTGGTCTCAAATTAGATCTCGATCAGCTGGACATTACTTCATTTGTATGGGAAAAGGGACCTCGACTGAGATTTTCTCTGAAGCTTTTTCCTGTATATGTTGATAAGGCCAATAATTCCCATACTTTCAATAAAAGTGAAGTTAAAAGAATCATGACCATGTTCACAGCATGGAAAATTCCTGACAGTGATGTATTTGGACCCTATGAACTTCTCGGCTTCATTCTACTGGGGCCTTACAAGGATGGTTTGTCTCAAGAACCTTATTTTTTATATGTTTCATTTTCTACATGAATTTGTCGGAGAAGTGGGATAATTCGGAATAGTGGGGGGCTTATGTTTGTTTAGCTTGACTATTCTTATCACAGTTCAGTAGCTTGTGCCGGGTGTCCGGTTTAATCAGACCTAACTACTTTTTCTTTTGTTGCCTTCCTGTTGAAATTACATTTAATTCCGATGCTGTGCATTTTAAAATTATAGGATAATAGAATTGAATACATTCTGTAGTGAACGGGTTCATTTATCAAATATACATTAGTTAATACATTCATCTGTTCATTCATGTATCTATGATGTGAAACTGTTTGCTGATTTCAATCTGTTGATCTCATGGTTCTTATTGATGTCACAGTGGTTGCCCTCTCTTCAAATTCCGGTCTAGGCAAGGGCGCTCTGGCGGGCATAATATTAGGGACTATTGCTGGTGCCGTCGCATTATCTGCAATTGTTTCTCTTCTTATATTCAGAAAACATTTGAAGAACCGCCATGCAATTTCAAGAAGACGTCACAGTGAGTATCTTACTATCATAAGGCGAAAGGTTATTAGCATAAATGATAAATTCCATAGGGCTTATGAATCCTGAGAAGCCCTACACTCAATTGAATCTAATAAGATTGGGCAGGCGCATCACGTCTTGGACTAAACAATTTCGTTTTTAACATTGTGCCTTTGTTTATCCGCAGCATCCAAGAGCTCCGTTAAAATTGAAGGTGTCAAGGCTTTTACTTATGGAGAAATGTCCACTGCTACAGACAAGTTTAACAGCTCTGCTCAAATTGGACAGGGAGGTTATGGAAAGGTTTATAAAGGCACCCTTGCTGACGGAACAGTTGTGGCCATAAAACGTGCACAAGAGGGATCATTACAGGGCGAGAAGGAGTTTCTAACAGAAATAGAATTATTGTCACCCTTACATCATAGGAATCTCGTGTCCTTAGTCGGGTATTGTGATGAAGAAGGGGAACAGGTACTTTTTCTTATCCTTTCTGAATGTATTTCTGCTACATTTTCTTCAGACGATTTATTCATTCCAATCGAAAAAGGTGTAGTCATCTCCATGTTTGTCTATCAAATTCCGTCTGTAATGTGGTCAATATAAACTGCATCAGGAAATACTTTTCATCTACTTAGAAACTGGAAATGAATGCTAACTCTAGAAGAGCTAGGGAAACGAAATCCATAATATCAAATTATATATATCATTTAGTAATGGAAAACGAATGAAAGAAATCAAAAGCAGAACGTACGAGGCACAGGCACTTATTGCTACTTTATCTCCTCTTCTTGCTCTCTTTTCTTTATGTTGGAACCAACAAATTTATTTGGAACAAACTTGACGCGTGTTATTTTTGTGCGCGCAGATGTTGGTTTATGAGTTCATGTCAAACGGAACTCTAAGGGATCACCTTTCGGGTAAACCTAACATTCTAGTCTTTACTGTCTTTGGTTCTTACTTCATTTCTCTCTGAAGTTTGGCAGAGTAATTTACTCCTCGTAAATGTTTGACTAGGAATTTACAATAGGGACTTCGATTAACATGCCATTCGACAAGCTTTAACATATAATTGTTACGTGTCTCAGCAGCTAGGTCTAAAGAACCGCTGGGTTTTGAGATGAGATTAAGAATTGCCCTAGGATCAGCCAAGGGCATCCTATACCTCCATACAGAAGCCAACCCTCCGATATTTCATCGGGATATCAAGGCCAGCAATATATTATTGGACTCTAAGTTTATTGCAAAGGTTGCTGATTTTGGACTTTCCCGACTTGCCCCAGTTCCAGATTTCGAAGGGACTGTGCCTGCTCATGTATCCACAGTAGTGAAGGGGACACCGGTAAGACTCATAAGCATTGTTCTTACCAAATTATTAATTAACAGCAATACAAATTGAAAACTCTCTTATTATTTGAATTTATTTTGCAGGGTTACCTTGATCCAGAGTATTTCTTAACTCATAAGCTAACGGATAAGAGCGATGTTTATAGCCTCGGTGTCGTGTTTTTGGAGCTCTTGACAGGGATGCAGCCAATCTCACATGGCAAAAACATTGTTCGAGAGGTAACTACTCGAACCTAATTACAGACCGTTTTGGATAACTATATATATAAACCGTCTTCTATGCTTTGCATGTAAGAATATAACTTCTTTGTCAAGCTAAGATCGCGTATTGTTAATGCTATTTAGTCCCTGTGACCGACTAGCTGCACCGGTTTTAGTGTTATTTACAAGTTTTCATGCACTTCAGGTAAACATTGCATTCCAATCCGGTATGATCTTCTCAGTAATTGATGGAAGAATGGGGTCTTATCCTTCCGAGTGTGTGGAAAAGTTCTTGAGTTTGGCTCTCAGGTGCTGCGAAGATGATACAGACGCGAGGCCCTCAATGGCAGAGGTAGTTCGGGAACTCGAAAACATATGGTTTATGGTGCCGGAGTCTGACAGCAAAACAACGGAATCAGTGACCGATGGTAGCGGTGGAAAGGTAGTGACTCCACCATCCTCATCCAATGCAGCGAGGCATCCTTACGTCTCTTCAGATGTCTCCGGCAGCGACCTTGTTAGCGGAGTCGTACCTACAATTACGCCAAGATAGCAACCGTAGAGAGAACCATTGCCGCATCCTTTCTTATTGCAGTTGGTTTTGTAAGGGTTGAGAGGTAGATGAGTACATATTTTGATCCTTTTGTTGTAAAACCAGTATACTTTAGCAGTCAAAACAGTTGTTGAAGTTGAGTATGCAAAATGCGGATATGAATATCGTTGAGTTTGCAAGGGAACGAGGGAAGAGGAGAAACAGAGAGGGAAGGGCGGCGCTAGGGGAGGCAGCCGGTGAGGAGGCGGTGGTTGGCGCCCAGTTACAATGAAAAGTTATAAGAAGATTTTTTAGGAGAAATAATACCGATTTTATTAAGAGAACTAAGAGAGATTTCAATCTTCAAAAAAGTCGGTATAAAAATACAAGGCTAACATGGTCAATCTATGCGTCACTGTATAGGAAATTCAGCGGACTTGACCAGCACGCAAAGCACCAAACGATCTTAACTAATTTCCAATGTCCGTAGCCAAGCGAAAGACCTCTCTAGCAACTAAAAATTCAATCATATCAGGGCTTCTCGTGGGAAATTCTACCGATCATAAACGTCCTACGTCTGGACACGGCAAATATGTGCCTCCTAACAAAAATGCTCACGGTGTCCGGGACAGGTTACTTCCGTTAGCAGAGGATTTGGCCCTCCTAAAGATCATGTTTTACTAGAAGGAAATTTTTTTTTTAGGATCTTGGCTGTAAAATAGTGTTTTTGTTGATCAGATGCCTGTTTTGAAGATTTTTGTTCATTTTTTTGTTCATTCAAAGTCGACTGTACGAATACTAATTAAATCATTAATGAGTTGAAATTTGTTTTTTTTTTTTTGAAGAATGTACGATATTCATTAAGCAACATAGAATATGTACAAATTGAGGATAGTGTGCTCAATGAGCCTCGATAAAAACCTTGACGGGGCTTTCAACCTGGTCTAAGGAAAAAAGTGTCCCGCACAAACAGTAAACCTATCCTCAAATGAACAATAGACAGACAAATTACAATAGACTAATTAAATCATTAATGAGTTGAAAAGTTAATTATCATATTACAAAGTTTTCAATTGACATATCTATTTGTTTTAATTAAACGTGAAAAACTATTCGAATTTGAGATATCTTTCAACATTGGGAAGAGAATTATGTTAACGTTCAAAATTTGGAGGTCAACAAAGATAATCTGATCCTTGGTGAGCTTGGTTGTAGTGGTCTGATATATCTTTGATGTGAATTACAAGAGATGTCTACAATAGTGTGTAGTTTTATTCTGGTGGACTCGATTTGCTTATAAGGGGTATTCGGCCCCTTTATAGAGGACTTAGTGAGCCCCATAAATCAAGGGCTCTTAAATCTCCCACTGTCCTATCATTTAAAGGGCCTAACACTTAAGCATGACATAAAAGCTACTTCTCCAATGTCCAATCGACATGTTCAGAGGAAATGACATTCGATCACAGCTACTTGCATGGTTTCCCGGATCGACATGTACCGAGGGCACCACTCGACTAAAAGTGGTTAGAAAACACTTTAGCTGAGCTGTAGACCTGATAGACATTACGTCTCTTTATAGGCTTCTTTGCTTGTTGATAACGAATGCGTGGTTGGAAGTTAAAATGCGTGATAGATTCAAAGCCTAAAGAACATGAGTCGGGTCCAACAAGCAACCCAAAACATTGATTTGGGCTAAATCCACCGACCAGCAGACCCAAGGTTCCCATGACGCAAGCCCATACGCACAAGCTCCACCATCGCCTTAGGGCATCCAATTTCAGAGACTATATATACAAACGCCAAACCCGCATTTCATCTTCTACCTGCTCCTTCTTTCTTCCCCGTCCAGAAAATCTAGGGTTTTGAAAACCAGCCGCTGCTGCTGCCATGGGGAGAAGACCCGCCAGATGCTACCGCCAGATTAAGAACAAACCCTACCCGAAATCCCGCTTCTGCCGCGGTGTGCCCGACCCCAAGATCCGAATCTACGATGTCGGCATGAAGAAGAAGGGCGTCGACGAGTTCCCCTTCTGCATTCACCTCGTCTCCTGGGAGAAGGAAAACGTTTCCAGCGAGGCTCTCGAGGCGGCGCGAATCGCCTGCAACAAGTACATGACCAAGTTCGCCGGAAAAGATACGTTCCACCTGAGGGTTAGGGTTCACCCCTTCCATGTCCTCCGAATCAACAAGATGCTTTCGTGCGCCGGAGCCGATAGGCTTCAGACTGGTATGCGCGGAGCTTTCGGGAAGCCGCTCGGGACCTGCGCTAGGGTTGCTATTGGGCAGGTGCTGCTCTCTGTTCGTTGCAAGGAAAGCAACAAAAGCCACGCTGCTGAGGCCCTCCGCCGTGCCAAGTTCAAATTTCCGGGCCGCCAAAAGATCATTGAGAGCAGGAAATGGTATGAATTATCACTTCTGGTTTTTTTTTTTTTGAGCTTATAAACTGAAACCCAAGATTTAATTTTTGATTTGTAGAATTTCTCTTGAGTTGTGTAGAATTGAATCTTTCTCTTGTCATAAGTAGGGTACAGATAAACCACATTATGTTGTAATATTGACATTTATCATGTTTTTGTTGAAATGTTATGACTGTAATCTTTTAATTTTGGATTGTGAACTCTAAAACTCAAAACCCAGAACGCAAATTATGTTTTTGATTGTTGTGTATCATGGGTTCTGTAGAACTTGACCTTATTATGCTTCAAGTTGGTGTGGTTTGATTCATGGTATTGTAGATAATGTGTTTCGAATTCGAGTAGTTTGATATCTACTAGTGATCATGAATTCAAACTGGAATGCTTCCATGGCTTCGGTCATTGATTTCGGGTTGTTTATGTTGATGAAATGTTTAGAATTGAACCTTATGTTGCAACTTTGTAACTTGTCAGGGGATTCACCAAGTTCAGCAGAGCTGACTATGTGAGGTTGAAGTCTGAGGGACGAATTGTACCTGATGGTGTCAATGCCAAGGTTAGTTCATTTCTTCCGATTTAGCATGTTTTATTGCTGGAATCGAGTTTGGTTTTCTCCTATTTCTTTGTACGAATTAGTGATCCATTTGTTGTTTTTGCAGCTCTTGGGATGCCATGGATCTTTGGCGTTGCGTCGTCCTGGTGGAGCATTCATTGATGCTGCTGTGAACTGATTTCATGTAATCGAACTTCCGCCAGGAATTGTATTCGTGTAATCCAAACTCCGTTTTTGTTTTGATTTCCGTTTACTAGATTTTGTGTTTAAGATGTCATAATTTTGGGCAAACTTACATTGGAGTTGTATTTCATATTTTGCGTAATGTCTTTCGGTTATATTCAATGTCACAATAACTCTGTTCTTTAAACTATTTGTCTTGAGAGATCTATATTGCTTCCTTGCCTCTCTTTGATTGTGTTACGTTGATATAATCTCCATCTCTGTTAAATTCTTCACTATTTACAGAAGATGTTAGCTTTATTGCACCAATCGACTGTTCGCATCTTGCAACTATCCTCACTCTCCAATGTGAGATGACATAAATGGATGGTTTATCATTAATATGATACAAAAATTGAACAATCGCGATTATAAAATTTTTATCGTGATTATACGTAGGGAGAATCCATGCAAGTGTTTTGATCGGAATCCCAATGCTCCCCTTACAAATATTATACCAAAACAACTTAAGAAAATTATAGACAACAAATTTTAATCCTTCTAACATATTGAAGAAACAATCCAGTTGAAAAGAATTTGGTGAGAAACAAAAAAATTGAAAATGGTTCAACACTTTCAGATTCACAATGCCACTAATCGAGAAACTCCACAGGTCCTCTGGTTCGTCGGAAGTTGTAACTTTCGATTGTCAATCGAAGCTAACGAAGAAATGCCAGTTGAGACGAGTTGGTGAATTAAAATCACAAAGAGAAACAAGTCTGGGCCTGTGGAACGAAGGATAATCCGCTGAAGGATGAACAATTAAGTCCAAATTCGTTGGCATCGTATATTTCTCAGCATCCCCACTAGACATTTGAGAAATTGCATGATCCAACTTAGTGCCATCAGCAAGTAGAAGCTGCAGGAAAAAAAAATTACTATGAGTATTAACTTTCAAACTAATTCTGTACAGTAAAACAGAGAGCCTGATAAGACCGCAGCAGAAAAGCTCGCATACTGTGTAAGTTGCAATTTTAGCAACAAAATTGCAAAATGAACATTTCATATGGCTACTCTCATAATAATATCACTCTTGATAATTTCAGCAATAAAATTGGTACTCAACAGTCATCAAGTTACTCAAGCGATATCAATTACAGACACAAAATCAACAGAATTCAAATCATTGTGCATATGATTCATAAATTACAAGTAGCCCCAAAATTCTCAGTCTAAAATCTTCATAAGAAAGCAATTACAGCAGTTCTATAATTATATTAACATCGTTAACCTAAAAACAAGTCTCGAGATATTATAAACAATTTTCCTCATTGTGCAGGCACCAATGGAATAAGTAAACTGCAGGAGATGGAAGCAACAAATGTGATAAATCTACCACTACCATTGTGATCAGGATAAAAAATCATTAGCTTGCAATGGATGAAAGTATGAACTAATATCTCCAAGTAAAACAACAAACACCACATCGCTGGGAAAACATATCTTGTGCATCCGTACCTAGACTCTGCTTGCACCTACTGCACATTCGAGTAAGAGCGTCCTGAAAAAACACCATAGTATGCCAACAGAATTATATATGCCATTGGAAAGCACAGCATATGTATATTAAGTTAACTTAATTACTAGAAGAGAAAAGGGGGTGGGAGTCTGAAAAACTTACGTTGCTTAGTTCAGTGCGAAGTAAATTGGCGAGGTGTCGCATGGCTTCGACCCAACCACTCTGGTAAAGCCTTCACTCCCTCAAATAGTCGATACATAAAGCAGTTAAAGAAGTGAAGTGTTGAATTTGATGAGGCAGAGACTTGAGCAATGGCCACCTGTTCAAATGTAACGATTCAAGTTCCAGTGATCCAACTTGAACATCAGGATAGAAATTGAGCTCCTCCCAGAACCTGCCAATGGCCCTTTCTTTTTTTTTTTTTTTTTCAATTTCTTGAATTATTGCAGACCTTCTAGCAGATTTAAACTTTTCAACTGATAGTACAATGCTTGGAAATATCATATAGCATAGCAACTGAAGATTCTTTTACCTAATTTCTGCAAAAATGCAGGTATTCAAATCATTGTTCATAAATCACAAGTAACCATAAATTATATCAGCCCAAAATCTACGTAAGGATAACAACAAACAAAAAGCAATTGCAGTAATTCTATATATTATATGAACATGGTTTTACATGACTACAAATCTTGGCATTACTCATCTAACACTACTTGGGCGCTGGCACTGTGTGATTAAACAAGATTCAATACTATGATGGATATTCAAGCTTGCGGTTCAGCACTCATACAGATGAACTAAATAACGTAAACATATACCGAACTTATGTTGCCGAAACTAAGAAAGATAACATGTAAAAGAGAATGCCCACATGGTACCACTAGAAGAGGCTTGCTAGCTTGATATGGACTGTAACTTAAAGGTATATCATTGAGAAAGGAAGGTAGATCGAGAAAATTAATATTTTGTGCATCAGTACCTGGACTCAGTTTGCACCAATGAAGCATCCTGAAAAACACCACAGCATGCCAAAACAAATATAGATGCCACTGGGAAACACATAAAATATATAGTAAGTCAGAAGTCAACACTACTAAGCATTTAGAAGAGAAGAGAAGGTGCGGATTTGAAAAGCTTACATGGATTAATTTCAATGCAGAAGTTGGAGCCCTGTGGAGTCGTTTGTACATACAACTGGAATAGAAATAATCTTGGAGAACTGTGGCCTTGCGCACCATGAAATTTGGTAAGGTACAGCCTACCATCGATTCAACTGCTGTATGATTTAAAAAGGAGAAGTGAGGTGTTGAATTTGTTGAGGCAGAGACTTGAGCTCCTCCCAGAACCCACCGATTTCCAAATAACGGAGAGAATGGAGGCTGTCTAAACTTGGAAGACTCTCTAAATTCGTGATGTCTCTTATTGTCAGCGTCTCAAGAGAGAGTGGGAATTGCAGGCTTGAAAATTATTGAGTAATTGAAGATTCTTTTACCTAATTTTTGCAATAATGGGGTATTTGACATTTCATCAAGTTAGTCAAGGGATACGAAATAGAGATAAATAAATCAACCAAATTCAAATCACTGTTTATACGATTCGAAAATCTGTTCATAAATCACAAGTAACCATAAAAATATCAGTCCAAAATCTTCATAAGGATAACAATAACAAACAGAAGGTAATTGCAGTAGTTCTAAATATTATATGAACATGGTTTTACACGATGACAATTATTGGCATTACTCATCTAACACTAGTTGGGTGCTGGCAGTGTGTGATTAAACAAGATTCAATATCGTGATGGGCGATCAAGCTAGTGGTTCAGTACTCACACAGGTGAACTAAAGAAAGTTAAAATACTGATTGATGTTGCCGGAATTAAGAAAGATAACATGTAAAGGAGAATGCCCAAGGCCTATAAAAAGAGGTATATTATTGAGAAATGAAGGTAGAGCGAGAGAATTAATATCATGTGCATCAGTACCTGGAGTCAGTTTACAGCTATCGAGCATCATGAAAAACGCCACAGCATACCAAAAGAAATATAGATGGCACTGGGAAACACACAACATATATAGTAAGTCAGAAGTCAACAGTAGAAGGTGTTGATGAATTAGAAGTGGAAGAGAAGAGGAGGTGTGGGTTTGAAAATCTTACATGACTTAATTTCAATGCGAAAGTTTGAGCCATTTGGAGTCGTTTGTACATAAAACTGGAATACAAGTAATCGCGGAGAAGTGTGGCCTTGCACACTATGAAATTTGGTTTTCCCAATACACATTTCTTGTAGTATCACAAGGCGTTGCATAGCTTCAATCCAACTCTTGTCTCACAATGAGAGTACTGATCATTTAAAAGAAGAGGGAGAAGGATAAACAAATTATGTTATACTAGTTTAAATTTGAGTGTAGTACTATTGGAGACACGGAATAAAAGAACAAAAGAGATTAACATATAATATATACAACTCTTAGGATATTTGATTTCAATAATTTAAAAAACTTACTTATGATTTGTGGAATGTGAGAAATCTTAGGCCAATCTGTGCCTCTGTCCCTCCTGCATCTTTCCTCTAAAAGGGGATGACATCCAAAAATCCACAAGTTTTCTAATTTGGTGAGGCGTTGCATAGCTTGGACACTTGGTAAATTCTTCAGATTCTTGCAATCTCTAATCTCCAGCCATTTAAGGGATGTAAGGCTACCCAACCATTCTGGCAAAGTCTCCACTCCCTCAAATGAACATATCCACAAAGATGTTAGAGAAGTGAGGTGTTGAATTTGTTGAGGCAGAGACTTGAGCTTAGGCCAACCATACAACCTTAACCTTGTAAGATGCATTAATGATCCAACTTCAAAATCAGGGAAGGAATCGAGCTCCTCCCAGAACCCACCGACAAACAAAATCTCCAAGCCAGTGGGCCACTGTAGCCCCGTTGGCAGATATTTTAGGTTTCGCCAATTTACAATCGACAAAGTACGGAGAGAACTGAGGTTGTCTAAACTTGGAAGAATGTGTAAATTAGGCATAACATGTATTTCCAGCGTCTCAAGAGAGAGTGGGAATTGTAGGCTGCTCACCCAACTTTCTAATCTTTCACAATATTCAATACTCAGAAGTCGAAGGGAGGTCATGGTGCGCAAGTCTGAAGTAGATTGTAGGCTAATGCACTCCTCCTCCTTCTCAACTCTGCTACTTTTGACACCAAACGATGATAGCTTTGGGCATCTACTTATCTCCAATTCCTGAAGGGAGGGACATTGTTGTGGAAGAGCAGGTATGCTTGATAATTCATTGCAATCACAGATTGTCAATTTCTGAAGAGAGTCGGTGAGGGACCCGCTGCCTTTAATTTCAATTGATGTCAGATTATTGCAATTCCGTATTGTCAATTCCACGAGACAGGCCCCTGCACTCAATGGGACTGATATTCCATTGTAATTCCCTATACTCACTTCCAAGAGAGAGGCCCCTAAACTTAATGGGCCTGATAATCCATCGCAATTCTCTATACTCAATTTCTGGAGAGAGGTGCATCTCTTTAACCCACTCGGTAGGCGCGACAATCCTTCACAAGAAGACATCTCCAACTTTTGGGGAAATCGAAAATCACTCGGAGCATTGTTCAATTTAGAACAATTTTCTACGGTCAACATCTCGAGACAAGGAAAAACCACAACCTTTTTTCCTGACGTTGTTGGTACTTGCTTCCATTCATTTAGATCATCACACTCAGAAATATGTAATACTTTTAACTTTGGAAATAAAGTAATCATCTCCTTACTTGTCGTGGCTACAAGATCATAACCATAGAACTCAGCTCCAACACATTTCAAGCTAGCCATTCCTCTAATATTAAGCTCCGTAAGATTGGGTAGATGACCGAGCGGTGGGACTACTTCACATTTGTCGCATCCAAGTAACTCAATCTTCTTCAACCCACTCATCATCATCATCCACGTTGGAAACTTATCGCCCATGAAGTTTATAATAGTTAAGCTCTCCAACCCAAGATGTGGTCGAAGGCCTTCTAGGACATCTTCCTCCTCGTTGTTGTCAGTTGTTGACCTATCTTCAGTCCAATTGAAGCTCAAATGGTGTAGTTTCGTCTTATCCTCTAACTTAGCTTTCTTTGCTTCTTCTCCATTCTTTACGTGCTCCAAATTACAAACAATTAATTCACCCTTCAATTGTTTCAAGCCAGCCAACTCTTCAATTCGACGACCAATCTCATTACCCACTGGAAAGTAAGGTAATGTTCGAAGGCAAGTCAACCGTCCTATCCCTTGTGGGAATTTGATATCCTCATCAAAATAAATATGTCTCAGGTTGATCAAGTTTTGCAGTTCTTTCGGAAACTCTTCAAGGGCACAATTCATTGCTCTTAATGTCTGAAGGTTATAGAGCTTGCCTACAGATTTGGGGAGTGCTTTGAATCTTGTTTCAGAAATGTCAAGATACCTTAAGTGTTTCAGCTTACCAACTGAAACTGGAAGTTCTTCAATATTAGCATTCCATAAATTCAAGACGCGTAAAGCTTTGAACCGTGGAAGAATGTTAGCAGGAACTTCACCGTTGTCCGAAAACAGTGACCGTAATTTCTTAGCACTTCTTGCTGCGATCTTTTCCAGTGTAGAAGTAGAAACCTGAGCAACATGTCGAAACTCAAGTGTATTATCTCTGCTACATAAGTCTCCCATCAAGCTTTCAGATTTGGACACAAGTTTTGCCAAATCGTGCACAAGATCATGCATCTTGCATTTGGTAACAATGCCATTGTCACCCATCGTAGCATCTTGAAACAAGGAGCTCTGCAATAGAATATCAAAATACTCATTGCCTGTGTCCTCCATATCTTTACTTTCGTCATGCGAAGCTCGGAGTAGTCCTTGAGCCATCCAAAGTTGAATCAAGTTGTCTCTTTGAATTTCAAAGTCTTTCTCGAACATTGAGCAATATGCAAAACATTGCTTCAATGATGGTGATTCTAAATTGTCAAAACTCAACCTCAGGACTGGCATAATTCCATCTTCTCCTTTTGGTAAGTTGTTCCATATTCTACTGTTTTTAAACAACGACCATTCTTCAATGCTTTTTTTAGTGCGCAACATGCCTCCCAAAACCTGTTAATTGGATTAGAGAGTTTCTATCACATAATTATCTACGGGGTACAGTAGTTCAACTGAAGTTGATGGAAAAGAAAAAGAAAAACAAGGAATAATTTCATTTAATTTCAAGAAAAACTGGGAGTAGTTTAGATCTAAAATTGACTTTAAACTTTAAACTATTAGATTGGAGATGCCCTAACAAAATACCAATTTAAGTCATAACAAAATAATTCATCCAATAACAATGCAAATGCTTTAAACCGCTTCAACTAATTTAACTGATTTTTACTAGACTTGTTCCTTTTTCTAAAGTTTTTATCCCTCTTGGAAGACCAATGTAAATTGAATCTTCAAATTCGAACACAATTCTTCATTTTGCAAATAATATAACCAAAATTCAAGGGGCTTAGACCTGTTTGTTTACTACCAAACAAATGAATTTGAACGACAACCATGAAAATGAACGGTTCCATATTATACTGTTTTTTAAACGACAACCATTCTTCAATACTTTTTTTGGTGTGCAAAATGCCTCCCAAAACATGCTAATTGGATTAGTGAGTTTCAAAGGTGTCCTAAAACAATGTAGAAAATCGGGACTTGTATACAATTTGGAAGTTTTGGCTTCCTTCATTATGAATCCCCTTGCCTAAAAGGACAAAATCTAAACCATGTGCAAAATCATATATTAGCTTCCATTATTTTTGGTGTTTGACGAATTTCCCAAAGTACCCATTAAGTAGTTAAAACTTAAAAACACGTTTTATTCTTGATTTGTTGGGATAATGAATTAATTTTATAGGATATTTGGCCAATGGTCAATAAAAACTTTACTAATTAGCCATATATCAATGGATAATTTTATTTTTGAACATAATTAATGAAAAAGTTATAATAATTATGCATAGGTTAATAGAGCATGCCACATAAGTTTAAACTAGTTATAAAATGACTATTATACCCTTCTCTCTTCACTTTATTCCATTCCTTATCTCTTTCACTCTTCTTATTTACTTCATTTTCTATCATGTCTCTATCTCCCCTTCTTTCTCTTCACTCTCTCATGTATATCTCTCCTACCCATGCCTCTCTATCTTTCTCTCTCTTCCATCAAACCTGAACAAATAGTTCGATTAATCCCAGTGCTCTGAAACTTCCCTATTACCAAACACAATCACAATGGCGAGAGAAAAAAATGAAATTCCAAAAAAAGTGCAATAATCGGCAGCAAAAACAAAACGCAAGCAAAAAAAAAAAAAAGAAAGAGATGTAATTGATATCCAGCAAATCTTCAAAGGCTTTGGACATGGAGATTGTCTTAAGGGTAGTGTCCATCAAAAATCCTCTTGAATTAAAGGTGCGTTTGCAAAGAGTTTTGCAGTTTGCAATTCAAAATCAAGAAACAGACACATCGTGTGTTTGAATTTAAATATAAAAGGTTGCACAAGTGCGAAGCATAGGAAATGAAAAAAAAAACAACCAGAAAACAGACACTGCAACATAGTGTCTAAATCACAACGTAAAAAGAAAAGAAGAAGAAAAAAAAAATCAGGAAACAAACACTGCAATACAGTGTCTGAATAAAAATGTAAAAAACAGAACCAGGAAACGAACATTGCATTGTAGTGTCTGAATCTAAATGTAAAAATAATATAAAAAACAGAGCAGGAAACGAACGTAGTGTCTAAATCCAAATGTAAAAATTAGGAGTTGCGTGAGGTGTGAAAAATAAGAGGCGTGTGAGTGATAAAAAAAAAAAAAAAACAAAACAAAACCAGAAAACTAACACTGTAACGCAGTGCCTGAATCCAATAAAACCAGAATCAGAAAATAGACACTTCGTTGCAGTGTCTAAATCCGTATTGACTTATTCCAAAATATGAAAATATGAGAAAATAATTGTCATTTAAAGTGGATGTCAGCTGTAATAGCACATTTTGTAAAAAAAAAAAAAAAAAAAAAGGTTAGAGACACCACATTTTGTCTACTATATAATGTATAAGTGATGTGTATGTGATATGTCAATTAATAATTTTAGTGAAATTTTCACACCATCTAAAAGGTTTTTCTACGCAATTGTACTTTAAAAATTCAAATTCAATTCAACCATTATCAAATAATATAAAATAGGTGCAAATCTCACGTTATATATAATAGTACATACCTTTGCCACCAATGGAACACCACCGCAATTTTCAGCAATCTCCCTTCCAATTGTATCAAACTTAGGATCACTGTTATTGGTGAAAGCTCTATTTTTCATGATGGACCAACATTCATCCACAGAAAGTTTTCCCAATTTATGTCGCGGAAGTAGCTTTTCTGAGATTGATGCGACTTCATCTTCGCGAGTGGTGACAATAATTTTGGAGCCTTTAGCAGAACTAAGCTTTGACAAACATTCCATGAAACTCTCCCATAGTTTGGAATCTTTGTTCCAAACGTCATCAAGTACGAGTAAGTATTTTTTTTCTTTCAACTCTTCATCAAGGGACAAAAGCAGAGTATGCTGATTATCTTTAGAATGGGCTTTTACCCGATTAAGCTGTTCTGACATTTGATGTAGGATGACATTGACGTCAAAAGCGTCGGATACACAAATCCAAATTTTTTTTTCAAAAAACTTGTCTATCGAATCCTCATTGTAAACTGACTTGGCCAATGTTGTTTTTCCGAGGCCTCCCATACCCACAATCGCCATGACCGCAAGATTTTCTTGATTGTATTTGGAGTCGGTCAAGGTTGTGACTATTTTTGACACATCAGCTTTCCTTCCAACGGGTATTTCATCTTTGCCAAAGAATGCGTTGGTTTGTCTATCCCATCTAATCACCTGAGAGGTTGCATCTGTATTCCTGGAAACTAGTCCAAGAGGAGATGCTTTCCTCTCGAGATCCACCAAGGATGCATTGATCTTCTGAATTTTATGCGCCATTTGAAGACGAAATGCAAGTGGATTGGAGAGTGAAAAGAAGTTCAGAACCTTTCTCTTCATATGGTTTTGGATTTCGACTTTACGCCGATCAACTTCGTACTTGAATTCATCCAAGACATCCTCAGCATCTTCAGCTACGCCTTTGAGTTTCTTCACCCATTCCTCTATTGCCGGAGCTGTTAGAGAATGAAAACAAGTTAAAATACCTTGTCATTGTAGCATGTGTGCGAGAGATTATAAGAGAATTCAAAAATATATACTACCTTGTGGTTTGTGGGCAACATCATTCAATAAAAGTTCAATGGTAGTGAATGACTCTCTAAGCTTTTGAAGTTCAGCTTTGAAACCCCATGCAAGACTGAATTGTTTCTCAGCAAGTGAAAGCACCTTCTTCAGTATTCCCTCCGCAGCAAAAGTAAGCACAACTTCGGCTGCCATTCCTTTAATTCCCTGCAACTCAGCTAATCAAAGTGTTTAATTTCTCTCTCGGATACAAATTACAGTACAAGGGCAATGGAGGATGATATGGTAGACAACAAATGTCGGTCGGTTTAACTTTTTATAACTTGAAAAAGGTGGTGCATCCAAGAATTGGAGGATGTATTCGATCCTTTGCTTAGACTAGTTTAGTTCCTTCCTTCCGTGGTGCTTCCAAGTATCTTACATTTTGAATTTAATTCGTCCTTGTTGATCCTTTGCCTTAGACACGTCTAGTTTCTTCCTTCCATAGTTCTTTCAAGTATCTTACGTTTTGAATTGAATTCGTCCTTGTTGGTGCCTTGAGTGTACCTCCTCCTCCTTTGCCTTGGGTGTACCTCCTTGTCTAGATTCTTATCGTGTTTCTGAATTTTCTCTCTTGTAGGGCAATACTTTTGCCTTCTAACTTATGAGAACTTTCTCATTCACTTGTTCTTTCCTTCCTCATTGCTTTCGAGAATCTTACCCTTTGCTAAATTGCTTTCAAGTTCTAACTCCGTTTCTTGATGTCTTCACTGTACGTACTAACCCTTACGTCTCATCGATGTCGACGTAATGCTTTAGCTCTTTTTCACCAATAATCATAAACAAGAAATCATGCGTGCATTAGAGAATAACACCCCATATACACAGTTAATATCAATCAACAATTTTGAACCCCGATAAAAGATACGAGTAGCACTCTATATACACAGTTAATCTTACCCTTTGCTAAATTGCTTTAAACTTTCTCATTCTTTCTAAAAGCACCCCTCGTCCTCTCTGATGTGAAATTCATGTGCTGCCTTACGGTTTACGCAACTCTATTTCTTATTGTATCAATCAAAGCCCTTTGTTAGGCCCATAAAACAAAATTTGGGGAGATAACATTTTCAAGCCCATTCACTTTTAGCCCAGTCTCCAACCCTGTATCAAAAACGACTTATATGGAACATGTTCACCATCACTATAACGTTTCAGTCTAATAATACAATATAATGTGTAAGTTTTCTTGGGCATGACATTGCATTATTAAACAGAAATACCACATGGCAGTGAATCTGTTATATATAAGTAGCTCATTTGTTTTTCACACAACCAAGTCATCTTTTTTTTTTTTTTTTTTTTCTTTCTTTCAAGCAACAATATTTGGGGTGAGAATTAGGGGTAAGCTAATGAGTCGGACTTAAATTGGCATTGAATTCACCATCTAAAGGAGCCCATAGTCGAGCTTATGGCATCCCACTTAAAAGTAAAATAAACAATCGATGCATATTCCACTTTCGAGTTTAGACAACGTCGAATTAGTAACAAATACATGGTCAGCACAACAAAGAATAACTTATATGACATAATTGTTCTACTTCTACAATCACAATCGACTACAAACACGAAAGCTATAACAAAAGAATATCTCGGTTCATCGGTATATCTTAATGTCATGGAAGAAAACCCCTGCATTGATGCTCACCAAACAGGTCCACAACGCGTCGTCCCTTAACAGTTTGCACACAGAATTGAATTACACCGAGAAGCATACGTTGGCAAGCAAGCTCAAGAGTCGTTCGGGAGGACGAAGCAATAGAAGAGTTAAGTGAACCATTACAGACCAGTTTTGGCACGCTTCATCCCGCTTGAAGTGAAAGGAGAGACACTACCATATGGTTGAGGGCTCTCTTCTCGTAAATTGGATTTCAGCATAGCTAGTTCTCTCAATTGTTCCGTCTTGTAGTGGTCTTGTGACTCATCCTGAAATGAAAAATGACAATTTAATATCCATGATTTTTGTGAAAAAATGTGATTAAAAACCGAGAGTTATAGCTCACAGTTTGTGTGAAAAAATGCGATTAAAGACCAAGAAGCACTTTTATATGAATGAAGAACATCTACGTATTGTCCATTGAGGGAAGGAGAAATCAGTTTCATGATTTGTTGCAATACGTATTTGAGAAAAAAGATACTTGATAGCGTAAAAGCAAAATAAGTATTTGTATTGGAAAGCCGAAGGGACGAGTCAAAAACGATACCATAGGTTTGAGAAGTTCTTCTATGATTTGTTTTGCCTGTCTCAACCGCATATCAACAATATTAGCAGGCAATTCAGCCTCAATTATAATGTGCAGTGGATCATTCAGATGCTCATAACCCGGTCTTCCCCTCAACGATTCCTCCTTGAGAATAACAAGGCAAGAAACACGTGTCAAAATACATATACAAAATAGATAGCATAAAATGGAACACAAGAAGAAGAAAAAAATGAACTTGATTTGAAATAATGAAAATTTCTTTTCTTAATAAATGACAAAACAGGGAATAATTCTACCTTGTCAATATCTCTTATTGAACATTTTCCTCTTATGTACACACGACAACCTGTAGAAGCTTCCAACCGCTTTAGTGAATTGCCTCTAGGACCCAGAAGCCGGCCAACAAAATTGAACTACAAAATACAAGTTTCAGTACCACAAACAAGAGAATTCTGAGATAAGGTCCTTAAATAAGAACTTTTTTTCTCAGTCGATCATTAAATCATGTGCGGCTGAGAATTCTGAGATGCTTTGAGAAACATGTACTTATTTTAAGAACCTTATTAAATAATAACTCTGTGTGTGTGTGTGCGCTTGCGCATGCAAACACCTCCCAGTAACATGTTTTTGTTAGCCTTAAACCAACTACCTTGAATTTAAGATTGCAATTTAGCAACGTTTCTTAACGCACTGTCAAGTTATATGAGTGGCTTACATTTGGAAAGCTGTCTACTGGAATATCCAAGCGCAAAATCCTCTTCACAATGTAGGAACTTGGACTTGATGGTGCAACTTGCCACTCCATATTCATCCCTTGTGGACCACCTAATCTCTGTTACATTAGACAACCAAAGCCAAACTATTGAAACTAGACGCAAAAAAGATGAACAGATGTAATGTTGCGGTACTGATAAAAAGATAAAACTGAGAAAAAGAGGGAAGATGGGAACCTGTAGCGCATTCCATATAAAATAAATGTGAAAAAAGAGTATTATAATACAGTCAACGTAGTGGTAATCCAAACTTGTCAAACAACACAAAATGGCAAGAGAGTAAATAAAATCAATTAAACTTTAACCGTATTATAAAGCTGAAACTTCCACTATTTACCATATAATAATGGATTTAGTGGTATATGAAGCCAGTGCATTTACTGAAACTCCTCACTCTCCAATGTCAGATGACATAAATGGACGGTTTATCATTAATATGATACAAGAATTGAACAATCGCGATTATAAAATTTTTATCGTGATTATACGTTGGGAGAATCCATGCAAGTGTTTTGATCGGAATCCCAATGCTCCCCTTACAAGTATTATACCAAAACAACTTAAGAAAATTATAGACCACAAATTTCAATCCTTCTAACATATTGAAGAAACAATCCAGTTGAAAAGAATTTGGTGAGAAACAAAAAAATTGAAAATGGTTCAACACTTTCAGATTCACAATGCCACTAATCGAGAAACTCCACAGGTCCTCTGGTTCGTCGGAAGTTGTAACTTTCGATTGTCAATCGAAGCTAACGAAGAAATGCCAGTTGAGACGAGTTGGTGAATTAAAATCACAAAGAGAAACAAGTCTGGGCCTGTGGAACGAAGGATAATCCGCTGAAGGATGAACAATTAAGTCCAAATTCGTTGGCATCGTATATTTCTCAGCATCCCCACTAGACATTTGAGAAATTGCATGATCCAACTTAGTGCCATCAGCAAGTAGAAGCTGCAGGAAAAAAAAATTACTATGAGTATTAACTTTCAAACTAATTCTGTACAGTAAAACAGAGAGCCTGATAAGACCGCAGCAGAAAAGCTCGCATACTGTGTAAGTTGCAATTTTAGCAACAAAATTGCAAAATGAACATTTCATATGGCTACTCTCATAATAATATCACTCTTGATAATTTCAGCAATAAAATTGGTACTCAACAGTCATCAAGTTACTCAAGCGATATCAATTACAGACACAAAATCAACAGAATTCAAATCATTGTGCATATGATTCATAAATTACAAGTAGCCCCAAAATTCTCAGTCTAAAATCTTCATAAGAAAGCAATTACAGCAGTTCTATAATTATATTAACATCGTTAACCTAAAAACAAGTCTCGAGATATTATAAACAATTTTCCTCATTGTGCAGGCACCAATGGAATAAGTAAACTGCAGGAGATGGAAGCAACAAATGTGATAAATCTACCACTACCATTGTGATCAGGATAAAAAATCATTAGCTTGCAATGGATGAAAGTATGAACTAATATCTCCAAGTAAAACAACAAACACCACATCGCTGGGAAAACATATCTTGTGCATCCGTACCTAGACTCTGCTTGCACCTACTGCACATTCGAGTAAGAGCGTCCTGAAAAAACACCATAGTATGCCAACAGAATTATATATGCCATTGGAAAGCACAGCATATGTATATTAAGTTAACTTAATTACTAGAAGAGAAAAGGGGGTGGGAGTCTGAAAAACTTACGTTGCTTAGTTCAGTGCGAAGTAAATTGGCGAGGTGTCGCATGGCTTCGACCCAACCACTTTGGTAAAGCCTTCACTCCCTCAAATAGTCGATACATAAAGCAGTTAAAGAAGTGAAGTGTTGAATTTGGTGAGGCAGAGACTTGAGCGATGGCCACCTGTTCAAATGTAACGATTCAAGTTCCAGTGATCGAACTTGAACATCAGGATAGAAATTGAGCTCCTCCCAGAACCTGCCAATGGCCTTTTTTTTTTTTTTTTTTTTTTTACAATTTCTTGCATTATTGCAGACCTTCTAGCAGATTTAAACTTTTCAACTGATAGTACAATGCTTGGAAATATCATATAGCACAGCAACTGAAGATTCTTTTACCTAATTTCTGCAAAAATGCAGGTATTCAAATCATTGTTCATAAATCACAAGTAACCATAAATTATATCAGCCCAAAATCTACATAAGGATAACAACAAACAATCTATATATTATATGAACATGGTTTTACATGACTACAAATCTTGGCATTACTCATCTAACACTACTTGGGCGCTGGCACTGTGTGATTAAACAAGATTCAATCCTATGATGGATATTCAAGCTTGCGGTTCAGCACTCATACAGATGAACTAAATAACATAAACATATACCGAGCTTATGTTGCCGAAACTAAGAAAGATAACATCTAAAAGAGAATGCCCACATGGTACCACTAGAAGAGGCTTGCTAGCTTGATAAGGACTGTAACTTAAAGGTATATCATTGAGAAAGGAGGGTAGATCAAGAAAATTAATATTTTGTGCATCAGTAATTGGACTCAGTTTGCACCAATGAAGCATCCTGAAAAACACCACAGCATGCCAAAAGAAATATAGATGCCACTGGGAAACACATAATATATATAGTAAGTCAGAAGTCAACACTACTAAGCATTTAGAAGAGAAGAGGAGGTACGGATTTGAAAAGCTTACATGGATTAATTTCAATGCAGAAGTTGGAGCCCTGTGGAGTCGTTTGTACATACAACTGGAATAGAAATAATCTTGGAGAACTGTGGCCTTGCGCACATGAAATTTGGTAAGGTACAGCCTACCATCGATTCAACTGCTGTATGATTTAAAAAGGAGAAGTGAGGTGTTGAATTTGTTGAGGCAGAGACTTGAGCTCCTCCCAGAACCCACCGATTTCCAAATAACAGAGGGAATGGAGGCTGTCTAAACTTGGAAGACTCTCTAAATTCGTGATGTCTCTTATTGTCAGCGTCTCAAGAGAGAGTGGGAATTGCAGGCTTGAAAATTATTGAGTAATTGAAGATTCTTTTACCTAATTTTTGCAATAATGGGGTATTTGACATTTCATCAAGTTAGTCAAGGGATATGAAATAGAGATAAATAAATCAACCAAATTCAAATCACTGTTTATACGATTCGAAAATCTGTTCATAAATCACAAGTAACCATAAAAATATCAGTCCAAAATCTTCATAAGGATAACAATAACAAACAGAAGGTAATTGCAGTAGTTCTAAATATTATATGAACATGGTTTTACACGATGACAATTATTGGCATTACTCATCTAACACTAGTTGGGTGCTGGCAGTGTGTGATTAAACAAGATTCAATATCGTGATGGGTGATCAAGCTAGTGGTTCAGTACTCACACAGGTGAACTAAAGAAAGTTAAAATACTGATTGATGTTGCCGGAATTAAGAAAGATAACATGTAAAGGAGAATGCCCAAGGCCTATAAAAAGAGGTATATTATTGAGAAATGAAGGTAGAGCGAGAGAATTAATATCGTGTGCATCAGTACCTGGAGTCAGTTTACAGCTATCGAGCATCATGAAAAACGCCACAGCATACCAAAAGAAATATAGATGGCACTGGGAAACACACAACATATATAGTAAATCACAAGTCAACAGTAGAAGGTGTTGATGAATTAGAAGTGGAAGAGAAGAGGAGGTGTGGCTTTGAAAATCTTACACGACTTAATTTCAATGCGCGAGTTTGAGCCATTTGGAGTCGTTTGTACATAAAATTGGAATACAAGTAATCTCGGAGAAGTGTGGCCTTGCACACCATGAAATTTGGTTTTCCCAATACACATTTGTTGTAGTATCGCAAGGCGTTGCATAGCTTCAATCCAACTCTTGTCTCACAATACTGATCATTTAAAAGAAGAGGGAGAAGGATAAACAAATTATGTTATACTAGTTTAAATTTGAGTGTAGTACTATTGGAGACACGGAATAAAAGAACAAAAGAGATTAAATATAATATATACAACTCTTAGGATATTTGATTTCAATAATTTAAAAAACTTACTTATGATTTGTGGAATGTGAGAAATCTTAGGCCAATCTGTGCCTCTGTCCCTCCTGCATCTTTCCTCTAAAAGGGGATGACATCCAAAAATCCACAAGTTTTCTAATTTGGTGAGGCGTTGCATAGCTTGGACACTTGGTAAATTCTTCAGATTCTTGCAATCTCTAATCTCCAGCCATTTAAGGGATGTAAGGCTACCCAACCATTCTGGCAAAGTCTCCACTCCCTCAAATGAACATATCCACAAAGATGTTAGAGAAGTGAGGTGTTGAATTTGTTGAGGCAGAGACTTGAGCTTAGGCCAACCATACAACCTTAACCTTGTAAGATGCATTAATGATCCAACTTCAAAATCAGGGAAGGAATCGAGCTCCTCCCAGAACCCACCGACAAACAAAATCTCCAAGCCAGTGGGCCACTGTAGCCCCGTTGGCAGATATTTTAGGTTTCGCCAATTTACAATCGACAAAGTACGGAGAGAACTGAGGTTGTCTAAACTTGGAAGAATGTGTAAATTAGGCATAACATGTATTTCCAGCGTCTCAAGAGAGAGTGGGAATTGTAGGCTGCTCACCCAACTTTCTAATCTTTCACAATATTCAATACTCAGAAGTCGAAGGGAGGTCATGGTGCGCAAGTCTGAAGTAGATTGTAGGCTAATGCACTCCTCCTCCTTCTCAACTCTGCTACTTTTGACACCAAACGATGATAGCTTTGGGCAATTATATATCTCCAATTCCTGAAGAGAGGGACATTGTTGTGGAAGAGCAGGTATGCTTGATAATTCACTGCAATCCCTGATTGTCAATTTCTGAAGAGAGTCGGTGAGGGACCCGCTGCCTTTAATTTCAATTGATGTCAGATTATTGCAATTCCGTATTGTCAATTCCACGAGACAGGCCCCTGCACTCAATGGGACTGATATTCCATTGTAATTCCCTATACTCACTTCCAAGAGAGAGGCCCCTAAACTTAATGGGCCTGATAATCCATCGCAATTCTCTATACTCAATTTCTGGAGAGAGGTGCATCTCTTTAACCCACTCGGTAGGCGCGACAATCCTTCACAAGAAGACATCTCCAACTTTTGGGGAAGTCGAAAATCACTCGGAGCATTGTTCAATTTAGAACAATTTTCTACGGTCAACATCTCGAGACAAGGAAAAACCACAACCTTTTTTCCTGACGTTGTTGGTACTTGCTTCCATTCATTTAGATCATCACACTCAGAAATATGTAATACTTTTAACTTTGGAAATAAAGTAATCATCTCCTTACTTGTCGTGGCTACAAGATCATAACCATAGAACTCAGCTCCAACACATTTCAAGCTAGCCATTCCTCTAATATTAAGCTCCGTAAGATTGGGTAGATGACCGAGCGGTGGGACTACTTCACATTTGTCGCATCCAAGTAACTCAATCTTCTTCAACCCACTCATCATCATCATCCACGTTGGAAACTTATCGCCCATGAAGTTTATAATAGTTAAGCTCTCCAACCCAAGATGTGGTCGAAGGCCTTCTAGGACACCTTCCTCCTCGTTGTTGTCAGTTGTTGACCTATCTTCAGTCCAATTGAAGCTCAAATGGCGTACTTTCGTCTTATCCTCTAACTTAGCTTTCTTTGCTTCTTCTCCATTCTTTACGTGCTCCAAATTACAAACAATTAATTCACCCTTCAATTGTTTCAAGCCAGCCAACTCTTCAATTCGACGACCAATCTCATTACCCACTGGAAAGTAAGGTAATGTTCGAAGGCAAGTCAACCGTCCTATCCCTTGTGGGAATTTGATATCCTCATCAAAATAAATATGTCTCAGGTTGATCAAGTTTTGCAGTTCTTTCGGAAACTCTTCAAGGGCACAATTCATTGCTCTTAATGTCTGAAGGTTATAGAGCTTGCCTACAGATTTGGGGAGTGCTTTGAATCTTGTTTCAGAAATGTCAAGATACCTTAAGTGTTTCAGCTTACCAACTGAAACTGGAAGTTCTTCAATATTAGCATTCCATAAATTCAAGACGCGTAAAGCTTTGAACCGTGGAAGAATGTTAGCAGGAACTTCACCGTTGTCCGAAAACAGTGACCGTAATTTCTTAGCACTTCTTGCTGCGATCTTTTCCAGTGTAGAAGTAGAAACCTGAGCAACATGTCGAAACTCAAGTGTATTATCTCTGCTACATAAGTCTCCCATCAAGCTTTCAGATTTGGACACAAGTTTTGCCAAATCGTGCACAAGATCATGCATCTTGCATTTGGTAACAATGCCATTGTCACCCATCGTAGCATCTTGAAACAAGGAGCTCTGCAATAGAATATCAAAATACTCATTGCCTGTGTCCTCCATATCTTTACTTTCGTCATGCGAAGCTCGGAGTAGTCCTTGAGCCATCCAAAGTTGAATCAAGTTGTCTCTTTGAATTTCAAAGTCTTTCTCGAACATTGAGCAATATGCAAAACATTGCTTCAATGATGGTGATTCTAAATTGTTAAAACTCAACCTCAGGACTGGCATAATTTCATCTTCTCCTTTTGGTAAGTTGTTCCATATTCTACTGTTTTTAAACAACGACCATTCTTCAATGCTTTTTTTAGTGCGCAACATGCCTCCCAAAACCTGTTAATTGGATTAGAGAGTTTCTATCACATAATTATCTACGGGGTACAGTAGTTCAACTGAAGTTGATGGAAAAGAAAAAGAAAAACAAGGAATAATTTCATTTAATTTCAAGAAAAACTGGGAGTAGTTTAGATCTAAAATTGACTTTAAACTTTAAACTATTAGATTGGAGATGCCCTAACAAAATACCAATTTAAGTCATAACAAAATAATTCATCCAATAACAATGCAAATGCTTTAAACCGCTTCAACTAATTTAACTGATTTTTACTAGACTTGTTCCTTTTTCTAAAGTTTTTATCCCTCTTGGAAGACCAATGTAAATTGAATCTTCAAATTCGAACACAATTCTTCATTTTGCAAATAATATAACCAAAATTCAAGGGGCTTAGACCTGTTTGTTTACTACCAAACAAATGAATTTGAACGACAACCATGAAAATGAACGGTTCCATATTATACTGTTTTTTAAACGACAACCATTCTTCAATACTTTTTTTGGTGTGCAAAATGCCTCCCAAAACATGCTAATTGGATTAGTGAGTTTCAAAGGTGTCCTAAAACAACGTAGAAAATCGGGACTTGTATACAATTTGGAAGTTTTGGCTTCCTTCATTATGAATCCCCTTGCCTAAAAGGACAAAATCTAAACCATGTGCAAAATCATATATTAGCTTCCATTATTTTTGGTGTTTGATGAATTTCCCAAAGTACCCATTAAGTAGTTAAAACTTAAAAACACGTTTTATTCTTGATTTGTTGGGATAATGAATTAATTTTATAGGATATTTGGCCAATGGTCAATAAAAACTTTACTAATTAGCCATATATCAATGGATAATTTTATTTTTGAACATAATTAATGAAAAAGTTATAATAATTATGCATAGGTCAATAGAGCATGCCACATAAGTTTAAACTAGTTATAAAATGACTATTATACCCTTCTCTCTTCACTTTATTCCATTCCTTATCTCTTTCACTCTTCTTATTTACTTCATTTTCTATCATGTCTCTATCTCCCCTTCTTTCTCTTCACTCTCTCATGTTTATCTCTCCTACCCATGCCTCTCTATCTTTCTCTCTCTTCCATCAAACCTGAACAAATAGTTCGATTAATCCCAGTGCTCTGAAACTTCCCTATTACCAAACACAATCACAATGGCGAGAGAAAAAAATGAAATTCCAAAAAAAGTGCAATAATCGGCAGCAAAAACAAAACGCAAGCAAAAAAAAAAAAAAAAAAAAAGAAAAAGAAAGAGATGTAATAGATATCCAGCAAATCTTCAAAGGCTTTGGACATGGAGATTGTCTTAAGGGTAGTGTCCATCAAAAATCCTCTTGAATTAAAGGTGCGTTTGCAAAGAGTTTTGCAGTTTGCAATTCAAAATCAAGAAACAGACACATCGTGTGTTTGAATTTAAATATAAAAGGTTGCACAAGTGCGAAGCATAGGAAATGAAAAAAAAACAACCAGAAAACAGACACTGCAACATAGTGTCTAAATCACAACGTAAAAAGAAAAGAAGAAGAAAAAAAAAATCAGGAAACAAACACTGCAATACAGTGTCTGAATAAAAATGTAAAAAACAGAACTAGGAAACGAACATTGCATTGTAGTGTCTGAATCTAAATGTAAAAATAATATAAAAAACAGAGCAGGAAACGAACGTAGTGTCTAAATCCAAATGTAAAAATTAGGAGTTGCGTGAGGTGTGAAAAATAAGAGGCGTGTGAGTGATAAAAAAAAAAAAACAAAACAAAACAAAACCAGAAAACTAACACTGTAACGCAGTGCCTGAATCCAATAAAACCAGAATCAGAAAATAGACACTTCGTTGCAGTGTCTAAATCCGTATTGACTTATTCCAAAATATGAAAATATGAGAAAATGATTGTCATTTAAAGTGGATGTCAGCTGTAATAGCACATTTTGTAAAAAAAACAAAAAAAAAGGTTAGAGACACCACATTTTGTCTACTATATAATGTATAAGTGATGTGTATGTGATATGTCAATTAATAATTTTAGTGAAATTTTCACACCATCTAAAAGGTTTTTCTACGCAATTGTACTTTAAAAATTCAAATTCAATTCAACCATTATCAAATAATATAAAATAGGTGCAAATCTCACGTTATATATAATAGTACATACCTTTGCCACCAATGGAACACCACCGCAATTTTCAGCAATCTCCCTTCCAATTGTATCAAACTTAGGATCACTGTTATTGGTGAAAGCTCTATTTTTCATGATGGACCAACATTCATCCACAGAAAGTTTTCCCAATTTATGTCGCGGAAGTAGCTTTTCTGAGATTGATGCGACTTCATCTTCGCGAGTGGTGACAATAATTTTGGAGCCTTTAGCAGAACTAAGCTTTGACAAACATTCCATGAAACTCTCCCATAGTTTGGAATCTTTGTTCCAAACGTCATCAAGTACGAGTAAGTATTTTTTTTCTTTCAACTCTTCATCAAGGGACAAAAGCAGAGTATGCTGATTATCTTTAGAATGGGCTTTTACCCGATTAAGCTGTTCTGACATTTGATGTAGGATGACATTGACGTCAAAAGCGTCGGATACACAAATCCAAATTTTTTTTCAAAAACTTGTGTATCGAATCCTCATTGTAAACTGACTTGGCCAATGTTGTTTTTCCGAGGCCTCCCATACCCACAATCGCCATGACCGCAAGATTTTCTTGATTGTATTTGGAGTCGGTCAAGGTTGTGACTATTTTTGACACATCAGCTTTCCTTCCAACGGGTATTTCATCTTTGCCAAAGAATGCGTTGGTTTGTCTATCCCATCTAATCCCCTGAGAGGTTGCATCTGTATTCCTGGAAACTAGTCCAAGAGGAGATGCTTTCCTCTCGAGATCCACCAAGGATGCATTGATCTTCTGAATTTTATGCGCCATTTGAAGACGAAATGCAAGTGGATTGGAGAGTGAAAAGAAGTTCAGAACCTTTCTCTTCATATGGTTTTGGATTTCGACTTTACGCCGATCAACTTCGTACTTGAATTCATCCAAGACATCCTCAGCATCTTCAGCTACGCCTTTGAGTTTCTTCACCCATTCCTCTATTGCCGGAGCTGTTAGAGAATGAAAACAAGTTAAAATACCTTGTCATTGTAGCATGTGTGCGAGAGATTATAAGAGAATTCAAAAATATATACTACCTTGTGGTTTGTGGGCAACATCATTCAATAAAAGTTCAATGGTAGTGAATGACTCTCTAAGCTTTCGAAGTTCAGCTTTGAAACCCCATGCAAGACTGAATTGTTTCTCAGCAAGTGAAAGCACCTTCTTCAGTATTCCCTCCGCAGCAAAAGTAAGCACAACTTCGGCTGCCATTCCTTTAATTCCCTGCAACTCAGCTAATCACAGTGTTTAATTTCTCTCTCGGATACAAATTACAGTACAAGGGCAATGGAGGATGATATGGTAGACAACAAATGTCGGTCGGTTTAACTTTTTATAACTTGAAAAAGGTGGTGCATCCAAGAATTGGAGGATGTATTCGATCCTTTGCTTAGACTAGTTTAGTTCCTTCCTTCCGTGGTGCTTCCAAGTATCTTACATTTTGAATTTAATTCGTCCTTGTTGATCCTTTGCCTTAGACACGTCTAGTTTCTTCCTTCCATAGTTCTTTCAAGTATCTTACGTTTTGAATTGAATTCGTCCTTGTTGGTGCCTTGAGTGTACCTCCTCCTCCTTTGCCTTGGGTGTACCTCCTTGTCCAGATTCTTATCGTGTTTCTGAATTTTCTCTCTTGTAGGGCAATACTTTTGCCTTCTAACTTATGAGAACTTTCTCATTCACTTGTTCTTTCCTTCCTCATTGCTTTCGAGAATCTTACCCTTTGCTAAATTGCTTTCAAGTTCTAACTCCGTTTCTTGATGTCTTCACTGTACGTACTAACCCTTATGTCTCATCGATGTCAACGTAATGCTTTAGCTCTTTTTCACCAATAATCATAAACAAGAAATCATGCGTGCATTAGAGAATAACACCCCATATACACAGTTAATATCAATCAACAATTTTGAACCCCGATAAAAGATACGAGTAGCACTCTATATACACAGTTAATCTTACCCTTTGCTAAATTGCTTTAAACTTTCTCATTCTTTCTAAAAGCACCCCTCGTCCTCTCTGATGTGAAATTCATGTGCTGCCTTACGGTTTACGCAACTCTATTTCTTATTGTATCAATCAAAGCCCGTTGTTAGGCCCATAAAACAAAATTTGGGGAGATAACATTTTCAAGCCCATTCACTTTTAGCCCAGTCTCCAACCCTGTATCAAAAACGACTTATATGGAACATGTTCACCATCACTATAACGTTTCAGTCTAATAATACAATATAATGTGTAAGTTTTCTTGGGCATGACATTGCATTATTAAACAGAAATACCACATGGCAGTGAATCTGTTATATATAAGTAGCTCATTTGTTTTTCACACAACCAAGTCATCTTTTTTTTTTTTTTCTTTCTTTCAAGCAACAATATTTGGGGTGAGAATTAGGGGTAAGCTAATGAGTCGGACTTAAATTGGCATTGAATTCACCATCTAAAGGAGCCCATAGTCGAGCTTATGGCATCCCACTTAAAAGTAAAATAAACAATCGATGCATATTCCACTTTCGAGTTTAGACAACGTCGAATTAGTAACAAATACATGGTCAGCACAACAAAGAATAACTTATATGACATAATCGTTCTACTTCTACAATCACAATCGACTACAAACACGAAAGCTATAACAAAAGAATATCTCGGTTCATCCGTATATCTTAATGTCATGGAAGAAAACCCCTGCATTGATGCTCACCAAACAGGTCCACAACGCGTCGTCCCTTAACAGTTTGCACACAGAATTGAATTACACCGAGAAGCATACGTTGGCAAGCAAGCTCAAGAGTCGTTCGGGAGGACGAAGCAATAGAAGAGTTAAGTGAACCATTACAGACCAGTTTTGGCACGCTTCATCCCGCTTGAAGTGAAAGGAGAGACACTACCATATGGTTGAGGGCTCTCTTCTCGTAAATTGGATTTCAGCATAGCTAGTTCTCTCAATTGTTCCCTCTTGTAGTGGTCTTGTGACTCATCCTGAAATGAAAAATGACAATTTAATATCCATGATTTTTGTGAAAAAAATGTGATTAAAAACCGAGAGTTATAGCTCACAGTTTGTGTGAAAAAATGCAATTAAAGACCAAGAAGCACTTTTATATGAATGAAGAACATCTACGTATTGTCCATTGAGGGAAGGAGAAATCAGTTTCATGATTTGTTGCAATACGTATTTGAGAAAAAAGATACCTGATAGCGTAAAAGCAAAATAAGTATTTGTATTGGAAAGCCGAAGGGACGAGTCAAAAACGATACCATAGGTTTGAGAAGTTCTTCTATGATTTGTTTTGCCTGTCTCAACCGCATATCAACAATATTAGCAGGCAATTCAGCCTCAATTATAATGTGCAGTGGATCATTCAGATGCTCATAACCCGGTCTTCCCCTCAACGATTCCTCCTTGAGAATAACAAGGCAAGAAACACGTGTCAAAATACATATACAAAATAGATAGCATAAAATGGAACACAAGAAGGAGAAAAAAATGAACTTGATTTGAAATAATGAAAATTTCTTTTCTTAATAAATGACAAAACAGGGAATAATTCTACCTTGTCAATATCTCTTATTGAACATTTTCCTCTTATGTACACACGACAACCTGTAGAAGCTTCCACCCGCTTTAGTGAATTGCCTCTAGGACCCAGAAGCCGGCCAACAAAATTGAACTACAAAATACAAGTTTCAGTACCACAAACAAGAGAATTCTGAGATAAGGTCCTTAAATAAGAACTTTTTTTCTCAGTCGATCATTAAATCATGTGCGGCTGAGAATTCTGAGATGCTTTGAGAAACATGTACTTATTTTAAGAACCTTATTAAATAATAACTCTGTGTGTGTGTGTGCGCGCTTGCGCATGCAAACACCTCCCAGTAACATGTTTTTGTTAGCCTTAAACCAACTACCTTGAATTTAAGATTGCAATTTAGCAACGTTTCTTAACGCACTGTCAAGTTATATGAGTGGCTTACATTTGGAAAGCTGTCTACTGGAATATCCAAGCGCAAAATCCTCTTCACAATGTAGGAACTTGGACTTGATGGTGCAACTTGCCACTCCATATTCATCCCTTGTGGACCACCTAATCTCTGTTACATTAGACAACCAAAGCCAAACTATTGAAACTAGACGCAAAAAAGATGAACAGATGTAATGTTGCGGTACTGATAAAAAGATAAAACTGAGAAAAAGAGGGAAGATGGGAACCTGTAGCGCATTCCATATAAAATAAATGTGAAAAAAGAGTATTATAATACAGTCAACGTAGTGGTAATCCAAACTTGTCAAACAACACAAAATGGCAAGAGAGTAAATAAAATCAATTAAACTTTAACCGTATTATAAAGCTGAAACTTCCACTATTTACCATATAATAATGGATTTAGTGGTATATGAAGCCAGTGCATTTACTGAAACTCCTCACTCTCCAATGTCAGATGACATAAATGGACGGTTTATCATTAATATGATACAAGAATTGAACAATCGCGATTATAAAATTTTTATCGTGATTATACGTTGGGAGAATCCATGCAAGTGTTTTGATCGGAATCCCAATGCTCCCCTTACAAGTATTATACCAAAACAACTTAAGAAAATTATAGACCACAAATTTCAATCCTTCTAACATATTGAAGAAACAATCCAGTTGAAAAGAATTTGGTGAGAAACAAAAAAATTGAAAATGGTTCAACACTTTCAGATTCACAATGCCACTAATCGAGAAACTCCACAGGTCCTCTGGTTCGTCGGAAGTTGTAACTTTCGATTGTCAATCGAAGCTAACGAAGAAATGCCAGTTGAGACGAGTTGGTGAATTAAAATCACAAAGAGAAACAAGTCTGGGCCTGTGGAACGAAGGATAATCCGCTGAAGGATGAACAATTAAGTCCAAATTCGTTGGCATCGTATATTTCTCAGCATCCCCACTAGACATTTGAGAAATTGCATGATCCAACTTAGTGCCATCAGCAAGTAGAAGCTGCAGGAAAAAAAAATTACTATGAGTATTAACTTTCAAACTAATTCTGTACAGTAAAACAGAGAGCCTGATAAGACCGCAGCAGAAAAGCTCGCATACTGTGTAAGTTGCAATTTTGGCAGCATGAATCCCTCTGCTCTAGCATTTTCATTTCCTATCCGGTAGAAATTTACATCCTCAACAGCATACCCTGCCACCATTGAGGCATAGTGAGTTCCATGAACGAAAAAAGCCCTTGAAGACTGGCATGAGTCATATCAAAGTTCAATGAGCTTGCTGCAAAATGAACATTTCATATGGTTACTCTCATAATAATATCACTCTTGATAATTTCAGCAATAAAATTGGTACTCAACAGTCATCAAGTTACTCAAGCGATATCAATTACAGACACAAAATCAACAGAATTCAAATAATTGTGCATATGATTCATAAATTACAAGGAGCCCCAAAATTCTCAGTCTAAAATCTTCATAAGAAAGCAATTACAGCAGTTCTATAATTATATTAACATCGTTAACCTAAAAACAAGTCTCGAGATATTATAAACAATTTTCCTCATTGTGCAGGCACCAATGGAATAAGTAAACTGCAGGAGATGGAAGCAACAAATGTGATAAATCTACCACTACCATTGTGATCAGGATAAAAAATCATTAGCTTGCAATGGATGAAAGTATGAACTAATATCTCCAAGTAAAACAACAAACACCACATCGCTGGGAAAACATATCTTGTGCATCCGTACCTAGACTCTGCTTGCACCTACTGCACATTCGAGTAAGAGCGTCCTGAAAAAACACCATAGTATGCCAACAGAATTATATATGCCATTGGAAAGCACAGCATATGTATATTAAGTTAACTTAATTACTAGAAGAGAAAAGGGGGTGGGAGTCTGAAAAACTTACGTTGCTTAGTTCAGTGCGAAGTAAATTGGCGAGGTGTCGCATGGCTTCGACCCAACCACTCTGGTAAAGCCTTCACTCCCTCAAATAGTCGATACATAAAGCAGTTAAAGAAGTGAAGTGTTGAATTTGATGAGGCAGAGACTTGAGCAATGGCCACCTGTTCAAATGTAACGATTCAAGTTCCAGTGATCCAACTTGAACATCAGGATAGAAATTGAGCTCCTCCCAGAACCTGCCAATGGCCCTTTTTTTTTTTTTTTTTTTTCAATTTCTTGAATTATTGCAGACCTTCTAGCAGATTTAAACTTTTCAACTGATAGTACAATGCTTGGAAATATCATATAGCATAGCAACTGAAGATTCTTTTACCTAATTTCTGCAAAAATGCAGGTATTCAAATCATTGTTCATAAATCACAAGTAACCATAAATTATATCAGCCCAAAATCTACATAAGGATAACAACAAACAAAAAGCAATTGCAGTAATTCTATATATTATATGAACATGGTTTTACATGACTACAAATCTTGGCATTACTCATCTAACACTACTTGGGCGCTGGCACTGTGTGATTAAACAAGATTCAATCCTATGATGGATATTCAAGCTTGCGGTTCAGCACTCATACAGATGAACTAAATAACGTAAACATATACCGAACTTATGTTGCCGAAACTAAGAAAGATAACATGTAAAAGAGAATGCCCACATGGTACCACTAGAAGAGGCTTGCTAGCTTGATAAGGACTGTAACTTAAAGGTATATCATTGAGAAAGGAGGGTAGATCAAGAAAATTAATATTTTGTGCATCAGTACCTGGACTCAGTTTGCACCAATGAAGCATCCTGAAAAACACCACAGCATGCCAAAAGAAATATAGATGCCAATGGGAAACACATAATATATATAGTAAGTCAGAAGTCAACACTACTAAGCATTTAGAAGAGAAGAGGAGGTACGGATTTGAAAAGCTTACCTGGATTAATTTCAATGCAGAAGTTGGAGCCCTGTGGAGTCGTTTGTACATACAACTGGAATAGAAATAATCTTGGAGAACTGTGGCCTTGCACACCATGAAATTTGGTAAGGTACAGCCTACCATCGATTCAACTGATGTGTGACTTAAAAAGGAGAAGTGAGGTGTTGAATTTGTTGAGGCAAAGACTTGAGCTCCTCCCAGAACCCACCGATTTCCAAATAACGGAGAGAATGGAGGCTGTCTAAACTTGGAAGACTCTCTAAATTCGCGATGTCTCTTATTGTCAGCATCTCAAGAGAGTGGGAATTGCAGGCTTGAAAATTATTGAGTAATTGAAGATTCTTTTACCTAATTTTTGCAATAATGGGGTATTTGACATTTCATCAAGTTAGTCAAGGGATATGAAATAGAGATAAATAAATCAACCAAATTCAAATCACTGTTTATACGATTCGAAAATCTGTTCATAAATCACATGTAACCATAAAAATATCAGTCCAAAATCTTCATAAGGATAACAATAACAAACAGAAGGTAATTGCAGTAGTTCTAAATATTATATGAACATGGTTTTACACGATGACAATTATTGGCATTACTCATCTAACACTAGTTGGGTGCTGGCAGTGTGTGATTAAACAAGATTCAATACCATGAAATTTGGTTTTCCCAATACACATTTGTTGTAGTGTCGCAAGGCGTTGCATAGCTTCAATCCAACTCTTGTCTCAGAAGAAGCCTCGTTGGCCCATAACTGATTTAAAAGAAGAGGGAGAAGGATAAACAAATTATGTTATACTAGTTTAAATTTGAGTGTAGTACTATTGGAGACACGAAATAAAAGAAGAAACGTTAGCTCTATTATTTGATTTCAATAATTTAAAACTTACTCATGAAATCTCGAATGTGAGAAATCTTAGGCCAATCTGTGCCGCTGTTCCTCCTGCATCTTTCCTCTAGAAGGGGATGGCATCCATAAATATAGAGAAATTCTAATTTGGTGAGGCGTTGCATAGCTTGGACACTTGGTAAATTCTTCAGATTCTTGCAACCTTGAATCTCCAGCGATGTAAGGGATGTAAGGCTACCCAACCATTCTGGCAAAGTCTCCACTCCCTCAATTCGAAATATCCACAATTCTGTTAGAGAAGTGAGGTGTTGAATTTGTTGAGGCAGAGACTTGAGCTTAGGCCAACCATACAAGGTTAGATTCGTTAATGATCCAACTTCAAAATCAGGGAAGGAATCGAGCTCCCCCCAGAACCCACCGATCCACAATGTCTGCAAGCCAGTGGGCCACTGTAGCCCCGTTGGCAGATATTTTAGGTTTCGCCAATTTACAATCCACAAAGTACGGAGAGAATGGAGGTGGTCTAAACTTGGAAGAATGTGTAAATTAGGCATACCACATAATTTCAGCGTCTCAAGAGAGAGTGGGAATTGTAGGCTGCTCACCCAACTTTCTAATCTTTCACAATAGTAAATATCTAGTAGTCGAAGGGAGGTCATGGTGCGCAAGTCTGAAGTAGATTGTAGGCTAATGCACTCCTCCTCCTTCTCAGCTCTGCTACTTTTGACACCAAACGATGATAGCTTTGGGCAATCCCCTATCACCAATTCCTGAAGAGAGGGACATTGTTGTGGAAGAGCAGGTAAGCTTGCTAATTCACGGCAATCACAGATTGTCAATTTCTGAAGAGAGTCGGTGAGGGACCCGCTGCCTTTAATTTCAATTGATGTCAGATTATTGCAATTCCGTATTGTCAATTCCACGAGACAGGCCCCTGCACTCAATGGGACTGATATTCCATTGTAATTCCCTATACTCACTTCCAAGAGAGAGGCCCCTAAACTTAATGGGCCTGATAATCCATCGCAATTCTCTATACTCAATTTCTGGAGAGAGGTGCATCTCTTTAACCCACTCGGTTGGCGCGACAATCCTTCACAAGAAGACATCTCCAACTTTTGGAATAGAAAATTACTCGAAGCATTTTTCAATCTAGAACAATTTTTTACGGTCAACATCTCGAGACAAGGAAAAACCACAAGTTTTTTTCCTGACATTGTTGGTACTTGCTTCCATTCATTTAGATCATCACACTCAGAAATATGTAATACTTTTAACTTTGGAAATAAAGTAATCATCTCCTTACTTGGCGTGGCTACAAGATCATAACCATAGAACTCAGCTCCAACACATTTCAAGCTAGCCATTCCTTTAATATTAAGCTCCGTAAGATTGGGTAGATGACCGAGCGGTGGGACTCCTTCACATTTGTCACATCCAAGTAACTCAATCTTCTTCATCAACCCATTCATCATCCACGTTGGAAACTTATCGCCCATGAAGTTTTCAATACTTAAGTTCTCCAACTTAAGATGTGGTCGGAGGCCTTCTAGGACACCTTCCTCCTCGTTGTCAGTTGTTGACCTATCTTTTGTCCACTTGAAGTGTAAATGGCGTACTTTCGTCTTATCCTCTAACTTAGCTTTCTTTGCTTCTTCTCCATTCTTCACATGCTCCAAATGACAAACAATTAATTCACCCTTCAATTGTTTCAGGCCAGCCAACTCTTCAATTCGACGACCAATCTCATTACCCACCGAAAAGTAAGGTAATGTTTGAAGGCAAGTTAGCTGCCCTATTCCCTGTGGAAATTTCGTCCTCATGTCAAAGTAATATGCCTCAGGTTGATCAAGTTTTGCAGTTCTTTTGGAAACTCTTTAAGGGCACAATTCACTGCTCTTAATGTCTGAAGGTTATAGAGCTTGCCTATAGATTTGGGGAGAGCTTTGAATCTTGTTTTAGAAATGTCAAGATACCTTAAGTGTTTCAGCCTACCAACTGAAATTGGAAGTTCTTCAATATTAGCATTCCATAAATTCAAGACGCGTAAAGCTTTGAACCGTGGAAGAATGTTAGCAGGAACTTCACTGTGTCGGAAAACAGTGACCGCAATTTCCCAACACTTCTTGCTGGAATATTTTCCAGTGTAGAAGTAGAAACCCGAGCAACATGTCGAATCTCAAGTGTATTATCTATGCCACATAAGTCTCCCATCAAGCTTTCAGATTTGGACACAAGTTCTGCCAAATCGTGCACAAGATCATGCATCTTGCATTTGGTAACAATGCCATTGTCACCCATCGTAGCATCTTGAAACAAGGAGCTCTGCAATAGAATATCAAAATACTCATTGCCTGTGTCCTCCATATCTTTACTTTCGTCATGCGAAGCACGGAGTAGTCCTTGAGCCATCCAAAGTTGAATCAAGTTGTCTCTTTCAATTTCAAAGTCTTTCTCGAACATTGAGCAATATGCAAAACATTGCTTCAATGATGGTGATTCTAAATTGTCAAAACTCAACCTCAGGACTGGCATAATTCCATCTTCTCCTTTCGGTAAGTTGTTCCATATTCTATTGTTTTTAAACAACGACCATTCTTCAATGCTTTTTTTAGTGCGCAACATGCCTCCCAAAACCTGTTAATTGGATTAGAGAGTTTCTATCACATAATTATCTACGGGGTACAGTAGTTCAACTGAAGTTGATGGAAAAGAAAAAGAAAAACAAGGAATAGTTTCATTTAATTTCAAGAAAAACTGGGAGTAGTTTAGATCTAAAATTGACTTTAAACTTTAAACTATTAGATTGGAGATGCCCTAACAAAATACCAATTTAAGTCATAACAAAATAATTCATCCAATAACAATGCAATGCTTTAAACCGCTTCAACTAATTTAACTGATTTTACTAGACTTGTTCCTTTTTCTAAAGTTTTAATCCCTCTTGGAAGACCAATGTAAATTGAATCTTCAAATTCGAACACAATTCATCATTTTGCAAATAATATAACTAAAATTCAAGGGGCTTAGACCTGTTTGTTTACTACCAAACAAATGAATTTAAACGACAACCATGAAAATGAACGGTTCCATATTATACTGTTTTTCAAACGACAATCATTCTTCAATACTTTTTTTGGTGTGCAAAATGCCTCCTAAAACATGCTAATTGGATTAGTGAGTTTCAAAGGTGTCCTAAAACAATGTAGAAAATCGGGACTTGTATAAAATTTGGAAGTTTTGGCTTCCTTAATTATGAATCCCCTTGCCTAAAAGGACAAAATCTAAGCCATGTGCAAAATTATATATTAGCTTCCATTATTTTTGGTGTTTGACGTATTTCCCAAAATACCCATTAAGTAGTTAAAACTTAAAAACATGTTTTATTCTTGATTTGTTGGGATAACGAATTAATTTTATAGGATATTTGGCCAATGGTCAATAAAAACTTTACTAATTAGCCATATATCAATGGATAATTTTATTTTTGGACATAATTAATGAAATATTTATAGTAATTATGCATAGGTCAATAGAGCATGCCACGTAAGTTTAAGCTAGTTATAAAATGACTATTATACCCCTTCTCTCTCTTCACTTTATTCCATTCCTTATTTCTTTCACTCTCCTTATTTACTTCATTTTCTCCCAATTTTCTATCATGTCTCTATCTCCCCTTCTTTCTCTTCACTCTCTCATGTTTATCTCTCTTATACATGCCTCTCTATCTTTCTTTCTCTTCCATCAAACCTGAACAAATAGTTCGATTAATCCCAGTGCTCTGAAACTTCCCCATTGCCAAACACAATCACAATGGCGAGAGAAAAAATTAAATTCCAAAAAAAGTGCAACAATCGGCAGCAAAAACAAAACGCAAGCAAAAAAAAAAAAAAAAAAAAAAAAAAGAGATGTAATAGATATCCAACAAATCTTCAAAGGCTTTGGACATGGAGATTGTCTTAAGGGTAGTGTCCATCAAAATCCTCTTGAATTAAAGGTGCGTTTGCAAAGAGTTTTGCAGTTTGCAATTCAAAATCAAGAAACAGACACGTCATGTGTTTAAATTTAAATATAAAAGGTTGCACAAGTGCGAAGCATAGGAAATGAAAAAAAACAACCAGAAAACAAACACTGCAACATAGTGTCTAAATCACAACGTAAAAAGAAAAGAAGAAAAAAAAAAGAATCAGGAAACAAACACTGCATTACAGTGTCTGAATAAAATATAAAAAACAGAACCAGGAAACGAACATTGCATTGTAGTGTTTGAGTCTAAATGTAAAAATAATATAAAACCAGAGCAAGGAAACGAACGTAGTGTCTAAATCCAAATGTAAAAATTAGAGTTGCGTGAGGTGTGAAAAATAAGAGGTGTGTGTGATAAAAAAAAAAAAACAAAAACCAGAAACTAACACTGTAACGCAATGCCTGAATCCAATAAAACCAGAATCAGAAAAAATAGACACTTCGTTGCAGTGTCTAAATCCGTATTGACTTATTCCAAAATATGAAAATATGAGAAAATGATTGTCATTTAAAGTGGATGCCAGCTGTAATAGCAAATTTTGTAATTTTTTTTATCTTAAATGTATTTAAGTATCACAATACATGATTGATGTATTTATAATTAACAAAAATATGATTGATATATGTTAATATTGTAACTTTTATTGATTTTATACCAAATCATCCAATTTTATCTAGTTTCTGCTTCGTTCAAATCAATAAGTTGCTATTGTTGGTTTTGGTAAAAAAAAAAAAAAAAAAGGTTAGAGACACCACATTTTGTATACTATATAACATATAAGTGATGTGTATGTGCTATGCCAATTAATAATTTTAGTGAAATTTCCACACCATCTAAAAGGTCATTCTACGTAATTGTACTTTAAAAATTCAAATTCAATTCAACCATTTTCAAATAATATAAAATAAGTGCAAATCTCATGTTTTATATAATAGTACGCACCTTTGCCACCAATGGAACACCACCGCAATTTTCAGCAATCTCCCTTCCAATTGTATCAAACTCAGGATCCCTGTTATTGGTGAAAGCTCTATTTTTCATGATGGACCAACATTCATCCACAGAAAGTTTTCCCAATTCATGTCGCGGAAGTAGCTTTTCTGAGATTGATGCGACTTTATCTTTGCGAGTGGTGACAATAATTTTGGATCCTTTAGCAGAACTAAGCTTTGACAAACATTCCATGAAACTCTCCCATAGTTTGGAGTCTTCGTTCCAAACGTCATCAAGTACGAGTAAGTATTTTTTATCTTTCAACTCTTCGTCAAGGGACAAAAGCAGAGTATGCTGATTATCTTTAGAAGGGGCTTTTTCCCGATTAAGTTGTTCTGACATTTGATGTAGGATGAAATTGACGTCAAAAGCGTCGGATACACAAATCCAAATTTTTTTTTCAAAAAACTTGTGTATCGAATCCTCATTGTAAACTGACTTGGCCAACGTTGTCTTTCCGAGGCCTCCCATACCCACAATCGCCATGACCGCAAGATTTTCTTGATTGTATTTGGAGTCGGTCAAGGTTGTGACTATTTTTGACACATCAGCTTTCCTTCCAACGGGTATTTCATCTTTGCCAAAGAATGCGTTGGTTTGTCTGTCCCATCTAATCTCCTGAGAGGTTGCATCTTTATTCTTGGAAACTAGTCCAAGAAAAGATGCTTCGCTCTTGAGATCCACCAAGGATGCATTGATCTTCTGAAATTTAGGCGCCATTGAAGACGAAATGCAAGTGGATTGGAGAGTGAAAAGAAGTTCAGAACCTTTTTCTTCATATGGTTTTGGATTTCGACTTTACGCCGATAACCTTCGTACTCGAGTTCATCGAAGACATCCTCAGCATCATGGGCTATGTCTTTCAGTTTCTTCAACCATGCCTCTATTGACGGATCTGTTGGAGAATGAATACAAGTTAAATAACTTTTCAACGTAGCATGTGTGTGCGGGCTTAGAGAAAGAATACAAGTTAAATACCTTGTGGTTTGTCGGCAACATTATTCAACAAAAGTTCAATTTTAGTGAATGACTCTTTAAGCTTTTCGAGTTCAGCTTTGAAACCCCATGCAAATTTGAATTCTTTCTGAGCAAGTGAAAGCACCTTCTTCAGTATTCCCTCCGCAGCAAAAGTAAGCACAGCTTCAGCTGCCATTCCTTCGATTCCCTGCAACTCAGCTAATCACAGTGTTTAATTTCTCTCTCGGATACAAATTACAGTACAAGGGCAATGGAGGATGATATGGTAGACAACAAATGTCGGTCGGTTTAACTTTTTATAACGTGAAAAAGGCCGTGCATCCAAGAATTGGAGGATGTATTCGATCCTTTGCTTAGACTAGTTTAGTTCCTTCCTTTCGTGGTGCTTCCAAGTATCTTACATTTTGAATTTAATTCGTCCTTGTTGATCCTTTGCTTTAGACACGTCTAGTTTCTTCCTTCCATAGTTCTTTCAAGTATCTTACGTTTTGAATTGAGTACGTCCTTGTTGGTGCCTTGAGTGTACCTCCTCCTCCTTTTCCTTGGGTGTACCTCCTTGTCTAGATTCTCATCGTGTTTCTGAATTTTCTCTCTAGTAGGGCAATACTTTTGCCTTCTAACTTATGAGAACTTTCTCATTCACTTGTTCTTTCCTTCCTCATTGCTTCCCAGAATCTTACCCTTTGCTAAATTGCTTTCAAGTTCTAACTCCGTTTCTTGATGCCTTCACTGTACGTACTAGCCCTTATGTGTCATCGATGTCGACGTAACGCTTTAGCTCTTTTTCACCAAATCATCATAAACAAGAAATCATGCATGCATTAGAGAATAACACCCCATATACACAGTTAATATCAATCAACAATTTTGAACCCCTATAAAAGATACGAGTAGCACTCTATATGCACAGTTAATCTTACCCTTTGCTAAATTGCTTTAAACTTTCTCATTCTTTCTAAAAGCACCCGTCGTCCTCTCTGATGTGAAATTCATGTTCTGCCTTACGATTTACGCAACTCTATTTCTTATTGTATCAATCAAAGCCCGTTGTTAGGCCCATAAAACAAAAATTGGGGAGATAACATTTTCAAGCCCATTCACTTTTAACCCGATCTCCAACCCTGTATCAAAAACGACTTATATGGAACATGTTCACCATAACGTTTCAGTTGATAATACAATATAATGTGTAAGTTTTCTTGGGCATGACATTGCATTATTAAACAAAAATACCACATGGCAGTGAATCTGTTATATATAAGTAGCTCCTTTGTTTTTCACACAACCAAGTCATCTTTTTTTTTTTTTTTCTTTTTCTTTCAAGCAACAATATTTGGGGTGAGAATTAGGGGTAAGCTAATGAGTCGGACTTAAATTGGCATTGAATTCACCATCTAAAGGAGCCCATAGTCGAGCTTACGGCATCCCACTTAAAAGTAAATAAACAATCGATGCATATTCCACTTTCGAGTTTAGACAACGTTGAATTAGTAACAAATACATGGTCAGCACAACAAAGAATACTTACATGACATAATTGTTCTACTTCTACAATCACAATCGACTACAACACGAAAGCTATAACAAAAGAATATCTCGGTTCATCCGTATATCTTAATGTCATGGAAGAAAAACCCTGCATTGATGCTCACCAACGCGTCGTCCCTTAACAGTTTGCACACAGAATTGAATTACACCGAGAAGCATACGTTGGCAAGCAAGCTCAAGAGTCGTTCGGGAGGACGAACCAATAGAAGAGTTAAGTGAACCATTACAGGACCAGTTTTGGCACGCTTCATCCCGCTTGAAGTGAAAGGAGAGACACTACCATATGGTTGAGGCTCTCTTCTCGTAAATTGGATTTCAGCATAGCTAGTTCTCTCAATTGTTCCCTCTTGTAGTGGTCTTGTGACTCATCCTGAAATGAAAAATGACAATTTAATATCCATGATTTTTGTGAAAAAAATGTGATTAAAAACCGAGAGTTATAGCTCACAGTTTGTGTGAAAAAATGCGATTAAAGACCAAGAAGCACTTTTATATGAATGAAGAACATCTACTTATTGTCCATTGAGGGAAGGAGAAATCAGTTTCATGATTTGTTGCAATACGTATTTGAGAAAAAGATACTTGATAGCGTAAAAGCAAAATAGTATTTGTATTGGAAAGCCGAAGGGACGAGTCAAAAACGATACCATAGGTTTGAGAAGTTCTTCTATGATTTGTTTTGCCTGTCTCAACCGCATATCAACAATATTAGCAGGCAATTCAGCCTCAATTATAATGTGCAGTGGATCATTCAGATGCTCATAACCCGGTCTTCCCCTCAACGATTCCTCCTTGAGAATAACAAGGCAAGAAACAAGTGTCAAAATACATAACAAAATAGATAGCATAAAATGGAACACAAGAAGAAGAAAAAAATGAACTTGATTTGAAATAATGAAAATTTCTTTTCTTAATGAAATGACAAAACAGGGAATAATTCTACCTTGTCAATATCTCTTATTGAACATTTTCCTCTTATGTACACACGACAACCTGTAGAAGCTTCCACCCGCTTTAGTGAATTGCCTCTAGGACCCAGAAGCCGGCCAACAAAATTGAACTACAAAATACAAGTTTCAGTACCACAAACAAGAGAATTCTGAGATAAGGTCCTTAAATAAGAACTTTTTTTCTCAGTCGATCATTAAATCATGTGCGGCTGAGAATTCTGAGATGCTTTGAGAAAACATGTACTTATTTTAAGAACCTTATTCAATAATAACTCTGTGTGTGTGTGCGCTTGCGCATTGCAAACACCTCCCAGTAACATGTTTTTGTTAGCATTAAACCAACTACCTTGAATTTAAGATTGCAATTTAGCAACGTTTCTTAACGCACTGTCAAGTTATATGAGTGGCTTACATTTGGAAAGCTGTCTACTGGAATAATCCAAGCGCAAAATCCTCTTCACAATGTAGGAACTTGGGCTTGATGGTGCAACTTGCCACTCCATATTCATCCCTTGTGGACCACCCAATCTCTGTTACATTAGACAACCAAGCCAAACTATTGAAACTAGACGCAAAAAAGATGAACAGATGTAATGTTGCGGTACTGATAAAAAGATAAAAACTGAGAAAAAGAGGGAAGATGGGAACCTGTAGCGCATTCCATATAAATAAATGTGAAAAAAGAGTATTATAATACAGTCAACTAGTGGTAATCCAAACTTGTCAAGCAACATAAATGGCAAGAGAGTAAATAAAATCAATTAAACTTTAACCGTATTATAAAGCTGAAACTTCCACTATTACCATATAATAATGGATTTAGTGGTATATGAAGCCAGTGCATTTACTGAACTCCTGCCTTAACCACACTTTGACTATATCCTGGATCAAAATGAATTCACAATTGAGAAAGCCGCCTAATGCAAACACATGAATTCAGAAAAAGTCAGTGGATAACTGACCCCAGGAAGAAACAATGCCGTAGGCTGATACATAAGAATGTTTGGCAGTCCTCAAGTCCACAAAAGAGTAAGCAACACTGTGTCTCAACCTGTGGATAGAAGACCACCATAATTAACTTCCATATTCCCATACTGCATTGCACATTCTAATCCCACTTCAGGCCAAGATCCAAGTCTTCGAGTGGAATACTACTGGCTATCTCTCAGGACCTGAATATGCTTTCTTCTTGCTGAATGCCACACTACTATTTACGAGTTTATAACTAGTTTTTCAGACTGACATTCTTTTCATACCAGTTACAGAGGCATGCACAGACAAACATACAAATCTAGCAGGAAACTCATTTAGGCATATGCATATTAATTAAATCAGGCAGGGGGCAGCAAGAAAGATAATCAATAACTACTGTGTTATATATAAAATAAAATGAAAGTGCGGATGTGCAAAATAATGGTGTTGCATTAGGGAGTATATAATTGCCAACACTTACATCATGAGGCCGTCCGTTCCAGCCACCGAGGCCTGACCCTCTATATTTTGGCATTATGTCTGAACCAATAGGGCTAGGACTTCCACGTTGCAGTCTGTCAAAGTCACCAAACCCTTGGTTGGGCATCATTCCAGAGACGGCGAATTATCTCTATCAATACAGAAGAGTACCCAAGTTAGCAATTTCCTTCCTCAACATAGAACACAATGAAAACAAGATATAGAGCATGGAATCAGTTTCCTGTCTGAGTTCAGCTCGTCAATATTACGAATAGAAAACTCATGAGTAGGAGTGATTAGTGATTACACGAAATGATGGAACACAGAACGTAAACAAACATACAAGTCAACTCCACACTGGGGGGAAAAAGAAGTGTTTCCATTTTACCCAATGAGTTAAATCTTCATGCCCTTCCTATATGCAGAAAATTTGACATTATACTCTCCTTGTCAACAAGTTCAGATCCTTTTTCCTCAATCATTTCATAGTTCATCAATTACCCAATTCCGAAATACAGAAAGGAACAGCAGGTATAGCTTTTTCATGGCATAATCACAATTGGGTCACGGAAAAAAGATGAAAGACTCCGGTTTCAGCACAAACAACATCCAGAAAAGCTATTAAACAATACACAGAGAGAGAGAGAGAACAGCATACAGAGCTTTTCCATTGCACAATCTCAATTGGGTTCACAAACAAAAGCTCAAAAACACCGAAAACAATTCCAAATCCGAATCAGAACACAGAAAATAAGAACTTAATCCGATAGTAAAAAGATGGTTTTGGTAGAAACCTTGATTCAAGAGGCGGCCGCATATGGGACGACCTGAGCGAAAGGCCGAGCTTTTGGTGCTCCTCCAACAGCTCCGTCAAGTACTGGCTGTCCACATCCGGCAGCGTTCTTCAGGTGCGGAGAAAGCGCTCTCGCCGGTGAGAAATTCTGAGCGTATGAACCCGACATTGAAATCCCAATGGAGGAAAAGGCTAAGAAGGGTACAGAATTGAGTGAAATGGTGAGAGACTTGTACTTGTGCTGGTCCGCTGAGTTTGCTGGGTAGAAGTGAAAGTAATGGTGTGCAGAGTGGTGGGGTTTAGAATTGAGAGGGTTTTAATGGCGTCTTTTGCTTGCCTGCTGTAGCTAGAGAGAGAAAAAGAGAGGAGAGAGAGGCGATGCGGACTCCATATCTTTCAGAATTCCAGACACTCCTCTCCTCTCTAGCTCCT